AACTTATCTGCACTTTAAATAAAAATTTAATTGTTTGTGTTAAAAGAGTGGTAAAAAAGCGTATGGCTCGCCTGATGGCAAGCGGCCACCGTACCCTATAGACGCTTGCGATACCACAAAATATTAATCGAGGATTTATAACTTTCCCACGTTAAGCTAAATCGTTTAACAATCATATTATTTTAGTTCGCAAATAACTGATTGTATTGCAATAACAATGCGATACAATAGCGTTTGTAACAAAGTTTAGTAATAGTAGGTTTAACAACAGGCTGCGGCCGCGAGCCGTCGACGCCGGCGGCAGAACACTCCCTAACCATAAACATACGCCTCCAAACAACAAAGGGCGAGCTGCTAGAAAATTGCTACTACATAAAATATGACCATAATCAAACACCTTTTTTAAAAGTTTTATAGTATTGTCCAAATTCTGAACGCTGAGTATAAATTACTCCAATGTTTCCAAAATTCAAACAGGCTACTGTAGTTTTTTTTTAACTACCGAGACTTTGTAAGTACGATCGAACCAACTGATTCCTGACCCACTTGCCCGATAATTCGCTAAAAATGTCAAAACAGACAAGTTTTCCCTTGTAGAGAATGCGTAATTGCACTTAGGACCTTCTAATAACAAGGAATCTGTGTTAATAACAAAAAAAATTTAAAGTTGACGTACATTTTCAATGAAATAGATCATGTTATAGATAAAATTGTAATAGTACTTTGAAATTCGAAATCACTTTTAAAATCGTAAATGTCACAGATACTCTTTAGATTTCTTTCATTTAAAAAAAATAGAGTGCAATTATAGATTTAACGGGATTGTTACCACGTACCTTGTTTTTGTGCATGCAAATAACTTCACACACAAGATGCCTGTATGTGTATAAGCGCATATAAGGCTGAACTGTACTTCCACGGCCCAAGCGGTGATACTTCACACTAGGTTAGGTTAGGTATCTTAACTCATCAACATAAATTATGAACTTAAGATGGTGGAGGTGGCATAGCGGATTTGCCGCTCAAATTGAAGCACCCGTCTGGGGAAGTAACTTCCACCTTACGACAGACCACAGTAAAAAACACAACCTTTTGGTGGTCTTGTGTTTCTGCCGGTGAGTAGGGCTCCACGAGGTAGGGATGTGGACAGGGAAGGCAACGGTGCCTATTATATATATATATTATATATATAAATCGGAAATTAAAAAAAAAAACATTTTAAAAAAGTTTTTTTTAGATTTATCTTTTCAATGCAAGGTTTTACGCTACAACACCTTCATCTATGGCACTATTAATGTTTTCTTCTAAGGAATTTTCAATAGGTTAGGAATTTCTTTAACCAGTTAAACTCTGGACCGTTATATTTTTTTTCAAAATTCATATTTATCACTATTGTCATGAGTTTTTCCAGGCTTTTGAAATCAATAGTTTAAGCTTTTAGAGAGGGGGGGACGTCCTACTCGAACAAAAATTAGCACTTTAAAGTTCAATATTTCGCAATCGGCTGGCTAAATCGAAAAATTGTCTTAGAAACCCCTTAATTTTAAAGGACCTATTGAACGATGAAAAAAAATCATCTGGAGCTAATCTAAAAAAATATTTTTAAAATTCTATTCTACCATTTTATCGGCGTGATTGATATACATATTTTCACAAAATTACAGCTCTCTAGTGCTAACAGTCTCCAAGCAAAACCGCGGATGGACAGACAGACTGACATGACGAAACTATAAGGGTTCCTTGTTCCTAACTACGGACCCTAAAAAGGCGTTCAGACAATCGTCGTCACCATAGCATTACTGAGGAATTTATAAAGCTTTAAGTAGGTATATAAATTCCTTCGGAATTACACAAAAATAATTATCTATCTACATAAAAACAATACTTACTGACATATTATTATCATACTTAAAAATATACATGTTCCATTTAGGGGTATTAATACGCATTAGAACAATTTGCTAAGTGCGATGTTATTGTTCGAATAGGCGGCTGTTAGCTCTTGTCTCGCGATCGAATCGAAAAAACTCATCGCATCGCACTTATAAAAAGCACTTAACTTGATTACATGAAGTTGTATGGCTGTTCTACATCGTGGTAAAATAGATAGGTGAGGGTAAAGGCGTGTGGCTTGACACGTCCTTCGTATACTCTGCCACGTGGCGAAAGGTAGTAATTGTAAATGTGTAGTTTACAAAAGTTAAACGCTGTATACCCAGCGTAGATATACCCTAGGTCCACGATCTGCCCCAATGCCGTAAGGATTCTAAAGAATTTGATAATGTTGCCATGAGGTTGCATATTAACATTTTTAATAAAAAAAAATGTCTTTACACGACCTTCTTCGTATATCGAATGATATATACGCCAGGTTTCAAGTTGTCGCCTACTCAGAGGTCTCGGATTTGAATCCCGGTGGGGTAATGTTAGTATGATGAATACGGGCATTTGTATTTAAGTCATGAAGTTTATATATATTTATAGATTAATATATTTATGTATGTATCAGTTTATGTACTCTTTCGTTACCCTAGTATCCCATAATACAAGCCTTACAGTGCTTACTTTGGGGTTAGGCTAATTGGTGTGTATTAGAAATATTTATTTATCTATAGACCTAGGTCTTCGCTTTCGACCGTGCGGCAGAAAACCTCAAAACAACAGTACACGCGCGCAAGAACCACAACCAGAATGATTTAACTGGGTTTTTTTTATTACGTATTGGCATTATATGGCAGAAAATCGTCATTCTAAGTTAAACGCAAAGATATATTATATGTATTTTAAAGACTACGGGCCACCATCCATCCTTAGGGGATCCTCTCAGTCCCTCCGGGTATGTTGGGCCAAGTGTCAGAATGTCCAGTGTGTCAAAGTGATGATCAAATACCCAGTTGTCATAACATCCAGGTGTCAAAACAACACAGAGTCAAATCTAAGGGCACGTTCAGATGACAGGCGTTAGGCGCGCGTCGAGCGCGCGTTAGGTTGTTGTGTAGTGTTCATATGATGTGCCCTTAAGGCGCATTGAGTGTGCTCTGCGACTTTGAGTTGCGCATTTTTCGGGAATGAACGTTAACTGCAATTTGTTCGTATATTGTTTTTTTATTGAGTACGTTCAGATGATTGGCTTTTAATGCGCGTTTTGCTAACGCGCATTGACAAGTACATTTATTTTGTTCCAGTCGTTCAGATGCTAACGTGCGTTTTTATTGGACGCGCGCTCAATGCTGCACTAACGACTGACACTTGTCAACGTGTCAGCACGCGCTTTGAGATCATTGTGTTGTCGTACTGTCGTTCAGTTGAACGCGCGCTTTCGATGCGTCAGGCATGTTTTAGAGATCGATTGCTTGAATCGGATTAGAGAAAATAGAGAAGGAAAATTTAATACAGATCTTTTTATTGATGAAATTGAAAAACGTCCATACATAGTTACAGCAGTACTGTCAAGTACCTCTGTAACCCTGTCTTGTCGTTATTTAACGCGCGTTGAGCGTGCGCTGCGACGTTGTGCATATATCATAATATGTCAAAGTTTGACATATATCATAATATGATATATGCCAAACTTTGACTATTTCAACATTTTTTTTAAAAATCGTGCGTGGTAAGAACTTGTTCTCATATTCTACGAAAAAATTGCTGTTTTCACGTCGATTTTCCGAAAATGCACAACGTCGCAGCGCACGCTCAACGCGCGTTAAATAACGACAAGACAGGGTTACAGAGGTACTTGACAGTACTGCTGTAACACTGTATTGTTGTTATATAAGCGCACATCATATGAAGACCACACAAAAACCTAACGCAAGCTCCACGCGCGCCTAGCGTTTTTCATTAGAACGTACTCTAAATATTTTTGAACGGTTTTAACTAGGCACCCACTTAACTGATCAAAGATTACCTATTAAAATAACTTACATAACGTTATAATATTCGTGTAAACCCAGCCATCCAAATGGTTATTTAACAATGATTTTGTGTATATGAAATATAATTAAATATGATTTTTACTAAGTTAAAAATATATTTTATGATGTTTCAGAGATTCTTCATATTTAATAGGATTAAGTATAGGGTAATTTCAGTACCTATTTGCTTGGTATTTTCAAACAAAAAATCAAAAGTGCCTGCATTGAATAAGGAGTGAAATTATGTATCTGAAATCGTGTTCCCCACTCAAGTATTATTTAGTCACCACTCACCTTCGAGCGCTTTATTTCTGGCCAGCAGTGCGAGCAGCACGTCTGGCGGCGGCGGTTCCAGCGCGCCCAGCGGTGAATCCAGCTGGCCATCACGCCGGTCGCACTCCTCAAAGGCGGCCTCCATCCCGTCACTACCTGGTACCACACACGCACTGCAAACATCCGACTCTGCGCATCCCGCACCAACGTAAACACAGCACCTGTTCGTAGATACTTCTGGAGGCGTCGCGACGCCCGGGCCCACGTGGCGGCGCCGCCCACACCCGCCCCGCGCCCCGCTGCCCCCACCTCTCATTGAGAAGTCATTTTTCACCCCCTGAATCTGATAAACCCTCCGGCCCAGCGCGGGGCTCCCCCGCCCCGAACTAATTTTCCCGAGTCGCACGACACACCCCCGGTGCTTACATCCATCTACAATATTACTCGAGCACGTTATCCCGTTCGCGGGGGCACTTTGTTTCTACTCATCTGGCATCGCAGTGAAGAAAAGGAATTTTGAAGTTAAAGTCGCTTTCATACTTTCTCTTTTCAAGGATCTCGTTAATGAAAATATTTGTGGTCGTTTTTAGTAGTTTATTAACGTTAGTTTATACTAACTCTTGAAAAGGCTTTTTTGCAAAAGCACAAATTAATTTTGGATCTGCGTTCCTGAATAATTATTCTCAGGTTTTAGCTTGAACTTGAAGCTTGGACGAAAAAAGCCCTATTTGTCTCATGGTATATCATAATCGTAGGAAGATTCTTCGTCCAAGTTGAACCGAATGAATCTTTTTTTTATATGTGTCAATGTCAGAATAGTGTCATTTCCGGCATTACCATGTCATTATTATTTTACTTTGAACTTTTTTAAGCACTTTTTACATGTTTTTTAACATGATATCTACTCATAATATGTTTCTGGAAAAAAGTGTTCCTGAATGTAATAAATGTAATTTGGATACTGTTTTCAAACGATTCAAATCTATTGAATTTCCAACATCTTTCGTGGGATTATCCACGATAAAAACGTTGGATGTTGAAATAGATTTATCAGTTTCAGCTTACTTAAAGACCATGTATAATAATAAACTAATGGTAATGGATCTCATTACAAAGTTTCCTATTGTAGTTTTGAACGTATTACATAATATTTCATATAAACCATGTTTTCTTTTAGAAATTTGCTGATGCTAGGGAAATATCTGCATCTCACAGAGCTTTTAATATATGCCTAATGGATGATCATACTTTGGCTATAACATTCATGCCAACGAGTGAGTGTATTTCAAAAGTTAAACACGATAAACATTTTGAAAACAGATTTGTTTTCGACCTACGTTTAATACAAGTAGATGGAAAGCGTTGCTGTAATAATGAATTGCACTCGGAAGTGGGACGATACTATATCAGCGGAGAGTTTGAGTACTGTAACCTTTCTCATGACCCAGATGTTGTAAATTTCGGAGATGTCTCTGTGAGTGCTAAAATTTCTAAACATGTGCGTATACGTAATGAATCTAATGTAACGACAGCGAAAATAACATATATTAGATCAACTGGTTTCGAAGTTGAACCACAGAGTTTCACGATACCTCCAAATTCATCTAGGCGTATAACTATAGTATTAAAGCCGACTTGTTTATTGCTGCAGAATAAATTAACTTTCCAAGTCCGTAATTGTCATAGTAGCTATAAAATGGAGGATGGACAGGATAATTTCTTAACTTATATGATTGCCATAGGTGCAAAAGTTACTTATAATAATATTTCAAAAGATGTCACTGTGGAATCTCTGCACAAATTAATAGAAAAGAACCCTAAATATACCTATTTAAATGAAGAGCTCCAGACACATATGAAAAGAAAAGAAAGAGCTCAAACATATTTAACTATGTCTAAAAACGCACGTAGCATAAAGCCAGTCGTTAAGAAAATTAGTACGGTAAAAGACAATTGCGCTAATCTAAATACTGTACAATTAGAAAAACCAGTATCGGACTTCTGTAAGCATATACTAAAAAAAAAAATTCCTACATTTGAACTGTTTGATGTCTTATTTTCACCTTTTACCATAGAATTTGGTCGTGTTGGGATAAATACATACGGTGATAAAGAACTCAGTGTAAAAAACAATAGCAACTATGATATTACCTTAAAATTACTGAAAGATGCCTGTATTTTATATACTGAGGACAAACTTGAAAAACTGTCCTTAAAGTTAAAGTCAAAAACTGAAGTAAAAATTACAATATTTTGCTTAGGCATGTTTGAAGGAAACTACTACGGTACCTTTGAATATACCATTGACAATAAGTACTACCGAAAGCATCCATATTTTCTTCAAGTAGGAAATCCCACATTAATGGTTTCAGACAAGTGTTTAAGATTTGGAATGGTGACATCAGAAAGCTTTGTGACGTCTGTACCTGTAAAAATATTTAATAATTTCAATGTCGATACTACATTTGAATGGAATGAACTACATGTAGATGCACCATTCAAAATAATTCCTATTAATGGAATCATACCAAAACACAGTTGCAGAATATGTGATGTTCTCTATAATAGCAAACCCACCAAATCAAAAACTCATGAAGTTGATTTAGTAACTGGAACAAAGATGAAAAAAATCATTCCTCTCGAGTTAAGCGTGATTACAAGGAAACTATCAATTAAGTTTTTACAATCTGCGATTATTTTTAAAGATATAGCTTTAAATATTGAAACGATTGAAAGAGTGAAATTAGAAAATTCATCTCGGGAAATAGCTCTGTTTTACGTGGTAGAACCTTTAATACCAGGCTTTAGAATAGAGCCTATGACGGGAACGATAAGACCAAAGATGGTAATAAGTTTTAAAATAATTGTCAAAATTTCTTGCATATTGGAGTTTGCATTTGATATTTATGTGAAAATCAACAACAAAGAAAATCTTATATTACCAGTGAGTGGAAACGTAGTAGAACCTAAGTTAGTCATCCACCCGAAAAATATTTACATGCCACGTGTTCCGTGTAATATGATCACGTTCATTCCAGTAACATTTCAAAACACTAGCACATTGAAAATCTTTATTGAAGTATTAGATACGGGCGACGACAATATTTTTAACGTTTACATTGCACAGGGAAATGAAAAACAAAGAGTATTTAAGTTTGAGATAGAAGGTGGGCAATCAAAAACAGTTTTTGTTAAAGTTTATGATATATTTCGACGAGAATATGAAATGTATATGCCTTTTAAAATCAATGGATTGCTTGGACCACCGAATTCTGATTCATCGTCAACAGAGATTCAAAGTTATATTGGAGAATATGAACGGTCAGTCGTAGCTGTGGTACCTACTTAATTTTTTTAATAATGGATAGGGTAAAATAATAAAAAATACACGACTGCCAAAAACAAGTAGGTAAAAAGTAATTTCAGTGACAAGGCAGTTCTGCTGAACATTTTTTAAACGAGTTTCCCAAGAGACAATGGCATAAACCCGGTGACGCTGTAAAGGTCATCTGCGACCAACAGCATACACACTCAAAAAAAACAATGACTGTGACTGTGTGCTTTCAGTGTGGTTTTGCAGTCAGGAAATACGAGTGTACCTAACCTACGCGCAAACTTTGTTAAATTTATATATATAGGGCGTCCCACGGCTACCTCACTTTATTTTCAATAATATTTTATTTTTAATAATAACTAGAACAGCATTAACAGATTTTTTAAAAATTGTCTGCTACAACTGGGATTCAAACTCGTTAAATTTCGAAAAAAAACATGACATATTTTATGATAACTATCGAAAGGGTTAATCGTAAGGATTATTTTTTGCTAATAATATAGCATTTTAAATGAAAGAAACGTCATTAAATTTAACATTTTATTTAAAATTGTTTAGTTAAAATGATGGCTTCTTTCGGTAAAATATCCTATCTTCAATATTTAATATACTTTCCCTCCGTGTGAGGCAGCCGTGGGACGCCCTGTATACTTTGTTATACATATTCATTCTCATTTGATTTTGGAATGTGCTCTTCAAGGCCTTTAATTTAATATCTATATTGTAATGATCGAAAATGTGTTTTATCTTTTGAAAATCGCGTTCCCTTTAAATATTTTGTAAATTCATAGCTAATTAGCCAGTGTCTCTCATGAGAATGAGGGGATTCTAACGATACATAAATACCCTTTGACTCAAAATCTATTTAGGTATTCAAATAAAAACATACATATAAGAACCCGAAACACTTACAGTGGTATATTTAATATTGTTATTTATTTTCAGAACCTACGACAATAATCCTAAAGTTAAATTAAAAACTGTAACTAAAGACATAGCATATTGTCGTATAACTGGTGTGATAACAGTACCCTGGATCGAATTTTCAGAAGAAAATTTTGAAATAGATCTCAAAACTAATACTAGTAGCACTATTAATTTCTCCGTAAAAAATGTGTCTAAGTATTACTTGCATGTGGCAATACTGACTTCTAAATTAGCTCCGAATTTCTCATTAGATTTACAAATAGAAGAGAATTGCTCTCTTATAAGTGAATCCAGTATAAGATTAGAATTAGACCGCCAGCAAGAAGTATCGTTTACACTAAAATTTCATCCTAAGGGTCATGGAAAATTTGTAACCACGGCGTTGCTGTATCTAGACAAACACATGACTATCCCTTATTATAATCTTACTTTTACTGGAAAACGACAAACACCTGCTTTAACTCCTAGCACTAACAGAATAGTCTTCCCTCCGTGTCATATTGGCAATGAATTGTCGCAATCAATAACATTAATTTTTGAAGACACTTCAGATGAAGAATGTTTTTCTTGCATGGTTAAAGATGAACCAAAACTAACTGTGAAATTCGTTAAATTTAAAAGTTTTGAGAACGAAAGAAAATTACAAACAGAGGTTACTGTAGAAGTAAAGGTTTTTTGCGAAACAACTTACTCAAGAAATTTAATTATAGCCTTCAACCATTCTTGTGGATCAGGCTGCGAAATAGAAGTATCCTTTTGTTTCACTTACTGCCAGTTAACATTACATGCCAGTTCTATAGTGCAACCTCAAGAAAATCCTTATCCGTATTTTCCTCTTGAATCTCAAACCAAATTTTATGATTACTTAGAAGTAAGTTCGAAATTCTTAGAAAAATGGATGTTTCAACAAGGATTCCGTAGAGATTTGTATCCCATTATACCTGACACATTTCACGCTATTTCTACCGCTATTTCGTCACCATCCTCAGCTACAAAAGGCAAAGGGATAAATGTATCTTACTTGAATTTTGTGAAAAGAATTGCCGGCCCCCTAATGAAACATATACGTAAAACAATGTAAGTTTTTAATAAGAGTTGATACTTTAATAATTGGTACCTAATTAGATTTCTTGTTTCTTTTTATTAATTGCAGAGCACATGAAGTCGACGAATCTTTCAAATGTGTTAAGGAAATTCATGATACTTACCGAGAAATAATAAATCTATTAAGATCACGAGGTGCTGATTTATGGGACCTGCAAGGAAAATTTTTATTAAGCTATGATCAATTTGCAATATACACCGAAAATGTGACCCCGAAATGCAATGCAGATATCATATTGAACAAAGAACTCCTGGCTGATGTCAATTTATATAATAGACTGAACAAACAAAGTTGGATAGATTTTATTTTACAAAGTTACAAAGTTTTCATTATGGATAGTTGCTTTTTTGAATGTGTATGCGTCAGTTCCCAGTCTAGAGATATTATCAAAATTTTGATTGACTGGTACAATGAACAAATAGCATCACAGCACTATCAATTAAGAGGACACAGTAAACCTCGGAAATTTATAAATAATATTACTACAGATTTATCCGATGGCATGGCAATAGCGTCGGCTATATTAAATTACTGTTCATTTTTCAGCAGCCTATTTTCGACTTTCTGTGAAGTTAATGAAAATGATCGCGTTAGTGGAATTATAAATAATGCTTGTCTTATTATTGAAGCAATGAACACGATGAGGTTGTATTTCCCACTACAAAGTATTGATTTTCTACAACCCAACTTTATACAAATGTTATTTTTGTCAATACATTTATATGTAGTTCTTCCGATGTTCAAGCCTAAAGATATTATTAAATTTAATCCACCACTTCTGAGAAGCTCTACGCGACATTTAGTAATTTCTACAGCTACTCAAGAGTCAGTAATATTCAACTTTATTATATTAAATAATTTGAGAAATAGTTTCACAGTTGAAAAGGCACCTGCGGGGGATAATGGAAAAAAACTACTCCTTAACATTAAATTTCTGGCTAATTACACTACTGAAGATACGTGCATTCTATTAGTTCATGGATACAACAAAACCAGAATATTTGATACATACATGATATTTCTGCTTAAAGGTTACATTGGATCATTAAATCCAGTTAAGAAATGCAAAGTAACCGGACCGTTATTTCGGCCCAATAAAGTCGATGTATTAGTATCTTCACCTTTCCTGCTACCCGCTACATATAGGCTTTTTTTAACAGATAACGAACCTACTATTCCTGTCAATTTGGAGGACGATCATGGACCAAGATTTTATATACGACGACTAAACCTTATTGATAAAGAGATAAATTTATGTGGCCTACCAAAAGAATCTGGGCAAGATATCATAGAACATAAAATTTATTTACAAATAATATGTCTCAGTACACAGATTGGCAACTCATGGATATGGTTTAAAGGTGAAATAGGTGAATTTTTCATTAAAGTGACGTCACAACCACGCTGGGATTTGGCTATTGACACATTACAAGCTAGAGTGAGATCCTGGCCATTGGATCCTTGTAGCTGTGGTGAAACCTGCGAATGTTACAGAACTACTGTTCTAGTGATACCGCATCGTAACGAATTGATGCTGAAATCTTTACGGTATGCATTACTCGAACATGCTTCAGATATCATGTTGCAGGTGTACGACCGACTGATAGGTGAGGATGACTATTTAAAAATAAGTTATCTGGCGCCACATTTTGCCAATTTTCTATTCGAACGTCAAGTAATTTCATTGCTTATTCAAAAGAATACAAAGCAGACTACCTGTCTAAACCTTTTGATAGACTAAGATCTTAAGACTTAGATTGTAAACTTGGAAAAAAGATAGATTTTTTAGACCGCGCTGTAATTGTGAATCGATTCATCAGGTTACGATGCGAATCGATTTAAAAAATTATGTTTTTTGTTAAGAATCGCCATCCCTAGTCTGGGGAATGAATCTTATGTATGTTGTATAGAATATTGTAAACAATTTGAAATTAACACTGCCAGACACATTCTGTCCGCAGTATTTATTGACAGACACTTTAAACGTCGAAAGCAAAAAACACAAACTTACTTACAGTCTGAGACCTGATATATATGTCTTTGATATTTAGGAGGCTATTATTATATTTTGTAAGCTGCCAGGCCAATCTTAGGGACCAAAAATTTTCTAAGCTTATTTAAAGTGCCGCTGTGAGACAAGACGAGCTCATGGTGATTAAGTGCCTTTTTAACACAACTTTTTTAAATATACCTATCTTATAAATAGTGTAAAGGAAGCCTTTCAAAATATTTTATTTTATTGTCTAAGTATCAAAATTATTGCAGAAAATGGGTAAGTTTTTGTTTTATGCTTTCGACATTAAAAGTGCCTGGCAATAAAACTCCTGGCAAAATGTGTCTGGGATTATGAATTTCAAATTGTTTAGAGTATTCTCCAAAATATACGTAGGAATCAGTCCTCAAACAGTAAGTAAAGTGAGTAAAATTTTGTGCCTGATAAAAAAAATGCGCACAACACAAGTGAGTATGTATATGATAATTTTTTACAATAATGCTACTCAATTATCCATATATTATATCCATAAGAAAATAAGTAAGGTCTGTTATTCTTGGGATCTACTATGATGTTTAGAGATCGAAAACTGAAGAATAATCCTTCTAGGAAACAGAAGATGAATAAGATGATCTTAATAAGAACCTGCTTAATCTAAAATGACAAATCAAAATGTAATGTCCTTACAGGCACCCCGACAGGGAAAATTATTCTTGGCATGCTATTAGCCGAAGGAGGAACGAATATGACTGAGATCCAACATATCCTACAAAGCGAGACGGTGTACCGCATCTCTTCGAGGGCGTTGCTTCCGCGAATGGAGCGTGTGCGGCTGGCGCAACACTCGGACGAGGTGCTGGCGTTACCTATCATGGTACCAACTGACGACAAATCCGAAAAATATTCCGTCACCTTCACTTCCGCGTGCGGCATGGACATAAGGACGTATAGAGTAATTTTCGTAGAAACCTCGGACGGAGACTAAACTTAAAAGTACCAAATTATTTGATTTCAAGTTCGTGGCTTTGTGTTTGTTTTTAAATTGGTTAGGTTAGATTTAGTATTTTCATCAGCGGATAAGAACATTATGTTTTTTTAAATTGACTGATATAATTTGATATTGAAGTATCTACGATGCTAAAAAGTTGTGTTATGAAATTTGCAAGTGCGTTACAGGAACACAGAAGTTTGCATTATTATTTTATCATTGGTTTTTGTTGCATCACAAGATAAAATTTATGTGCCTATCATTTAGGTATAAAATTGATTTCAATGTCAATAATATGCAGAAAATGGACACACTAGGACGTAACATAATTTATTAATAACTTTATAAAAAGTACACGTGGCAAGCCCCAAGGCTATTTTAACCGTCTATTGTCAATTATACGAATCTGTTTCTGGTATTTAAGATACTTTTCTTTGTGCGGTGATAGAGTTTTTGATTCGCTTTATTATAAATACAGACAGACCTTGCTTGTTGACTGTAGTTAACAGTGATTCCAAACATAACTAAGTTCTTAAATATGAACTAACGTCTTGAAAGATTGCGTCCAATCCAATCGTTTAATTTGAAAGAAAGCTCAGCGTCCAAGTGCCTTATCATCAGAGAACAACTATCTATACAATTTATTAAAGCATTTGTTAACTCGTTAATTTTGACTTCGTGTATTTCTTTTCTCCCTATATAAATTATAACATTCTATATTTTTTCAATCTTTAATTACTGTGTGCTTCAATGTTCTGCTTCAGAAGAGCTGCTGTAAAATATAATGGAATCAAAATAGGACAACCATATTTTTTCAAAAACCATCGAAATACTCAGTTAGGTACTGGGCTTTGCAACTTGCAATCTCGCACGCAGATATAGACTGTACTTTTTTCTTCTATATGCAACGTAAAGTAACTATTTTGTATACGAAGCGAGAGCAACAGATGAAAGACTTGTACACTGAGAGAGTCACGTGATTACTTTGTGATGTTAATAGAATGTTATGCTTACATATATTTTATATAGATAAGATAAAATAAAAAATAAAATAAAATAACATCGAGTTACGTGTTTAGGAAAACTATAATAAAATTAAATATCTATGTTATAGACCGCAGCACTATCTTTAGCCTGGCTCAAATCTTGATTAATGTTTTAGTGCACAGACTGGTTTTATATTATTTTATTATTATAGTATTCATTTTGATTATTAAATTGATTTTAGAAATCAATGAGTCTTTTTGTTAAAACTTTGTTTTTGAATTGATGTTAAGAAGAGCAATTAGACAAACAAACACTTGGATTGCATTTATTTTTGTTGTATATTGATAATATAAAGACCATTATAACAACAGCCCCTCTAGCATGGCCACCGAAACGGGATATGATAAAGCGATATAACTGTCAGACTACTGATGTAGTATGTAAGAATAAACTCTCTTTTCACCGCGGCATTTGCCGGTGTGATTTGAAATTTATTTTAAATTCGTGTTCTAACTAATTTTAAATCACACCGCGGATTCAGAGGTGAAAAATTAGTTAGTTATTACATAATAGCACTGCGGGACTATTTTGGCAAAAACTTAGATTGTCTTTTTTTTCACAAGTACAGTTGTTAATAATTACTTTTACAGTCGAAGTATTTTGTATACCTACTATACCTTGTAACAACATGATAACATGCAACAATCGAACATAAACAACAAAGTTTTACCTAAAGTTCAATCTTTTTATGTATTGAATAGTTATTTAATTTGCGTTCGTACCGCTTCTAATAGATACCCGGTAGCGGAAATGGCTATAACCGCTAATTGTGCGGTACCTAAGATGTCCCAGTGTACTTCAATGTAGTACCACCAGGCGCCCGCTCCGCCTTGACCAACCCAATGAGCCGTGCCACGCTTACTGCCATCCGTAATGTCTCACCTTCGATGCCCGACTACCCTTTTTATGACGAGAAATTTTGCAGACGAATAAATTTTCTTCTTAGTGGGATACTGTGTACGTATGAAATAAAAAAGAACTCAGTAACTTAAATATATGTCAGAGAAAAACCTCTGTTCATCGAAAAGGAAAACTAACGAGAGATTTTCCATTCCATTTCGATTTCCAAACATTCAACGTCGTTTGAGTCGTCAACATCATCATCGGCCTACTAATGTCCCCACTTCTGGGGGACATGCCACCCCTATAGAGATTGGGCCGTGACCCACTTCGGGCCCAGTACGGATTGGTGATTGCTTACGACTCCAGATGCAGCCGGGACAATAATTTCTGGAGGAGCTCGAAATAATAAGTTTTTGGTCACCCATCCAATGACCGACCATTACGCAAGTTGCTTAACTTCCACGATTGCAGGCCGAAAGCGCTAACCACCTGCGCGATCGAGCTCCTCAATTGAGTATTCCGTGTTAATTTTCTTTTCAGATGCACTAAGCTTCATCCTTGAAATTTACATTGTATTAATTACATCAGGTACTACAAATTATTAAAAAAAAAACATTATTTGTTTTGCCATCTGGTGCCCACAGCTTTTTTTCTTATTATTTGTATATAATCAACTATATTTGTAATAAGTAGTCAATATAGAATAACATAATATAGGTCTAGTTATAATAATATGTAATAGCTAATATTTCTTTGGTACATACAAAAAAGCTTGTTCGCACGTTTGTTTGTTTGTGTTCAAATAAAGCGACGATCGCGAACAGTGCAGAGTAGAAAGCCGATCTGAGCTTGCAGCTATAAATCTACCTCATTCCGTCCGTGCCAGCATTGTCTCACAGAACAACATCACAAGCAGACCAAGTATCCCGCCGCGACTAAATTTTTTTTTCTTAATTTTTGCAATCTCGATCTTTTTATTTTTTATCTAAAGTAGTCTGTTGACTATCGTAAAGTGTTGCCAGTGTTCAAAAGTGATAAAAATGGATGCACAACAGTTTCGAGAGTTTGGCAAGGCAGCCATAGATATAGTGGCAGATTACGTGGATAATATAAGGCAACGGTAACATACGATAATTTTGTAATATTTTTTTTTTCCATTTTAACACATTGTAGATATTAGTAAAACAAAATATATATTATTTTGTTGTAAGGCATCTCTTAATGTTCTCTCAATTTTGATTTTATTACAGAACTTTAGGCCAGCCCTTCCTACCTAGAAAGACCAAAAATTTGTGATAGTGATTGAGACAGGAATAGATGCTAAAGTCAAAATAAATCGGTGTTTCATTACCTGTAAATTTCCAAAAGAAATACTCAGAAATATCGTAAATATAAAAATTCCACCAATTCTATATTTTCATTAAGTTACTTGAGGAGTTTCGGGCGGCTTCATGGTGCAGAGTTTAACACGTTCACTCTGCGTCTGTGAAAGTTTGCAACTTTCGCAATTTTACCGGGCATAGGATGGGTGACTAAATATTTATTACATCGAGCTCCTCTGTGCTCCTGGAGGCAGGTTAAGCCTTTGGTCCCGATTGTATCTATACTTAGCCGTTAGCACAAATTACCCACACGAGCACATGTGGTAGTTTATGAACTGTAGGCATACTCGTTAACGGTTTTTAAGATAATTTAAGGAAGTGATTTTCATCGAGCTATTTACTGATCCACTTTATAATAACGCTACTAAAATGTATGTCCTGAAAAGCATCGAGGATATGCAATTTTCTCTTTAGTTACACACTGTAAATGTCAAAAAAGTTAGCGAATAGACAACCTGCTCTCCCTGTGCCATCCATAGGGAAAGCCTGTGCCACAGCAATTGGGGATATTGATCGGCAGCTGATGATAAATTTTCAATATTTCTTGTTATTAGCAGGATTGCTACCATGTACCTTGTTTTTTGCGAGTCCCCGATATTTCGGCATTGATGCAAGCGCCATGCATGATCACGGAGTAACTGTGTAACTATCGGGGACTCGCGTAACAAAAAAATATAGTGTTAGTTAACATGAAAGTTTAAAACGATAATTTTTCTTATTTTTTAACATTTTGTCATCTTAAATTGATCTCAATAATATAGAAGAAAGTGAAGAAAAAAAATCTACCTATCGGAACCGTAGGTACGTAACTAACCTGCAACCTTACAAAATTCTTTATATTTGTTTTTAGGAATAAAGCAATGTATGCTTAGATATTTAAAACTACTCAACGGATTTTGATGCGTTTTTGACGTGACAACGTCTTAAATTAGGTTGCGGCTGGGAGTCACTTATGAAAAAGTGTAACGCTCGGTAACGTTACGATGAGTCTCTCGTGTTAAGTTTAAGTTTACATGTACAATGTTTTAGTAAACAAAATATATTTCTATAGTTAAAATTGTGCAATTCTTATTTTCATTCAATTCCTTGTTCCTATTGTGCAATTTAATTATATTCATATCAATAAATATTCTACCGAGAAAAAGACGTTGTCACGTAAAATCTTCGCCCGTAAAACCGACTTTACAGGCAACCATTTTTTTTTAATAGATAGAGTGATTCAAGAGGAAGGTATATACATATATATATATAGTTTAGTAACGACTGTCAAAACACGGGGAAGACGTGGAGGTACCAAATTGAAATTTAAACCATTTGTAGTTAACAGTTCCTTAACTGTGAAAAAATCAAACTTATAAGTTTATATTTAACTAGCTGACCCAGCGAACTTCGTACCGCCCTAAAAAAATAGGGGTTGTCCAGCGGACAAAATTGTGAATCTAAACCATTCTCAGATCCCCTTGAACACACACAAAAAAAATCATCAAAATCGGTCCAGTCGTTTAAGAGAAGTTCAGTGACATACACACTCACAGAAGAATTATATATATAAAGATATTCACAGAATACTTAAATTGAATACTCGTTTAAAAAAAAATAAGGTGGGCTCCCATACAACAAACGTGATTTTTGGCGTTTTTTTTGCACGATATTATAATACTTAGTACCTAGTGTCTAAAAAGTTGTATAGATAATGGTACTTCGCACTTGGCCGGGTTTTTTATCTTTTATAAATACTAGTACAACTTAATAATTAATTATTCTTATAATATCAATTTCGGAAACTGTTTTAGAAAGGCCCAGCCAATGGCCTAAAGGATTTCAGAAAATAAAACTTATGGAAGAACTACACTCTGTCGTGTTGTGTTGTGACTCATCAGAGAGCTATCTGTACATTTAATATGGTTAGAATGAGAACGGTGTCGACACAACACTACACATAAGTATGTTTCTGCTTTTGAGTATTGCTACTGAAGTAAAGCTGAATTTCTATGGCACAATTGTTTGAAAGTTATACTACTTTCGCCATGACAGGATGCCAAAATTTTCGATCTTTTGATTCCGGCTAAGATACTCGTATATGCAGCCGATAACACCCAATAATCGCACTGAGCCCACGTGGTGAGGTGAATGATACAGTGATATCCTGCCTTCTACCTATTTCATACATAAGGATGGAATACGACCCAGTAGTTGACAAATTAATAGGTTGATTAAGATGATACCAAACTGTATGTATTAACTCATAATACTATATCGCAGCTAGACGCTTTGCCAACCAAGTAAGTAATTGATTTAATAAATATCGTATCGATTGTATCGATTACCTATTTGTATTTAGAATTAAACTACAATAATTTAGAATAAAACTACAATAGGTATTAAGTAATACAATTAGGGTTCCGTACCTCAAAAGGAAAAACGGAACCCTTATAGGATCACTTTGTTGTCCGTCCATCTGTCAAGACCGTTTTTCTCAGGAACGCGTGAATACTTAGGTCTACTGTCCCTTGCAGCTGTGTAAAAATCAAACTTCTAAGCCAAAGCAATCAAAAGATACAGCCGTTTATGCCGCAAATTTCCGCAATTTTTCGAAACTCGCACGGGATTCAAAACCTGCAGGGTACTTCCCGTGAACTTAGAATCTTGAAATTTGATACGAAGTAACGTCTTATAGTACAGATAAAGAGAAAATTCCGAAAACCGTAAATTTTTAGTGGCATCATATAATAAAAAATATTTTTTTAAATTCAGGTTTGCACGGAACCCTCGGTGCGCGATTGCGATTCGCACTTGGCCGGTTTTTTGAGAAAAAGAAATTCTTTAGGCACCTAACAACTTTAAACTGAAAGAAATTTTAATAGGTTTTCTAATAAATAATGTAAATATTTATTTTGTATTTCAACTCAAAGAAATTAATGGAATTATCTGTTAAATGACGGAATTTAACTACCTAAATTCAAAAATTACAGTGTTGACACGAAAAACAAGACACGAATCATTCTACTCATTAAACAATTACCTACCTATTCTAATAATTATTGCCACATCATTACAAACAATGCTAACAAGGATACGCCTATGAAACGCAATGCTAAATTATAATGCAATTTACCTCCTATTGTTACTTGTGAAAAACATTTTGTTACGTCTGCGACCAACACTCAACATAAGATTTACTATATTAGTAAAGCAAGTTATTCTTATTATGAATGCGTAAGCTTACAATATCTTGGATGGTTTTAACTCAGTCACGCTAAAACGGCTTAACAAATTTAGATGAAATTCTGCACACGGATAGAACATAATATCCTGGATATACCTTTTCTCGTACTTCGTTATACCACAGGCGCCTAATTCTGATGTCAATGCACACATACTGACTTAAAAATCAATATAATTTTAGCAATTAGGGCTTAGATATCCCTTAGGTGTCGTCCTTATCGCGCGAATTTGTGTCACGATGCCTAATCGAATGTCAAAGTCAACCATTTTCGCACAAACCAAAGCCAGCGGTGATTACGTATTAAGGTTGTATTAGGACAATATCTTAAGAAATCAGCAGAAGATTAGAGATATAATTTTATTAAACATACAAAAAGATATTTTTAAACGAAACATTGCTTAAAGTGATCCTCAATTCTCTTTAAGGGATGTTCTACCATCCGTGGAACCGGGATACTTGGTGGATGTCCTTCCAGAGAACGCTCCTGAACAACCGGAGGAATGGAAAGACGTATTAAAGGATTTCAATGACTTAATTTTGCCTGGTGTAAGTACATACATTCTTATCGATGTTGAAACTATAATTGATGTCTTTCGTGAAACAATAAACTAAACACAAAGAGAAAGAGAGAAACTCTAATAGGGAATAGAAACTTAAAAACTTATTGACGTTATTTTGGCCGAAATATTTAAAGATTAATTTTATTAGAGTTTATAAAATAGAAAAGTTGAAAAGACTCAATTTCTGAATCTTCATCATATTAGTCTCTATAACTGAACTAATGTTTCTAACGTATATAATGTGAAATTAAAGAAACTAAGGTTCTATTATTTAAATATATATTTTCTTTCTTATTTAACCTCACAGTAGTCAAAAGTAAAATATACATCTCGGCGATAAAAGTGTCTAAGCCTTGGGCAAACTTGAATCCTTCGCTTGATTAAAGTTATATAGTATCTTAATTAAACTTATGGTAAAATTCCTGGATTAAACTAAAGAATCCTTAATTTCGCACATAATTCAATATACTGCCTGTAAAGTAAAACACTACTTTATCCCCTTGGTGCTTAATGTACTAATGAGCGAAAGGTTAAAATATAAGTTTTTTTTAGCATCTCCCTTCCTGTGAGGGACAAAGTATACTTAAGTTGTGTGTTTCTGGATTACAGATAACTCATTGGAATTCTCCAAGGTTCCATGCATTCTTCCCGTCGGGCTCGTCTTACGCAAGCATAATTGGGAACATACTAGCCGATGGTCTGGGCGTTATCGGATTCAGCTGGGTTGGTACTTTGTGTTGTTTTCATATGATTCGTGGTGAAATGTGAGTTTATTCTTACAGAACAGCACTGCTGTATATTAAAGGTTTAGAAAACAAAAATGCACTCTCATAATCTTTCCTTAACACGCCAAAAACTACCTTATTTTGAGAGGAACAGGACAGAACAGCTAGATGTTTACGGTAGTTCGTTTACCCTACATTACTCTATAGCTAAGGAAATTCCAGCCCCATTTACTTATGAAGATGATATGATGATTAAACCTTCATATGAAAAATTTTACGTGACATACTTTATTTCAGTAAGGCTTAATATTTTTTCCTGACTGTGTGTGTAATTTAATGACAGAAAATCAATAGTATTTCGGTTGAAAAGGTACCTAGCTATGTAAATGTAAACATAAAAAGTTGAAAATTAACCTTATGATAATACCTATTTTCATTTATTGAAATAATTAAAAGATATCGTAAAAGAATCTTAGGATAGACTCCAACTATATAATACTGTTCTGTATTAGGCTTCCATGCAAATAGGCAAAGAATTGAATTATAGGCATCATTGCATCACGTTATCCGTATCTCTTGTTTGTTTCAAAATTAGAAAAGAAGTTCATGCTTTCTTCACTTTGATGCTGTAAAGTTAATATTTTGAAAGACAGTTTACATTAACTTTAAATACCAATTAAGTATGCACCTACTTAATTACATTAACCATCAGGTGCGGAAAATACCTAACATGAGTTTTTTCATATTAACTAGATGGCGAGTCCCGCTTGCACTGAACTGGAAGTTGTGACATTGAATTGGCTCGGAAAACTGCTTGGTCTACCCGAGGAATTCCTCAATTGTTCCTCGGGACCAGGGGGTGGTATTATACAGGTACTAACTTTACTATGGTTATTATTTTATGTTAAGCAAACACTGTTACATTTTATTAGGTACTAGCGGCCCGTCCCGGCTTCACACGGGTGTAGGTATATTGGAAACATAATGAATTTATAATAAAACTAAATTTAAAAAAGAAGTATAGAATACATATAGTAGACATAGGTAGATATATATTCGGTTAACTGAAGACTACTTCAACATTATGCCCAGTTGTCATTCACATGTCAAATTATGAAGTTTAAGCAGTATAGAGTATTTAATTAATAACAAAGCAGAGCAAATCTGCTGAAAACAGGTCGAATATCTGAAATCCACTTGGTCAGGAGCAGGGCCACCCTGATTTTTCAGCTTAGCAAAAAGTTTCTCAGTAAATATTTAGATCGAGTACATTAAATCTATTTGGCTATAAATATGGCCACCCTGATTTTTTTATTTAGCAAAGAGTTTATTTTAGGCATATAGGTTGAATATATTTTTATCCCGGAATTCCCAAGGGAACGGGAACTTCGCGGGTAAAACCACGGGGCGCAGCTAGTAATAACATATTAGAGCAAATTAGCTGAATATGTTTTTTATGTAACTTGCTATCCTTATTTCTCGTCGTAGAGATTGAATTTCAAAAAAATATGAATCACTTTTTTTTTTTACATTCAGTTTAGTTTATCTAAGCCTAGTTTCAAAGCTGTCAAGCTGGCCCAACTCGTTTTCCCATGCAAACTTTGAACCTCTATTCCCACACCACCACACAATTCGCCATCCAATTTACGGTGGAATATTCAAAAACCCTTTCTCGCTTGATGCCTAAGTCATTTAAACAACCTATTTACTAAATATCATGTATCTACGACCAAAGTGTAGGGTTTTTGATCTTTGTTTAAGGAGGGTAGTTCTGAAAAATGAAAACACTCATAGCATTTTTATTTTATACAGAGTAGTAGTGCAAAATTTAAAGCAATCCTATGCACTTTTGGGTGCTCCCATACAAACTTTGTCACGATATTTTGTAATTTTTTAAGGTAGTTGTATAATTTGTATGTAACAGGCTTAGTTTACATCTATTATTAGTGTTTATGCAAAATTTGTAGTCAATAGGTCCGAGGGATAAGATTTTACGAACAAAGTTTTTTGTCTCAATGTCAACAAATTCCCACATATTACTTGTCGAGGCAATAACAGGCACCTACTGTCCAAATTTCATCATTCTATGTCTAGCCGTTTAGGCTGTGCGTTAATGAGTCAGTCTGCCAGTGCATCCTTTTCTCTCTTTTTATAATAGTAAAGATAAAGAATTTTATTTACCAGAAACTATTCGGCCCAGGTATCACACTGGATTTGAACCAGCGTATTTCGCTGTCTGAGTAAATGCACTAACAGTTTTGCTACCGAAACCATTAAGGATGTGGTTAATTTCTTCTACTATTAAGTACCTATCTTATTAATGCTGCAAAGCCATTTCTTCACATTGCAAGGAACTGCAATTTCAAATGAGATCCTTTACAACTATCATAATTGGAAAGTTGAAATAGCATTGTAGAGTATAATTTACATAATTTATTTTTTAAATAACTATATTCAAATATATATATTTATAATCCCTTTCTTGTAAAAATCTAAAAACATCTATCATCATCTATGTCTTACCACTTATGAGTACATCGATGTTAACATTTTCCCACTTTACTGTAGCAGCTGATCATAGTAGAAATATTACCAATACATAAGTATAAAAAACATGGTTGCCCACACATTGTAAAATAAAATTAAAAACTGGATTTCTTTTTTACAGTCATCAGCAAGTGAAGCTACTCTTGTTGGCTTACTGGTAGCAAAGGACAAAACTATTCGTAGAATAACTGAAGTTAATCCATCCCTGGATGAAGATGTCATAAGGTCTAAGCTAGTTGCTTACACTTCAGACCAATGTAATTCATCCGTCGAGAAAGCTGGCCTTCTCGGTTCTATGAAAATGAGGTTACTAAAATCAGATGCCGATGGAAGATTACGTAAAGAAACACTTAAAAAAGCCTTTGACGAAGATATTGCAGAAGGATTAATACCATGCTACGCTGTTGCGAATTTAGGTACCACTGGTACTTGCGCATTCGATCCTTTATACGAACTTGGACCTTTGTGCAACGAATATAACGTATGGTTGCATGTCGATGCAGCTTATGCCGGAACAGCTTTCATATGCCCTGAATACAGACACTTAATGAAAGGCATCGAACACGTCGACTCTTTCGATTTCAATCCTCACAAGTGGATGAATGTTAATTTCGATTGCTCCGCAATGTGGGTGAAAAACGGACACGACCTCTTACAAGCTTTCGATGTACAAAGAGTATATTTAGCTGACACAAAAACAGACACTAAAATCCCAGATTATCGCCACTGGCAGATTCCTCTCGGACGAAGATTTAGAGCTATGAAATTATGGACCGTCCTAAGGATATATGGAGCAGAAGGCCTGAGAAGTCATGTTCGCAACCATATAGATTTAGCTCAATATTTTGCAAAATTAGCGCGAACGGATGATCGATTTGTGGTTGAACCCGAACCATCTATGGGGTTGGTTTGTTTCAGGTTAAAGGGTGATGACATAGCAACGAAAACTCTATTAGAAAATTTGACAAAGAAAAAGAAAATTTACATGGTAGCCGCAAGTTACAGGGGCAGATATATAATTCGATTTGCAGTCTGCTCACGAATTACAAAAAAAGAAGACATTGAATTCAGTTGGAATAAAATCAAACAAGAGGCAGATATCGTACTCTCCAATGAAATACAAGGCAAAATGAAAATTCCAGCTTTAGACCACATAGAAACTGTTGTATTTTCTGAAAAATCCAAATAATAATTCGAATTTATATTACGTACATGCTTATTAGGGTCAAGTAGATGAGTTTTAATATGTTAAATAGTGTTTACCGACAACCCAGTGGTGGTGGGAATAGAATTTAATGACCAACAATTATGTGTCCCAATGAAACCATTCATATTTTAAGTAAGTAATGATATTGTCTAAATACTCCTGTAATATGTGTTGTGAAAAGTGTAATGTAATTTTATAGCATTCTTGGATTTACTTTGATTAAAGCGATACATTAGGTACCTCTACCTATTATTATTTGTAGATACATAATGAAAAATAATAAACCAACATCAATCCAAAACGTACTTTTTATTTTTTTATATTTACTTTCACAAAATCAATTATTCGATACAGACGACAACAAAAAGTTAAAAAATACTAAGGCCCGTATTACAGAAAGATTCTCAGTGATCAGAGTGAGAAAGGGATGTCGCTATGTGCTGTATATAGCGACATCCCCTTTCTAACTATGCTCAAGACTAGATCAATCACTGAGAATATTTCTATAAGTCACTTTAAATACAACTACACATGTTACTGACGCAAAGGCCATAGGAATAGCCTTTAGGTATGCAGTGTTCTTCGCAAATTCTGTCTTCGGCAGGCTCTGGGCCTTCGTGCTGGCACCACATACGACCAGGGATAGGCGATTCTGAAAATAAACAAACATAATTTAGCTGTTGGGTAAGATGACATCATTCCTTGTGACACTGCCTTGCTACTTATGAAACTAACATCAATTTACAGTACATACATGCGAAACAATCAAATACCAATTAATTGATCTATTGTCTAAAACTCATAAAATCGTTTTAAATGAGTTTGATAATTTCCAAGTATTTGATAATTCATATAACTGCTTGAAGATTACTTGGAGCTAGCAACAATGGATGTACTTAATCAAAAACAAATAAGTGTTGGGCACTTATTTGTATTAACGAGACAGAACCAAGATACACTTTAAATCAAAATAAAAAGATATTTTTGACACCTATCCCATGTTAAGTTTTGGTGAAACTTGCCTAACGTTAGCAAAGCGAACGAAAGTACCGTTGCGCTAGTTTCCGCATATGGTACTTAAGTACTTCTTAGAATCAAATTGAAAATTAAAGGATGAACAATTTTATAAAAAAAATGATATAATAGAAAATACAGTTAAGTACCTACTTTTTCTACCTGGATAGATACCCTCAATATTTAATAAAGTTAAAAATAGGACAGAACTTACATAAAAAAAACTATATATAAACTTACCATGAACAATAACTTTTTGATCCGGCTTCCTCTCAGCATTTAGTACTGCAAATTCTTGTGTTACCGGTAGACTTTCTTTTTTCACAACTGTGTCATCTTTGGGTAGACAAACGGTATTACGCGCTAAACTCACAACCAATACAATGGAAAAAATCACATATGCTCTGAATTCCATGATTACAAAACTCTTTTGTTCAGATGCGCGATAAACAATGCAATACGTCAAATGAGTGCAAGCACCTATTGGCGACTAATTTAACGGAAGAACAAGGAACAATGAATCATTAAAATGTTTCCCGTGCGGACGGTTACGAATAATGAACAGAAATGTTGCAAAGGTCAAGCAGAAGCGTACACTTATATGCGACTGCCTTCACAATATAACCATTTTTATAAGCGGTTACGGGTTACTCAACTAACTGGTGGTGATAATCACAAACAACGAAGTTTCCTACCTACTTACTCTCTATGAAACGTAGGACTCGATTCGATTTCATAATAATTTCAGAATATCATAATATATATTTATGTATTACAAAGAATTATGCATTATGAGGAAAATAATGATATTTTTAACAGACGTCAAAAAGCAGAAGAATCACAATTCGTCAGTAAACTATACTCTAGACATATAGGTATATAGTACTTTACACTAATGTTATTATTTATCCTATTTTTATTTTTTAAACATTTAACTGCTGGGTGTTTAAATCAAAAGAAAATTTTACTAGAAAAAAATCAACTTGGTCCAGACAGCCATATCTATCTATGTTTATCGTTGTGTTCATTTGGTAAGTACGTATTAATTACAAAAATCGTCATAATGAAACTTCTAGATAATGGTAAAAACCTCGCCCCTAGAAAATACGCTACACTACTATATAATTATTTTGAAAAAAATAAGCTTATGTATAAATTTATCATTTACACCTACTCTCATAATTATCTATATTAAGAAAGATTACATTGGAAAAAATCCACGCGGGCCAGGCAGCAGACGGGGCTCGAACCCGCACCCTTCGCTATCCGAGCGAATGCACTGATCAATTATGCTACCGCGGCCCTGACGGCCGGGTCGAAATTCTTCTAGCCATTTTTAAGCTACAAGGCAACGCCATCTCTTGGCATTATAAAAGATGGCGCTGCCTTGGGTTCGAGTCCTGTCTGCGTTTGGTCCGCGTGAAATTTTTTCTAGTTATATTTTCTTTAGATTTAAACATGAAACAGTTACATGCTTAAAAAATTAAAATAATATAAGCATTCCTCTGCTAGATGTTTAAATCTAAAGAAAAGTTTACTAGAAAATATTCCACGCGGACCAGGTATCCCGTCCCTTCTGCTGCCTGGTCCGCGTGGAATTTTTTCTAGTAAACTTTTCTTAAGGTCAAAATTAGTGAACACAAATTTTAAGTCTGAGTTCTCTGTACCAGATTTTGATTCCTGATACCCTTTTTTGTTTTAATCTAAATGTAAGCTTATACCATAGATGAATGATTGGTTTCGCTGTGAAGCGACACTAATCATTCATCTATGGCTTATACCTAATTGACATAAAAAAAACATACTTTTATTTAAAAAAAAGTTTGCTTTGTAGCTATCAGAATGAAATTTTAAATTTCATAGAAAATTGCTAGCTCTTTTTCTTAAAATAAACATTGATTTATTTAATTGCTTACGACAATAAAACCGAGTCTATGAATACGAAAAAATTAAATTTAGTTTAAAAAGATATATATTATTGGCATTTCTTATAATTTTTAGTCTAAAAATTTACGCGTTACGAAAAATTATGTGTTCAGGTGAGGCGAACGGAAGTTGAGTGGGGTATATAAGCAAGAGAAAGCAGTGCGCGCGCACATTTTCTTTCTCTCTTTTTCTTATATCTAGTAAATGAAATATGTATAAACATACATGTATATATTGTACACATACACATATATATATATATATATATATACATACATACAGATGGAGCTAAAGAAGTTCCACTTCAGTCGTGTGGTCATAAGCACACTCGTTTATTCGCTATTTTCATCAAAACGGTAAGTTCATCGTAAAATTATATTAGAAAAAAAAGGTCATTGAATTATCTATAAAAAAGGTAGAAATATTTTTTTACCTAAAATCCATCGTTCCTGAGATATAAGGATTGTCATATTAAGCAAAAGTACGTCTCGTATATACATCTCTGTTGCTGTCATATTAGTTAAAATATTTTTCAATGGTATTTTAACTTACATTAAAACATACATACGTATAACTGTGCGAATAATGTGCTTAAGCTTTCAAAAAAAGTAATTCTAGAACCTTCATCGATTCTTAATAACTTCAACGGATTCTTGCTCTTGTGACTCCATTACTCCACAAAGCCCTATTCATCTTCTGACCGAGTGCCCGCGATTTGCCTCGCAGCGCCACTTGCGTGTAGCTCTCTGCGGTAGAGGTCCAGGACCCATTCAACTTTACTGATCTCAGTCGACACAGTAGGCTGGTTGAGTTCGTGGTACGTTTTATCACTTATATATATGCAGACCCCTCTTTCCCAGTGGGCACTTTGGGCAAGTGCCCAGGGCCCCGCGACCAATAGGGGCCTCCCTCAGATCAAATACAAAGTCCCTAGTTCCTGTCAGATCACCAAACGATAACCAATATTTATTACCAAAAAACTTATATAATTCGATGAAATCGAACCTAAATTTTATTTACTATTTTTTTACAACTAGGTAGGCAAATGACTACCCCACCTGATGTTAAGTGGTGATAAAATCCAAACGCGAAGATAGCTGTTACAGCAGTTATAAACTGCTACACCAACCATTCTCACCTTGCCGGCCCGCAAAAATGCTTCTTCACGCCTCTCTTAAAGGACCCTAGATTATAGAAAGGAGGGAACACGTGCGCGGGTAAAGAATTCCACTTACGAATAGTACGACAAAGAAATGAGTCGTCAAATTTCTTTGTTCGTGTAGGAATAGTGGCCACAGTAAGTCGGTGGCAACGGCCTACGTTGCCGCGTGGTCCTCTGAAGAAAAGGTGATGGAGGAATAAGCGAGAATAGCTCCTCAGAACACCCGCCGTGGTATAGTCGGTAGAATGCGCTTAATGATGCCACATCACGGTGTAATTGTAGAGACTCGAGTTTCTTAGTTACCTCTTCATCGCCAATGATGCGGGCAGCGCGCCGCTGCAACCTATCCAAGGCATCGAGTAAGTACTTAGCGGAGCCATCCCAGAGGTGCGAGCAATATTCCACGCAGGACCGCACTTGCGTTTTGTACAACAAGCACAGTTGATCGGGCGTGAAAAAACGCCGCACCTTGTTCAGGACTCCGAGTTTGCGTGAAGCAGTTTTGATCAAGGTTTCAAGGTTCAGGTCTGAGCGAACTTCCATACCGAGCATGGTAATATAGCTCTGTAGCGCCAGTGTTGTGCCCTGAAGAGAGGGAAGGGGAAGGAATGGCGATGTTTTTGACGTGAAAGAGCAAGCCTGAGTTTTCTTGGCATTGAACTCAACCAAGTTCCTGGTACCCCATTCGGAAATGTGGTCCAAAGCCCGATTGAGCTCAACGACAAGATTCTCCCGTTTCTCCATGGTTTCTACCTGTCCAGCCGCCAGCCGCCGCGTGTCCAAAGTATCTCGCATGCACTGTGCTATCGTCTGCATAGCAATGAATATTCGCAAGTGGAATCAAATCATTGATATGCAGCAGAAAGAGTGTGGGGGATAGAATGGAGCCCTGAGGAACACCGGCATTCACTGACATGAACTGCGAACTACATCCGTCCGTAAGGACGCGAATTCTACGCTCATGCAGGAAGTCAGCTACGCAGAGCTGAGCAGGCAGACCGTATGCAGGAAGCTTGGAGAGAAGGCTTTTGTGCCAGATCCTGTCAAAGCCTTGGCGATGTCAAGGCTAACAGCCAGAGACTCTCCCCGCTTGTCTATAGCTTCACCCCAGATGTGTGTCATGTACGCTAGAAGGTCACCCGTCGATCGATTCGGCCTAAATACTATACCAACTTACTAGCTTTACTTAACTAAAGCTATTCTATTCTTGCCAAAAAATTAGGCTTTCCGACTTCATATAATGATATAATGATGAATATACATATAATGATATACTAAGCACATACACATTTTAAAGAAAAATCATCAGTAGTACTCTCATCAGTATGATTCGCTCCATTTCAAGTCATAATCCTCATCAAAGTCATAGGGGCCCCATTATCCTAATATATCCAGGACCTCCAATAGGTTAAAGACGGCCCTGTATATATGACAACTTTAAGACATTCAACGAAATTTCAAATTTCGCAAACGGAACCCCTAAATCAAAAAATTAACCCCTATTTTTTTCAAAATTAGTTTTTAACATTTTGTCAGGGTCATGGATATACATATCTCCACAAAATTACAGCTCTCTAGTGCTAATAGTCTCCAAGCAAAACCGGGGACGCCGGACTGACTGACATGACGAAACTATACGGGTTCCTAGTCAGGACTACGGAATCCTAAAAAGTATCTTCTATCTTACCTCAGAGGTTGCGTGGATACGTGTACATATTATGACGCTTACAACTTTGAATCATTATATGTTTATGGGTCTCAGATGTAGAACACCAGAGACGCAATGCGTTCTGATAGCATTAGAGACCACTAAAAGACCCCTATCAGAAAACGGCGTAAAATCGACATTAGAAAGAAACACTATAAATTCGGGTATCTTGGAGTTTTCTGAATATCTACGGGAGTATCGTGGAGCCTTATGGACATCGTATTTTTTACTATTTTCCTCATACTCGAAATCCGAAAGGAGCACGTTGTAACAATTTTTCACCCCCTGTGGGGTCGGGTATCCGGCGCTTTTTGGCCATACCAATGTAATCATAATATCAATAAAAACTACCACTAAGTATTTATGTACAAAAATAAGAACATACTAAGTTATATACATTAGATTAGAAGAATATTATTTTAAATAAATAATTTCAATTTATAAAAAGCACGCCTTTCTCTTTCTAGCTTCCCACTCTCCGTTTAAAATTTTTTGCTTTATTGAAAGTTATAACTAAAATTGTAAGCATCAGGATTGACTGAGCGTGAGTAGAGCGCAGTCAATTTCCCGCAGCGCGGCGCAGCCGCATTCATACTGACGCTTCATAAAGGCTCCCACCCATTTTAATTGCTAAATAAAGGCTCGGCATTATTGCAGGGGGGGGAGCAAATTAGGCACTCATTTTTAATTTATGATTTTTTTAAGACAGGTTTGTCAAAAATATCAATTAAGTCTAACAAGAATAATTTAATTTAGTCAAACATATCATCATATGTTAGTAAGGTACGTTTTGCATCTTTAGGTGGTGGCGGGTTACGTGGCGACGGGGATGGTGTCCAAGCACCTGCTGGGGGTGGTCTACGGACCAATGTCATTCGCCAGCCTTCTTCATTGCCTTCCAGGGCAGTTTGAGCATGAACTGCTATCTCTGGTGTTTCAAAGGTTAAGAATACTCTGAAAATTATGATAAGTCATAAAAAGAAAAGTAAAAATGCTGTAAGTAGAATAAAAAAACATTATAAATCTCAATATTAAAATATATACCTGTCCTCATCATTATCTTGAGCATAAGTGAATGGTTCAAATGTGGCTAATCGGCGTCTAATAACTTCCTCTGTTATTCTAGTGCCTGCTACTTGCAATGTGCAACTTTTAATTACAGCTGTATTTGGCACTTCTCCTCCAGTATTAGTGTTGCGTGGTCCTTTTTCTTCCCTTGAATTATTATAAGTTACAATTAAAATCAGTTTATAGGAAAATGTCAGCACAGTGGCTTAGCTTTTGACTTTTATGTGAGATGCCATACCAGTTTAGGATCCTAAATGAGCACATTTAATTTTGTAAAATGTAACAAAGAAAAAATCACTGATTCACATTATTGCTTAAATGCCACAAATTTCTTGTACCATCTATTTAAAAATGTATATTGAAAACCATTCAAAATAGTTGTATTATGCTGTTAAATTTAAATAAAATAATAACTGCAAGACAGTGACATAAACAGTAAAAATCCATACTTATCACGAGCAGTCACAAAGGAATCATAAAGATATTTGACTCGAGGAGAAGGTTTCTCCTCTGGTGGTGGAGGCTCCTGTGACGCACTAAAGGGTTGGTATGAAGCAACACCACCTGTCACTCCGGCAGAACCACTAAGCTTCCTTTCTCTTCCTTTACATGTAAAAAGCAGATAAATAAGAATCAAATAATAATGCAAATTTTCAAATAGATATAGAATATAGATATAGATTACACATAGAATAAAAAAATGGGTGCGTGTACTTATGTACTTATGTAGAAGTTATCCTTCTTTGGCATCGTTTAAAATTAGTTTTTAATTGCATGCAAATAATTAATTACAATAAATTAATAAAAAGTCTGGAAAAGGACACAGTCAATAAAGTTCAGTTTTAATTTGAAAAAATAAATAAATAATCAAAATATTCAATTAAAATCGCTACTGAATATAATTTATTAGAACATATGTGATTTGCACTTGTATGAAACTCAAACACGTATTCCGAATATACAAACTAGAAACATGTGGATAAATTTATAAATATGAATACCTATAACTGTTACTTTATTACAAAAAATAAAGATGTGGTTTTTGGTTCTACTACACCAATGGTCAAGAGATGGCGCTGTAGTCTCCTGAATCGCGCTTTGGTTCCGTTGTTCCAGATTAATAAATACTTTTGATAGGCCTTCACAATGCAGTCGTTAGCACCCACTAAATAGAAATTCTATTTCTATTTTGTTGGTAGATTTTCTTAATGTGCGGTAAACACAAAAGTAACGCATGAAGTTGATCGCTAAAGCGACTAACTTCATGCTGTTAAAATTTTGTGTCACAGTGATGCGCGCGCGCGCATCTTAAAATATCTTAAAATTTCACTCTCATCATTTTTTCATAACGCGCCTAAAGAAGTATAACTTCAAAAATGCAACAATAAATTTAACAGAAGCATGTCACCATGGGTGAGTGCCTGCAGGATTTGTCAGACCTTTATAAAATTCTGCTGTAAAATAACCATAAGATAGAGTAGATTCAATTGCTGCTTCTGCTTGTTCTTTGGGTTTACCATACATATGATACTCTTAATGTTAAAAGCTAATATGACAATTGATATGCTTCAAAGCTTTTTTTGGATTCAACTTAGTCAATAAGTTGTTTGTTTTATTACATAAAAGTTGAAATGTATGAAAGAATCACAAAGAAAAGTTACAACTTTTCATTTACGTCTGGCTAGAATTTAAAAACTGAGACAGTTTGTTTTGTTTGATAAATGAAGAAGCAATTAATTTAAATCAAATACCTGCTCGAGGACGCTTGAAAGTAGCGTTTTGAGGTGGTGGAGGAGGGCTTTTAATAGCCTGAATTGCTCCACTTTTTATTAATTTCCGAGCGATTTCACGTGCATCGCGGGCTTCTGTAGGCCGTTTAGGTAGTATAGGTTTTTCTGGTTCTTGTTTAGGTGCCTTGAGAGCCTGGAGAGCCTTCTTCTTCTTTTTTAATTTTTGATACTTTGCTTGAAGCATTAGTTCCTCTTCTGTTAAATTAGAAGGAAAGTGTAGATACACCATTTTTATGTTTATAGTAAAATCTTCTACTCTTGTGATGAATGACTTATTTTAAAAAAACTAAAGGTTCTAATAAACTGAAAGTATTATTTTTTAACTTTCTTCCTTTTTAGGGAAGCCAAAGGGAACAATATCCATACAACCAAGTCATAAAACTGAAAGTAGTTTTGTGCACAGATTACGAAGATAATGGTGTCGATTCTGACGTAATTCTCTAAACTTAAAACTAAATTTAACATCAGTCTCTCTTTTTCATTCTGTATAGAGAATGACAAGGATACACTCTTGTCAAATTTAAGTTTAGATTTAGAGAATCGGCACCACTGGTGTCGATTCTGGCAAGATTCTCTAAACCTAAAACTTTTTTTTTCTAAATGGCTTCGCACGGCTTGTGCATTTAGCCAATGTCAAGTGTCAAAATGTTTACAAATTCTAGGGAGTTTTTGGCGGGATTTCATCGAGTGCGGTTGGCGTCTTATTTCAATTATTCTTAAATTTGTTCATAGTGGATATTGTGAAATAAAATTAGTGTGATTTTGTGTTACAACCGTCTGCGCAACTAAAGAATTAGTGGAATCTTTAAAATATACGCTATTCCGATCAAGTGGACGTGAGAATTTTATTGTAGTGTTGACTACCGCACAGAAGCTTATCGAAAAAGCCAACTCGATATATTTCGTGCCAAACACTCCAAGAAGCATTAGAATGCGTCACACCCACATTCTGTTAATGTATGTAATGTAAAAAAAAGGAAGATTAATACAAAAATAAGACGATGGCTGCATGACTTTGCGTTTTTCAATAAACAAGAATAGAACTAAAAAAAAATTACAAATTCTATAGCACTGGTGGTCTAAGTAATAAATCAAGTCAAAGTAAGTGGCAGTCAAGTCAAACCCCCTGTCCCTATGTTTCAGTAAATGTGTGAGGATTTACTGAAACCTCCCCGTGGACTTGTTGAGGGAACGTCGAAAAAAACTTTCCGCTATTTTGTTTCACTCGCCAACACTTGAGCATGTTCCCGAACACTTAGTGGTTAAATATCCACCATTATTAGACACTACACATTTTTTAACTAAAAAAACAAAACTGCTAAAGTGACGCCATCCCGCCACCCGATCCCGCCAAATAGTCCTTAAAACTTTATCTGTTTTTGGATTCTGAAGTGATTCTCTATACAGAAATTTAACATTAGTCTGTCCTTTTTATTCTGTGTAGAGAAAGACAAGGATGAACTGTTGTCAAATTAAATTTTAGGTTTAGAGAATCACGCCAGAATCGATACCATTTATCTCTTAAAAATATCTAAATAGATATTTTGAGAACGATTTTTATCTGTGTTGATAAATCGTTATAGGAAGCCTAAAATGTTATTGCACTACTTTTAGTTACCTGTCAAAAAAAGGGCGCCAACGTTCAAAGAGTTAAGCGGGATTTTGAATATATTTTGAATTAATTCTTTGAAAGCCCTTTAATAAAGTTAAATTTATCATAATCTAAGTATTTTAACCAATTAACTTATAATTTCTGTAGTATGAGTGGCGAAAGTGGGGGCAGAATTTCTGCCCCCAAAAAGAAAACTTTTGAATGTCGAAGAGGATTCACCACCAGAAAAAATGGCGGCCAACTTTATCCGAAGTAAAAGGGGCTTATTCAAAGATTACGTCCACATATACACCGAGGATTGCAAAAAAGAATACCCTATTTTAGTATCATCTACCACACCAAACATCAAGCTCGACATCATGAAATTTAATGCGTTACTAGAATCTTGTTCAGGACTGATGTATGTAAAAGGTATAGGAAATCACCTTATTAAAGTTTTCTTTGCTACCAAGAAAGATGCAAACAGTTTTCTTCTGAATAAGGAGATGCTTGAAAAAAATGGACTGCAAGCAAAAATACCCTATTTATAATGTTTGGGAATAATAAAAGCACCAAAGGAACTGTCTGAAGATTTATTAACCAAGTTTAAGTCAACTTTTGAAATAATTGGTGTAAAGCGCTTTATGAGAAAAGATGCTGATGGCTTGTTTATTCCTACCCCTACTGTTCTACTGACTTTTTTAAGTTCAACCCGTCCAGATCACATTACTTATGATTATATATGGTTAGACGTCTATGAGTATATCAAACCAATACGGCAATGCTTTGTCTGCTATAAGTTTGGACATGGTCGAGGATCCTGCAAGAGTGTCCAAGTTTGCTCCTTATGTTCTGTAAATCACTTTTTGAAAGACTGTGAAAACAAAGATAATGTCATTTGTGTTAATTGTAAAGGATCACATTTGGCTATAATCAGTGAAAGCTGCTAAAAATCAAGAATTGAAAGCAAAAATTAATGGTAAACTTAGTTATTCTACTGTGGCTGCCAAGGTAAAACCCTCACCATCAATTTTCCCTTCCTCAAGACCGGATGATTTTCCCTACAAATTATAATAACCCCATTAAATTGCTTAATGTTCCCCGTAAAAGATTGTTATATACAGATATTATTAATTCTGATGATGTTTTAAATGTACTGACAAAAACACTTGTAGATATTGTTGTAAATATAAAGGGCTCTCATTCAGATATTACTGTCTCATCTAAACTCATAAAAGAAATGCTTATTAATAATTTTACATAATAGTTTTATAATAATAATACTAATTTGAAACAACTAAACATTTTGCATTGGAATTGCCGTAGTATAGTACAAAAATTAGACCAATTGAAACATTTTATTGTAAGTTATATCTCTAGTATAGACCTAATTCTTTTAAATGAAACTTGGTTAAGTAACACTAAAATGCTTAAGATACCAGGTTACAAGGTATTTCGACGTGATTCAGATCGTCCTCATGGAGGCATTGCAGTAGCTATAAAAGATAAGAATGATTATAAAATTTTTGACTCTCCTTCTACTTATCATTTTCAAAATACATTGATTTCTTCAATGCCCACCACACTTCCTTTGGCTCTAGATTCATTGACAGAAGAGGTACTATTATACATTCCTTTGCAGATGACCAAAACATTATTTGCCTGAATAACAACACAGTTACAACATTTGCTCCACATGGTCAATGGTAATGTTTTGGACTTAGCTTTTGCATCGTCTGCGGTGAGTTCAAGTTGTTCATTTTCTGTTCACGATGATTTACTTAGCAGTAACCATTTTCCGATTTTCATTGGCATTTTGTATAACAATACTGATAACTTTTCAAAGCCCACAACCAGGGCCGGATTTAGGATTGTGGAGGCCCCGGGCCACTTAGGATTTGTATTCTTACTAACCCATCGAAATGTTGTTATTTCTTAAGCTGTTGTGGAGGCCCCTGGGCCACAGCCCCACCTGCCCTGCCTTAAATTCGGCCCTGACCTCAGAGGTTGCGGGCAAGTACTACCCCACTCAGCCATTAAGCGATTGGCGTACCTACTCCCTCAAGATGGGTAGTGAATTGGAATTGCTTATCAGGGCCATTTGAGATTTTGATATTTCACTGATTGCCTGATTGGAGTGAACAAATATAGATCAATGATTTCTGTTATTTAAGATTAATATAATCAAATACTTATGTATGTTAGATGTGCAAAGTACTGTAGGCTGTAGGTAAAGGTAAAAGAGCAAAAAAAAATATCAAAGGAAAAGATGTTTACTAGTGTTTACTAGTTGGAATTTGAAAGTTTTTTTTACCCAAGTCTCTATTGTGGGGGCCCACCGTTTGTGGAGGCCCCGGGCCCCGGGGCTTTCGCCCCGGTTGCCCTCCCCTAAATCCGGCAGTGCCCACAACAAACCAAAATACCATCCACAACAAATACAATTCTTCCGATTGCAGACCTTGTTTATCCAATATCAACTTTCATAAAATAGAATGGTCAAAATTTTATGATTTGTGTAACGATAGATTCTCTTCTTTCTCAATAGAGTCAAATCCTCTAGCTAGTTATGATGCGTTCTTTGATAACTTATGTAATATTTTGGTAAAGTTACCCAAAAAATGTTGCCTCTAAAAAACGTAAAAGAACATTATCAGAAGAAAAACAATTAAGTTGGGTCAATTTAAGTAGCTCTTTCAATAGGACAGCCCCATCAAAAATAATTTGGGATTATATTGAGTCATGCTTTAAAACTAAAGGATCTGAATCTGCTAGATGGCTGCAGAACGCTTTTGACTTTTACGAATTTGAATTTTTATCTTTTATTTTTTGTTAAAATAGGTTTTAAGTATTTTGTTCATTTATATTTGTAGACGTCTCTTGCTTGTTTTCTGTGTGTTTAGCATTTTAATCTATTATATAAAAGAAATATGTAATAGTTTTAGGTAGCTTTCCAATTACAGCATTATAGCGCATTATGCGGCATAATGCTTAACGTTGAGTGTTCCAACTACAGCAACGCTTCGCACAATTGAGCACTCTCAAAAGTGATGCTTTCGTGTGATGCGTGCAATCGTACCAACTTAGAGACAGAAAATTAACAAGTGTTTTTTCTTTAAGTTGGCATTGATCGAAATGTTTTATTTATATGTTATCGTTAGTAATATTATTTATTGTTGAAAAATTATTAAAGCTTTCGTTTCATTAAATAGTTTTTTTTTAAATAATCAAAGTTCATTCAAACTGTTAAAAAATAAATATAAGTATGGATGAAGGTACAAACACTGACTTTTTTTTTCAACACTGAACTTAGCGCACTCTGCTGGTGCATTTGAAAACTAATTCACGTTCCAATTAAGCATCAGCATAATTGGGCATTGTGCGGCACTGAGTCGCATTATGCTCTGTAATTGGAAAGCATACTTAAGTTTTAGCTGATGGCCCCAGCAGCCAAAGCTATAATAAATAAAAAAAAATAGTTACCTGTCACTGTCAATTCTGTCATTGTAAGAATTGCAAAATAAAAATAGAACCAAAACGTTGGAGAAAATTAAAAAAATGCTTCGCCTTTCGAAAAAAATTGTGCCCGCAATACTAAATAACTTAACAAAAACAACACGTTGGACAAATCAAGAAGTTGTTATTGTTTTTCAAACAAAACGCATGTTTTCAGGTGATGACAAATTTTATTTCTTTTTAATTATTGTTCTTATTTGCGCGCTGTAATTTAATTTTCTGCTTTAATAATTCATTTATTGTAGTATGTAAAGAAAACATCTTATTATAAAATAAGATTCTTAGGCTCCTTGGTGAATAGTTTATGATAATAATTTTTTATAGTCTTTATCCAAGTAACTAAATATGATCATTATCATCATCAACAGCCTGTCCTAGTCCACTGCTGGACATAGGCCTCTCCAATTACATTAATATATTTGCAGTTACTACTATTAATAGTTTTTGGTTGTTTTTCATGTTTCTGGATATATATACTCAGTAAAAAATATCCTACTATGTTCCGTAATTTGTATATATTTCATCGATATGAGCTGCTTTTAAATAACATTATTCATAACAACAATTCTACTCATTAGCCTAACCCCAAAGTAAGCACTGTAAGGCTTGTGTTTAGGATACTAGGGTAACAGAATGCAGATAAAGTGTGCACTTTGATAGTGGAAGATGCCAGATTCATGAACAATGTGTTTTATGTGCAAATACTTTATAAAAAGTTGTCTTTATATATCCTACAATCATGATAGGTACTTGTTATACCTTTATACCATAAAACTTAGTAAGTAAAGTTATACTTAACAAAATTCAATTGCAGAAAAAAGTAAATTTTCAATTAAGAACGAAGAATATGGAAGGCCTCTTTATTTTGATGCACAAGCTACAACACCTTTGGTAAGTAGCCGACAGTTAAAATAATCCAAACTTTAATAAAATAAACTGTGTTATGTTTTTTTTAAAGTAACAAAATTTTAATTAATATTGAGGTCAAATAAAATATTGCCCACATAGAAGATAAAATAAAAAACTGAACAAGGAGGCAGCAATCATTCCATTCTTTTACATGTAATTGTTACATGGCTGATAGATAAATCATGTCAAACCATCCTAAACTAAAGCATCATGTCCTTTTTCTAGGACCCCAGAATTCTTGATGCTATGCTACCATATCTTGTAAGCTACCATGGCAATCCACATTCAAGAACACATGCTTATGGGTGGGAAAGTGAGGCTGCAGTAGAGAAAGCAAGGGAGCAAGTAGCTAATTTGATTGGTGCAGACCCTAAGGAAATTATTTTCACTTCTGGAGCCACTGAGTCAAATAATATTTCAGTAAAAGGAGTAGCACGCTTTTATGTTCCAAGGAAGAAACATGTTGTAACAACTCAAATTGTGAGATACCCTATAAAGTTAAAAAAAAATGTTGTATATGATTTCAATAACAAGCTAATTAATTCGCAATTACTATTTCAGGAACATAAATGTGTATTAGATTCATGTCGTGCTTTGGAAGGAGAAGGATTTAAAATAACATATTTACCAGTTGGCCCTAATGGTATTATTAATATAAAAGAACTTGAGAATGCACTTACCCCTGAAACCAGCCTTGTATCCATTATGATGGTAAACAATGAAATAGGTAAAAAAATGACACTAACAATATAAATGTTGTACAAATAGCAGTATAATAAATAACTGTTGTATGTTATTTTTGGATGGCATTAATAGTGATAACATAATTCCAGGTGTTAAGCAGCCAATTGCTGAAATAGGAGAATTGTGTAGGAGCAAAAAGATATTTTTCCACACTGATGCAGCTCAAGCTATAGGGAAAATTCCAATAGATGTAAATAAAATGAATATCGATTTGATGTCAATTTCTGGTCATAAAGTCTATGGTCCTAAAGGAGTAGGTGCTTTATATATTAGGCGCAGACCCAGAGTTCGAGTAGAACCCATACAAAGTGGTGGAGGGCAAGAGAGGGGTATGAGAAGTGGAACAGTTCCTACTCCACTAGTAGTTGGATTAGGTAAAATTTATACAAACATAAAATACGTGCAGTAAGGTAGCTAGCACAATAATAATGCTTGTTTATCACATTTTATATTTTTAGTTATTTTAATCAGTATCTATAGTTTATATGGAACATGGTTTTATATATTATGGAACACACGTCTCTGTATCTGGAGGTGGGCGCTAATAGCTGTAACACAGTTCTAGAAACTAATATAGCTATTAACGAGCCTAATTATACATGTAACCTTAATTAGTTCCAATAAATATATTTTCCTTTTCATTTTCATAAATTATTCTATCTTTTGGCATCTAGGAGCAGCATGTGAACTTGCTGGTCGTGAAATGGAGTATGATCATGCTTGGATGGAGAAGTTATCAAAGAGGTTTCTAGATAAAATTTATTCAAAACTTACTCATGTCATTAGAAATGGTGATGCTCATGAAACATATCCTGGATGCATAAATTTATCATTTGCTTATGTAGAAGGTAATTAAGAAAAATATCAAAAAGACTTTTAATAAGAAACAAGTTAAGCAATTACCTTATTAATTAAATCAATGCATATAATATGTCGTTTTTGTAAATTTCAGGTGAATCATTGTTAATGGCTTTAAAAGATGTTGCTTTGTCTAGTGGGTCAGCTTGCACATCTGCATCTTTGGAGCCATCTTATGTGCTAAGAGCCATAGGCACTGATGAAGATTTGGCACATAGCTCAATCAGGTACCTAGTATGCCGAGTTGTATTATTATATAAAAATATGATACTCTAAGACCATGCTTGACATTTTTTTTCTCATTTATATAGATTTGGATTGGGTAGATTTACTACTGTTGAAGAAGTAGATTATACAGCTGAAAAAACTATTCAACATGTGGAAAGACTAAGAGAAATGAGCCCTCTGTGGGAAATGGTGCAGGAAGGAGTGGATATAAAAAATATTCAATGGTCACAGCACTAATTTGAACAAAATAGAACTTGGAGAGTTTATTCAAACTAATAATTGATGTGTCAACTGTTGGTCAAATAATTGATGTATAATTGTTTTTTACAAATTTTAAAAACCATCAATTTTGTTCAACTGATTCAATATTTAAAATATGTAAAGTTAAATGTTTGTGATAACAAGATGTTTCTTTATAGCTTGATAATGTTAAGAGCACACAATTTGTGATTGAACCATTTTTATCTCATTATGTATAATTATAAAATATGTTGATAGTTATTGCATTGATAAATAATGAAATCGTTCATGGACGTATAAAAAAAGGCGGACAGAGTCCCGGCAAACAACAAACTGTGTCGCTCAGAGTCGGCCAGGTCGCTATATGTACAAGCCGGCACACACACATTCACACCATAGTCAGCCATTACGCGTGCAAACGTCAAAGCAGCCGATACGTTAAGTGGAGATAAAAATAAGTTAAAACAAGATGTCTTGCGTGGTAAAATGGTGTAAAAACCGTAGTGACCGAAAGAAAAAAAATCCAGGAATCACGTTTCATAGGTAAATGAACAATATAATCACTTTTTTCTAGTTTTTAGAAATCGAAATCAATTTTCATTCTAAGCACAAAATAATTAATCTAAAGTCCAGTGTTGTCAATGTTCACGTAACCATATTACCTAAAATATGGGAAATTGGGGTGACATTAGCTTCAATCTATTATTTGTTATTCTTTTTTATCAGATTCCCTAAAGAAAATGTAGAATGGAGAAATGACTGGATCCAAGTTATTAGGAATTGTAACGGAGATGATGAATGGATTCCAAATAAATATAGTGTCATTTGCAGTATCCATTTTGAAGCTGGAGACTTATATACTACTAAAAGAGGACTCCGGCGTGTTGTTACGCATGCAGTACCTCAAAAGGTAAATTAAAAATTTTAACCGACTTCAAAAAGAAAGAGGTTCTATACGTCATATTTGTTATTTTTTTTTTCAATTGTTGTTCGTGCATATCTCCGAGATTCGTGGACCGATTTTGATGATTATTTTTTTGTTTGAATCAGTTTATTAGCGAGATGGCTGTATTAATTAAGTGCAGAGCTGATGAGTATTTTCGGAGGGAAACAATGGAACTCCTCAATTACAAACAGTACTCAATGCATGTTTTGTTAATTTAAGAAATATAAAAAAGAATGCAGGCCTGGCCAGGCATATTTAGGTGATTTACTCTGGCTTATGAAAAGTGGAAAATATAAACTTTTTCATACAAAAATAAAAACAGACTTCATGTTAGTTTTCCAATTACAGAGCATAATGCGACTCAGTGGCTACCAATGCCGAATTATGCTGATGATTAATTGGAACGTGAATTAGTTTTCAAATGCACCAGCAAAGTGCGCTAAGTTCAGTGTTGAAAAAAAAGTGGAATATAAAAAAAGTCAATATTTGTTATATATAATAGTTTGAATTAACTTTGATTATTTAAAAAAACCTACAATGAAACAAAAGTTTTAAAATATTTTCAACGATAAATAATATTACTAACGATAATATTTAAACAAAACATTTCGATCAATGCCAACTTAAAAACAGTGCGTATGAACACAATTTTCGCCTTTCCAGTATCGATGGAAACGGTGCAGTGTGTTAAATTTTTGCCACGGGACCAACGTTCGACGCATCACCGCGGTCGTCGGTTCAAATCCCGCACTCGTGTTTTATTTTTTATTACATTTTTTTCCATTTTTTATATATTTGTTTTAGACCCCAGCACCTGTTCTTATTTTTATTTGTCTCCCTTTTATTTAGACTTTATAATTATAATTTTTGGACCTAAGGTGGTAAACTGTGGAGCATGTGGAAGTTTTTTGGCGCCGGGCAATGCTGTTGTTTGCTGTGCTTGCCCAATAAAATATCATAAGGCCTGCCTCGCCATCTATTAATATCAGAGAAAAAACTTGAATTAATATCAAAGAAAAAAAATACTGCATAAATAAATAGTATTATTGCATAAGTTGACAAATAATTCTATGCAATAGCTTTACCGCGGCAGTCCCCGAGTGCAACACGATTTTTTTTAAGTACACGATTTGCATACCTATTTTCTAAATACAGTGGAGCCCCGGTAATCCGGCCCCTGGCTAATGCGGCACCCCCTATAATCCGACATCGTCTATTACATACAAGTATTCGCTAATTCACTATTGAACAAGTTACAACTTGTACGCACCATCACAATTGTGCTCGACGCGTAGGGTATTGTTTTTTATATTTTTTTGTAAATTCTATAGCATTTGACGTTACTTTTATAATAAAACATAATCTTTCTATTGTGTTGTTTAATTTACTAAATTTGACATACATAACAAAGTATGTTTTGTAATCTTATCATTGGATCTGTAATTTGTCGGATTACAAGGTACTCTTTTGTAAAAAAATTCGGACTATAGGGGGTCTTAGGCAGTACTCTATAATCCGACAAATTCGATAGTTCGACACTGCCCTGCAAAATGTTTGTCGGACTACCGGGGATCCACTGCATTCTTTTAAGACCCTTTACTTTGATACCTCGCTTGACGGGTTATAAGCATTTTTTTTCTAAAGGTTTCATTTTGGCGCCTTATTATTGGGCATACATACATGCATACACGCTCGAAAAACATTATCCACCGCAGTCGGGTAAAATTTTGAACAATTAAAATATTTTGATCTTTTTACTGTGTTTTATTGGTAAAAAATTGGCTAACCTAGCAACCCTGCATTCACTCACTCATAGATAACCGCCGCCATTACGGTGCCTCACTTTTGTCTTAGCCGAAATTCTGTCCGCCTTTTTTTATACGTCCTTGGAAATCGTTTTTGTTAATTAAAAGGCTCAATAGCATATTATTATGTGTCTACATTTATTTGCAAAACCATAAAAGCAGATTAAAACTAGCAACTACTTTTTTAATACTTAATATTAGACATTCATAAAAATATATACATTGAATGCAACAAACAGCAAGCACCATATTATAGATAAATCATTGTGTTAATAAGATTGTTATTATAAAATACATTCCTCAGATGTTGGCACTCAAAGACAATTTTCATAAATTTACATAAAATTGTAATGTCAAATAAGCAATTTAAATACTTAAGATACCTAATATTTTAAAATTTTACATAAAGTAAATACTTGTTATCTGTGTATAACAAAAACCATGTTTTTCAACATTAGTCCAGTTGGGTCTCAACTTTATTATAATTTCAGTTATAACTATGAGTTTTATTTATACCACAAAATAAATATTAACAAAGGTACTCAAAATATAGTTTGTTAAAATAAGTAAAAATATCTGGCCATAAATTAAAGCTATTTGGTACATGTAATTCTTAGTAGATTCAAAGTTGTAAATTGTAAGCAGTCATCACTTCTTAAAAGAGTCTTTATTATTGTTCTCTTTTCACCCATCTTTTTAAATTATTTAATAAACAAAGAACTACCTATGATACCCTTAACAACAAATTGAGATTATAAGTGTTTGAACAAGATTAACAGCTGCAAGATGGTTCCTCCAGAGGTTCAGGGTTTGATATTTTGAAACTGTTGTGATCTAAAGTCTGCAATTCAATTCTTGATCGATTTGACTCCACCAGTTGCACAGCTATATCAGAAAACATTTCTTCTAAACCTTTACCTGTTTTGCAAGATGTTTTATAAGTAGTATTTATAAGACTATGACATTGCTCACTAAAACAAAAAAGCAAGAAAATTAATTTAAAATAAATCAACATGTACCTGTGACAAATATAAATAAAGATCTCATAAATTCTCACCAAAATGTTTCAATATCTGCATCAGTTACTTGTGGTGATGTACCTTCCAAGTCAGATTTGTTCCCACACAAAAATATTTTGGCATTCTCTGCATATGTGACAATATCTAACAGATGTTGACTTAGTACATGAAATGATGATGAATTGTCTAAAGAAAACACTAAAATAGCTGCTTCAGCAAACTTATAGTAACTAGATGTTACTGAAGCAATCCTTTCCATTCCTCCAGTATCCCATAATTGCAACTGCGGATTAAATTGAAAAATTAACGTCGTGTACTAAAGTCACGGGTTGCGCATTCAATAGGCTATAATACAAACCTTAACTTCCTTGTCTCCAACTTTATATACCTTTTCGAAATGGTCTAAACCTAATGTAGATCGCCTATCAGAATTAGGTACAAAAGTATTGTTGATGAAACGACGAAAAATTGAACTTTTTCCAACACCATATTCTCCACATAAAATTACTTTGAGTACTGGGGTTTTTACTAGAGCCATTTAGCTGATGTTAATAATCACAGATCGGAACTACATGCAAGGTTGGAAAATATATTGATCGAGAGTTTCTTTCTACAATAAATTAATGATTAAGTAAAAACTATTTCATTTAACAATACAAAGAAATGTCCATGGACTTATTTTTTATACGTCCATGGAAATGTCAATAATTTTTTTTTAGTTACACTGGGAAAGGCAAAGGCAAGGCCATACATCCATCGTCTTATTTTGTATTAATCTTCCTTTTTTTTACATTAGATTGACCGATCTAACGAATATTTTAAAGATAAGTTTCGCAGACAATGGTGTAGATTCTGGCGTGATTCTGTAAACTTAAAACTAAATTTAACTTCATTCTATCCTTTTCATTCTGTATAGAGAATAACAGGAATACACTGCTGTCAAATTGAAGTTTAAGTTTAAAGAATCCTGCCAGAATTGACACCAGTATCGACTATGAATGAATTTAAAGAATAATTAAAATATATCAGCAACTGCTCTCGATTAAATCCCCCCAAAAAAGCTTTCAATTTTTTGTCTCCCTTTCAATTCAATTTTTTTTCGTGAATTTCTCCATTTCTTCTCAATTCAGTTTTTTTGATTTAGGGATGCAGGGATACTCAATCAAGTTCATCACCATGACAAAAAAAATATGGTAACGGTAGGTAACGGTGCAAGTGATATTTTTAGTGTCTCAAGCGTCATTACGCTATGGTGGCCGACCGTTTACCACCAGGCAGGCCATACGCTTGTTTTCCATCCTTTTAACATAAAAAAACGAGCGAGCCTTACAGTAGTCGCGTATGATGTGTAACATTTGAAACCTCACCTTATATTAGTAAAAAAAGAAATAAAACCTACTACAAAAGGAATAAGCCATTTGAACATTATGTTCTAAAATCAAATCAAGTAGCGCGCGCTTCCCAAACTTCCTATTACACACTTCCGTCCCACTTCATCTAATCACTCCCACAAAGGGCACGAAAGCGAAAGGAAAGATGTTCCACATCAAAAAGATTACATTTTTTTCACATACCTTTCGATTTTAGAGGGATTTCACACAACAACATTTGAGATCATTTCCTTTAGTTAAACTTCTAAGTCAATGGTCAGTTCTAGCGATGCGCGACTTCGAATAATACTAATCATTCGACTCCACGAATCATTCGACCAAGTCGACTGCGCTTTATATCATTCGACTGCAGTCGAAGGTATCGGGCGCCGACTAACCGACTCTCGACTGACGTACGTGATGAAGACGAACAAACCGGGTCGACTCGGGCTTAGTCGGGGTGTCCGTGATGCTAGCGTACCCATGATCAATATACGGTTTTTCGTTATGCCATTAAATACTGCGTAAATAGTGCCAAATTAGTGTAAAAATAAAAAAAATAGTGCCTCTTTAATTTAAGAAATAAAGACCATTTTTACCCATGGCCGACCCCAAGAACGGCATATATTTAAGCAACAAAATTGACACACAAAAATAGTTCGCAAATAGTGCCCTGGCTTTACAAAATTTCATAATCAATACTCTTAAAGGACCAAAGATATTGAACATAACATTCTTAGCTGGCATCAACCTGGCGTACCCATAATAGTTCTCATAGAAAATTAACTTTTCTTGTTATCAATTCTATATGTATAAATAGTGTGTCAAATAGTGCCTCTAACAGTAAAAGTATTTTATGTTAATTCGCAGTAAAACAATATAAAAAAAGCAAATAAATTATTTTTATATATGAAGTACAGTCATGTACAGAAGTGATAATATTTTCGTAGTATAGTAGGTAAGTAAGGTACTTAGTAGGTAGGTAGGTTGAAATTCTTATATGAATTTATGATTGGTGAATTCGAATTGAAATATAATATCTTTTTATAAAAAGTACCTATTTATTTTAGTGAAAATACATATATATATAATCTCTTAGTGCATAAATTAATTTTGTGTGTAACTGTACTACAATACATTTGTTCCTAGAATTTAACACCCTCTTTATGTATTGTTGTGATGCCGATTCACATAAAATACTTTTACTGTTAGAGACACTATTTGACACACTATTTATACATATAGAATTGATAACGAGAAAAGTTCATTTTCTATGAGAACTATTATGGGTACGCCAGGTTGACGCCAGCTAAGAATGTTTAGTTCAATATCTTTGGTCCTTTAAGAGTATTGATTATGAAATTTTGTAAAGCCAGGGCACTATTTGCGAACTATTTTTGTGTGTCAATTTCGTTGCTTAAATATATGCCGTTCTTGGGGTCGGCCATGGGTACGCTAGCTTGACGTCATGGTAGCGTACACAGTAAAAATGGTCTTTATTTCTTAAATTAAAGAGGCACTATTTTTTTTATTTTTACACTAATTTGGCACTATTTACGCAGTATTTAATGGCATAACGAAAAACCGTATATTGATCATGGGTACGCTAGCATCACGGACACTAGTCGGGCGAACTCGACGAGTGAAAGAGACAAGCAGAGTTAACAGGGTACTACTTTCAATCGTTTTTTAATGATTAGATCGATATATGAACTCTTTAATTTTAAAAATATATATAAATCAAGTAATAATAAACGAATTTACTGGTGAATATAGTTTTCACTGAAAAAAAAATAGTTACAGATACAAGACTATCGTAGCAGATGCCAAGTACGAACGTACGGAAACTAACTGAACTAAGGCAAATGATGAACGAATGAATAACCTTATTCGTTGCGCGTTTGCGTTATAAATTTGACATTAGTATTACTAATTAGTAGTCGTTATTCGAATAATGACATTAGTATACTACTAATTTGCCTTTCGAATAGCCAAATTAGTAGTTGCGAATTAGTCGAAAGGGAAAATCAATCGTAGTCGCGCATCGCTAGGCAGTTCAGAGAGGGCGCTGGGCACTGCGGTGTGCTCAATGTTTCAAGTACTAGAAAATCTCCCGATTTTAGGGACTTTTCTTGTTCTTTTGTTTTATTTATTAGAATTTTATGAAACTGCTTTTCTGCTTCTATCTTCTTTGATTTATTTCTGTATGTTGCGAATAAAAGAATAAACATTATAATTAAATTGCTACTATTAATTTAGATACCTAATGGTGTCGATTATGGCATGATAGTCTAAACCTAAACATAAATTTGACAACGGAGTATTTTTGTCGTTTTCTATACAGAATAAAAATGAGAGACTGACGTTAAATTTATTTTTATGATAAGATAATCATGCCACAATCGACACCATTAGATCTTTACTAGCGGCCGCCCGCGACTTCGTACGCGTGGAGTTAGTTAGAAATAAAGGTTCACTGCTCGTTCCCCGTAGGTGATACCGTGATAATATGTAGCCTACGTGTTGACCTGACTTCTTAATAATATTCGTGCCAAATTTGAAGTAAATCCATGCAGAACTTTTTGATTTTATCCCGTACACACATACAGACAAACAGAAAAAAATCTAAAAACTATAATTTTGGCTTCGGTATCGACTGCAGATCACACCCCAAGCATTCTTTTAAAAAATATTCAATGTACAGTTTTGACTTTCCTACCATTTAAATAAATGTGTAGATTATAGTTGTTTTATTAATAAATGCCTTTATTTTACAATGATTAAGCCTACTGTAATCGGTAATGGTCATAAAAAGTGTCTAATATGGCCAACATTTTAAGAATGGAAAACAATTTAAACTTACTTTTTTCATTAGGATCTTAGAGCAAATACCAAGATACATATATGGTGTAATCATTTTTAGAATAAAAGTTGATAAGAAAAGATTATTTTTCCTATTTATATATTATAGTCGTACGTAGCAGACATATTAACTCGGAAAACGATCGCCACCATATCAACTCGAGCCGTTCAGATTTTTTTATGAAACACCCTACTGCATCGCATACTAACATGAATTGTAATACAATCACCTCGCCTCGGGATAAGCTCCCGTGGTCAACTCTTCGTACCCTAGCTTTCGTCTGTCTGCGGCTCCGTACCCTAGCTTACGCCTCTTCGTTCTTCGTAGGTACTGTCCATAGAGTCCACGCCTTTTTATGTGATCAACCAACGGCCGACAAGTAAGCGTGGACGGCGATGGTTAGCCGTAGCCGATCTGAACGTACTGGAGTTACTTATCCACTTACCTTACATGATTGCGTTAGGTTGACCCCTGTTTGATGACAAGCCGAAAGGCGAGTCGATATCGATTCCTTTCTGAGTTGATGTGTGTTAAAATAACGCTTAAATGGTTTTATTTATTTATTGATGTTTTATTTAATATTACGATTTATATGTTTTCCCGTAACTTCCATAAACTACCATCATTTCCAAATAGGGAGAACTTCTGAGAAGAACTGGCGATTCTAAATATGACGTTTATTTATCAAAGATGGCGGCAGCGGTAGCGATGCGTTCCATTTTTCACAAATACATTCACTAGAAAGATCTCAGAAGCTCAGACATAGAGTAACTTTGTATATTGAACTTTGATTACAGAACACAGATTACCATTTATTATGGTACGTTTTGCAGTTACTAAGAAAAAGATACTCAGAAAAGTTAACAGACAGGGCTGTATGGACTCAGAATCCTTTGCCCGTCCCAACAGGGACAAATTAACCAAAAAAAAAAAGATACTCGTAGATTTTCGTCGCACAACAAAACAAACTGTTTTTATTTTTTATAAATACTTGTTGTGTTTTCCTCAGATTAATGAATGATGTTTTCGGTTTGTTTTTGAGATCATTATAGAAAGCCACTGATTATTGTTTATATGAAATAATAAACAAAAAAATGGATTTGCAAACTTCACATCTAGCTGCGGCGTTAATGTCTGGAACAACTGCCAATTCTTCTGATGCTGGGCCTATATCTTCAAAAATGATAATTGAAGAAGTTGTAATCGATAAACCCAATGTATCACAGAAAGAATCGACTGAAGACGATAAAGAGGACATGAGCGGCAATGAAGACTTTTCTGATGAGGTTAAACTAATTTCCCTAATATAGTAGAGCTTTAACTTATGATAGTAGAAGCATAGAGCCTTTGATTATATACACGCCTGGATACCGTATTAACTGCATGGAAGCGGACCAAAAAATAACTACTACATATATGGTAGATATCCTAGCATAGTATGAGAATCGACTTCCCTGGTGTGAGTGATATGCACAACGCTTTGAAGCTGCCACCTATTCAGAGGCCCTGGGTTTGAATACCCTATGTATGTATATAAAATTATGTATGATGATGAGCAATTGTACCTGAGTCATGGTCGTTTATATATATTTCAAGAAAAATATAGTTATGTTTATTTTATGTGTTTCTGTTACCCATGTGTCCCATTACTGCACAAACTTTACAGTGCTTATATTGGGGCTACGCTAATTTGGTGTGTGTTACAAATATTTATTTTAAATGGTATTTGCTTTAAATATTTTTATTTTAAGCATTAAACTGCTTTTTTAATATATCTGCAAATTTGACTAGAAAAAAATCCAATCAAGCCAGGAATAGAATTTTATGGATTATTTATATTCTGGTGAAATTTTCTTAGATTATGCAGTATTTCTGTTATTTTAAATAGTTTTTATTTGCAGTATATAAGATCTTAGAATAAATGATTATTATTTAATTGACAGGAATCTGAAACGCAGCCAGGCAATAAGTCTATGCCAGGCAGAGGAGTCACATTACAAATGTTGTTGGAAGAAAAAATGTTAGAGCCAGGAATTGGAGCTATGACTATAGAGTATTTGGTAAATATTGATTTGCTTGTTTACTGCCTGATACACTGTTTCTTAAACATAATCAGAATGTTAAAAAGTCTTATATTAGAAAAATACACTTTTTGTAGTAATAAATGAGTGTTGTTAAGCAGAAAGTAACCAACGGGTATTTTTGAAAATGGTGAAAATTACGAACCCATGTTAAAGATTGATCCTAAAAATGACCAATGGTTGCTTTTTGCTTTTACAATCACACTTTTAACAGTGGTCCTCAGAACTAATGTTTTAAGCTTCAGAAATCCACTCTTTTGCTTTCTGTTTAACACCTCTTAAATAATACTTCATTGAATGTTATGTATCATATCAACTGAGCTACTGAGCGCATGTGAATCAGGGATCAAAATACATGATAAGAATCCAAATTTCATATTAGAAAGAGAATTGCTTTTTTTAAGTTAACTATTTAAACATTACTATATATGTATATTCTAATCCATTATATGATTGAGCACCATAAAAATGGTTTGACCTTTTTGTCATAGTAACATTTTTTTTCAACATGAGATTTGTATGACCAGAAGTTTTCACACAAACGTTGAAAACTATCAAAACCACCAGAAAACTAGGTAATTAGGTTAATGTTTTTATTAACAATTGGTAAAACCAACACAGGAAGTGCAAAAAGTAAAATGCTTTTTAAAAAGCAACCATATTTTTTTTATTTTAGGGCCAAAAATTTGTTGGTGACTTGCAAGCAGATGGTAAAATAAAATCACATGAGACAGAAACAATATTTTGTTCCCCATCAGCATGGGCTATACATTGCAAGAGAATTATTAACCCTGACAAAAGATCAGGATGTGGGTGGGCTTCTGTCAAGTACAGAGGGAAGAAATTGGACACAATTAAGGCGACATATCTTCGAAAGAAGCAAATACAACGAGAGAATATGCACACAGATGGTATGTCTAAAAATAAGTACTTTATTTTTTTATTTCAATTTTCTGTTGGCTTGCAGAGCCCATTTAGAATACAATTACTTAAAAATAATTTTAATCTTGTCTCTTGAAAAGGGTGTCTGAAAAGTGCCCATGAGCATTACCACTCCTCACTGAGCACTGCACTAGTGACCACAAACAAGGGCACCCACTTGCGCTAACTTATGTATTATTTAGTAATACGGTATAAGCGTGCAGAAACGCCCTGTGTCTCTCCCACACCTGTATGACTAAGTTTTGTAACAAATGGTAAGGCCATTGCGTTGCGGCGTCGCACCATAAAAATTACGACATCGTATAACATCCTACTAGCATCGCGGAATTAAAAGATGCGCTGCCGGTTGCTGCGATAAAATTTTTTGTGTTGTGTTATCGCATCGTATTTCGATGCGACGACGTAACGCAGTGTTGCGGCCTCGCTCTAATGCCCTTCTATCGTAAGTACGCTTCTTCAGCTGCAAATACAAATTTATCGCCTCCCACATTGACGTTATATATTTAATTGTCATTGGTCTCCCACAACCTCTTTCATGCGTGTAGGCAAGCTATCATCTAGCTAGCGTCTATCGTCTCATAACTCGATAACGATAGAACTAATTGAATCGATAATTTTACCGCCTTGAAGTACCAAAGCATGGCTCGCAGGTGTGGGAGAAGCAAAGACGTCGACCAACGGTAAAACAATGTGTCACCAAAGTCATCCGACCATGACGTCATGTCATATTATGTGTCCAATCAAAACGCGACTTGCAATCCCTGCACGACACCAACTTTGGCGATTAGGATTTCAAACAAATATTGAGTAATGCAAACTCTTAGGCTAAAGCCTCAATAAAAATTTGACAACATGCCATTTATGCACATAGTTAAAATTCTTTTCATAATTACTAACTTAAAATTTTGCTTTTAGAAGAGACAGAAATGGAAGTAGAGAGTCCTCCTGAACCTCCACCACAAAGGGTTGTGATGAAACACAACACTGTGCCTAATAGGATGATGCAACAGTATGTTTTCAACTTAACATTTCTAAAAAATTATGCATTTTGTACAATTTTTACTATACTACTTTTTCAAGTCATAACAATTTTGTTGACTAATTTCAGTGATGCCAATATGCTTATAGAGGCTGTCTCATTTTCTTCAGTAGGAAAAGTACAACCATTTTTAGTGTCTGTTACATCAAACGCTTGCCTCATTCTTGATATACATTGTCATCTTAAAAAGGAAGAAGTATATGGTTACTTGGCTGGCACTTGGGATCTAAATAGCCATAGTAAGTTTATATCATTGTTTAATATTTATAAAATGGAAATAAGTCTGAAAACTAAATACTCCTTTTGTTTGTAGATCTGCTTATAACACATGCGTTTCCATGTCTTGTGAGCAAGAGCGATACTAGACCAAGGGTGCTTGTAGAACTAGAAATTCAAATGGAGATAGAAAAACTTGGCCTCACTCTTCTGGGATGGTACCATTCCCACCCTACAAATCCTGCCATGCCTAGTCTCAGAGACTGTGATAATCAGTTGGAGTATCAAATAAAGATGAGAGGTCCATCAGAAATTTCGTATGTTCCTTGCATTGGTGTTATTTGCTGTAAGTAAAAGTTTAGACATAATTTTAGTCTGCATTACATAAAATCCTTTTTTTTTAATACATTCTTCATTCCAGCTCCCTATAATCCTGAGAGTCCAGTTTTGGAGTCATCTCTGACATTCTTCTGGGTGATGCCTCCCCCAGAACCAAGACCAACGGAATATCCTCGACCATTATTGCTACAATATAATATGATAAATGATAGTCACCTATCAACACATGCTATGGAGCAGATAAAGAGGAGCATTAAATACTACTTTAACTTTTCTGATGACACGTTTGTAAATTTTAAAGATAGCTTTAAGCCAGATATAACTTACTTGGATAAGCTGAAGTGCACCCTTAGTTCAAAATTTCCAAGAGAACAGAGTGACGGTCTACTGTGGCATTTTATTCGCGAAGAGTTAGGTTGTTCTTCCGAGCATGACGATAAAATAGATCTAGACGCTCTTTTGGCTGTGCCTCAGCCCATACCAGTGTCCAAACCAAGTCAGACGACATCTATACCTAATTTTCCTTCAGTTAGTACTCTCCAACAGATGGTTAGCCGACCTGCAGGAGTTCCCCCAATTAATGTTTCTTCTGGAATCGGATCTAGCTCGCCACACAAATTTGAGACACCTCCATTAAATATACCAGTTTTACCATCTTCTACCAAGTCATCCAAATCAACGACTCCGTCTTTGCCTTCTACATACCCTACTGGTTTGGATATGTTGACAAGCATGGCATTAGGACTGGGTTCTTCTAATATGCCTTTGCCTTTAGGAGCATCTTCTTTAGAGAGTTTAGCTGCGGCTAACAGTATGTTAACAGGTCTCTCTCCCTCTATGTCGTCTAGTTTGGCGGCAACTTTAACGGGTAGTAAGATTCCTGATCCACCTTCATATGCAGCATCATTGCAGAATCTGTCCAGTAGCATTGCTTATGACAAACCTGTAACAAGTACATCGACAAGCACAAGCACTGGTGCTCCTATTCCTGCTAGTATTGCATCCAACCTTATGATGAGCTCAGCAGATATAGCAAACGCTCTATTTTCAGCTAGCAAATATTCGAGTGCTGGCATTTTAGGTATTCCAGACCCCATGTCTAAATCGACTTTAGCAGCTAACAATATGTTTCTTTCTCCATCATTAATGAAAATGCAAGAGTCATTGATTAAACCATTATCAAGTAGTAGTCCGATATCGTCGAAGGTAGGGTTGGATCAAAATGTACTAATGAAGTCCCCTCATGATTTATTAAAATCCAGTAAAGATTATTTACCACCAGATTTTGGAAGTATCGGTAAGGGTAAGCCAGATAGTTCACCATTAGATGCAATGAAGCTGACAGATCCCAGTTCATCAAAAACAGAGACATCTAAATCCGATGCTACCGACATACAAGCTACAGATTTTAGTATGCCACACACTCGAGTAGGAGCAGACTCGTTTCTGAATCAAATGTTAGAATTAACTAAAAAAACGACCATGCCGGACTACATGCCGGATTACAGTCAACCTTTAAAGCTTTCTAAGTCTGAAGAGTTGCCATCTTCAATGTCTCATACTAGTCATTTGTATCAAAATACTCCCAGTATTGTAGATACTATTGCGCAAGTGGCAATGGGAAATTACTCTAAACACGATGAACCTATCGACTATGCTAAAGAACAAGATTATAGTATGAATAAATCAGCAAATGCGGAACATGATAATTAAACTGATAGGTTAACATGATCTTTTTATGTATGAAATGATATGTTAAATGGTAATAAAAATATCATTATTTATGGTGTGATTGTCTCAATAATATTATATTAATATTAAACATGTTTAAGGCTAAGAATTCACATAGCGATTTTCACCGGCGACGCAGCGGGCTGCGTCCGATCTTCTCTTGTTAAGTTTGTATTCTCGCATCCGCGGCGGCTGCGCGACCGCACAAAACTGCGGTCTCAGGAGTTTTCAAATAAAACGGCTTTCCCGCAGCAGATGCTGGGAAAAACCGCTCTGTGAATTTTTAGCCTTAGCTTATGTTTGGCAAGTGCGTGAAAAATTTCTTATTATTCTTGTAATTAGCTATGGAGGTATGAATTTAATTAATGCAAAATCAGCATCGTATTTAGATTATAAAAAAAATATTGAATTTATAATCGATAAATTTTAGATCGTATTTATGTTTCTTTATAGTTAAAATCAAATGAAAAGTTATTACACTTGGTTGTTAGCCCAAATACAAGTGCCAATAGAATTCGGGTAAACGACTAAGTCTAAATGAATGTAGTCGAGTACGCCCGTATTCGGGTAGTTTCCGTTTTGGTTACACGACACGGTCTTACAGCCCGTATTCCAGTGTAAATATTGCTTCAGATGCCCGAATTCGAGTAATATCTTTCGTGCACCCGAATACGAGCTAACGACCAAATGTAATTAAGCCATAATGCTTAGCTAATATGCTGCACTTGATTGTAAGTACTGGCAGCCACACATCAAGTCCCCACATAATCAAATAATCTTACATTAAACAAAAAAAAGTTCAAATTTTGCATATATTACACAATTTTAGATTATCTGTGACTGCCTGTACATGTTTTTTTCTTTCTATCCACATTGGGTATTGTGTATGAGAGTATCTTTTATATCTCTTTCTTACCAGTATTATTGTACATTCTTCCAATTTTTTATTGTATTTATATTGCTCCTAGTTAATAAAATATCAAGAAAAGTTATTTAATTTTATTAGCCGACTTCAAGAAAGAAGAGTTTATAAAATTTAACCTTAAAGGTGATCGCACATTTGTTAAAATCGTACGCGCCGTATTTTAAATTCTTTGTATGCATTAAGCAAATATGTGAAACCTCGCATGTTTCACCGGCATCGTACGCGCCGCATTTCGTAAAACAAATGGACGAACTCCTAAAGGTCTGAACCGATTTGAATTATCATAGTGTGTATTATTCTAGTGGTTGGTTTATATTTTATCTTAAACTGGTAAGTAGGGCTGTAGTCGGAATATACTTTTTTTTTACTTTTATCGGTCAAGACAACGTCTGTCGGATTCGCTAGTTAATTTTATAAATAGATTTGAGAACAATGCTTGTTAAAAATACAATTATTCGGTCTGATTTTCGTTCTTCAATTTCAGAATCATAAAATATGTCAGTCTGTTTGCATTGATTTCCTTTGCCACTAGATGGTGGATAATTTAACAAGAATCTATACTTGTTTCTCTAATATATTTCCCAGGACAAAGAGAAATATCCAGAACTGATCTTGGACCTTTACTAGTTGAAGAAGAATGGTATCGGTAATTTGAATAGATTGGAATAAATAGGTTGGTAATTCCCTGCGTCAAAGCCCATGCGCACGCACTGTTAAAATTAAAACAGTACAATAAATAAGGATATATATTAAGTCAACTATACATCTGATAACGACACATCCGATTCTGCTAACAACCAGAATTTTCTACTCTTTCGGGGTTACTTTATGCATTGCGTGCCTTTTTGGGCGTATTAAAAATGGATGGGATGTCAATGCAAATATGCAAGACATTAATTTACTCACCGTTTTACCAAGTACTTGCCTAGATTTCAGTAGGTATAATATGTACTCATTTATCATAGAATTAACTTACTTAAATGAGCATAGCTGAAATCAAGTTCAAGCACTGGAATTGATAAAGGACATATTGATACGCGCGTTAATATAGGTAATCATTATGTTATCATAATGACGAGCACCTGATATGAATAATTATCGAAGGTATTCGAATCAATTTGAGTGTTGAAGCGGCTCGTTTATTGTAATTACGTGTCAGTAGTGCGCTTTAATTTTTAAATGTGCTTTGTTTTTGTTGATTAAGTGTTGTTTCAGTGACAGACTAACAATTGAACATTTTTTCACACACTTGTGATGTTAATTCTGTCTTTTAGCTTCTGGCTATTACAGGTATATATCTATATTTAATTAATGATTATGTCGGTATAGAAATGACTTAACAGTGAATATCACTTAACAGTCTTCTTTTGTTGAGTAGTGACTTTCAAAATAAGTTTACAATACCACCAGTCTGTTTCGTTGGACGAGTTGAAAATGATATAGGAGGTAGGTATACTCTGTGACTCTGTGTTGGTAACGGGCGTATTGCTATTTAATCGGAGCCCTTGTGAAAAGTTTCAGAAATCCACGAGGGAGTAAATGAAACATTGTGAAATTGAAATCATCTTCATCATATCAGCGATACGATGCCTGTTGTTTAGCATAGGCCTCTCCCAAAGATCTTCAAACCGATCGTTCCTGCGTCACTGGCATCCATACGCTTTCGTGACATTCACCAAATCTTCGGTTCACCTTGTGGGAATATTTTTTTGCGTACCACACTATGGATTATGGCATGGGTACCTACTTTACGTACAGTAGATAATGCAAACAACCGTAGTAGGTTGTTCGTTTCATTGAGAGATGAGAGCCATCATTTTCGATAGTTTCATTTTTAATCATGAAGCGCCGTTACTGCTATTTTCAGAATGATCAAATTATTAACAAAATCATAAATCTGCGGAAATGCGGTATTCCGACTATGCTATATGTCTCGCATATTAGATTTCCTAATCGAAATGCTTACCTCACATATAGTGTAAAAGTTATGATATGATAATATTAAGTAGTACGTATGCAGGTAGATAGGTCAGTAGGTCCATAAATATCCAAAAGGAATAATCAGGAAGGTACCTACATGTATTTTATTTACTGTCCTCAATTATACACAGGTACTTAAAGAGGTTGTTCGTATGTTTTTATTACAGGAAACATGAATTCTACTTCGTCAGGGTTTAAAAGGGTCCCTGAAGATGACGACTTATCAGATGTGGACACACTCTACGACGATTATGACGAACCAGAGTATGTTTTATGCCATCTCTTATTGCTGCACATTACATACTTATCTATTTTCTGAATCTTGCGATGTCATTCGACGTTGAAAATCTCTTAACCTATCTGATCATCACATCACGATATACTTTTAATTATTAAAAATCTAATTATAAAATCAATTTCAATTTATAATAATACATGGGGGTCCATTAGACGCTCATTCAGCCATCAGTCAATTCCATCAGTCAGGAATGATAGAATCGTATGGTGCCTGAGGAGTCATCAGTTACTCCATTAGACGACAGGTTATGCATCAGCCTACCAGACGGTAGGCGTTAAAGCGTCCATTGGACAATGGACTATTAGTCCAGTCAATGAAGGCTTAACTTTGCCATTTTGAGTTGATCACCTGCAACCAACGCGAAAATTTCCGCAAGGGTTCGTAGATTAATATAATAAAATTGCAGGGTGCTGCATTGACGGTAAAGGGTGAAAAAAAATGCGAAATGGTGCAAAAACGAGTTTTTCGTCAATATCTCGCGACTGGCTGGAAAAATAGAAAAAGTTTGTAGCACAAAGTTGTAGAAAATTTAATTTCCTACAAAAAAGGTATCAACTTATTTTCGCGTATCTCCCATAGTTTTTACACAAAATGCAATTAAAGGTGCAAAATAAAAAAAGAAAAAATATTGTTTATGGTTTTTTTTCCATTTTTAAACGATCCTACGGGGCAAATTCAACAATCATCAATTACTGAAATATTTAAGGATGAGTTTTCGGCAGTCCACTGAAATGAAAATTGTCTACCGAAATGGTAAAAAATTACCACCGAAATGATACAGCCAAGAACATCGCCTTTGTAGTAGAAGGGTTCTTTTGTATTTAAATAAATGTCTTTATTCTTTTTAAATATTTTTGATCATTATTTTTTAATAAGAATTATTAATGAAGAATTAATTAATTGTTACTCCTATTAAATATTATTACTAATTATAATTATTAATATGAAAATTTTCAAAATAACGAACAAAGCGCGTTTAGAAAGCGAGAAGTTTATTATTAGTAAATCGTCCCCTTAGTGCCAAAACCGATTATCTGCACTTTTCCGCTACTGAACTTTTATAATACCAATCGACCCGTCTCATTAAGCCGCATCTACAGGTAAAACCCATTATGCTCTACGACGCATACTTCCTGAAATAGCTAATGAATAAACAAAATAACTGCAAATTATTTCCAAAATTCTTGATTTAAAACCTAATAAACCCATTCAAAACACTTAAATTTGTAAACGTATTAATTGTTGAAACCAAGTTTCGGATTTAAACTCATTTTTCATGTAGACACTTAAAATATCCTGTGAGTATCCTGTAATTGGCTTTGACTTGACTGTTTGAATTTTACCAGATATTTTAATTTTCCTAGATGAAGTAAAAACTAACAAATCTGTCGCTTTTTGCAAAAAAAATATATATAATATGTTTGCATTATATTTGAGGCAAGTAAAAGAGGATAGATCGAATCGATCGACAGGTGACCTTCTAGCGTACGTGACATATATCTGGGGTGAGGCTATCGATAAGCGAGGTGAGTCTTTGGCTATCAGCCTTAACATCGCCAAGGCTTTGATAGGGTCTGGCACATAAGTCTTCTCTCCAAGCTTCCTGGATACGGTCTGCCTACTCAGTTCTGTGCCTGAGTGGCTGACTTCCTGCATGAGCGTCAACGGACGGCGACGGATGTAGTTCGCAGTTCATGTCAGTGAATGCCGGTGTTTCTCAGGACTCCGTCCTATCCCCTACACTCTTTTTGCTGCATTCAATGATTTAATTCCTCTTGAGAATATTCATTGCTATGCAGACGATAATACAGTGCATGCGGGATATTTTGGATACGCAGCCGTTGGACAGGTAGAATCCAAAGAGAAACGGGAGAATCTTGTCATTGAACTCAATAAAGATTTGGACTGCATTTCGGAATGCGGTACCAAGAACTTGGTTGAGTTCATTGCCAAGAAAGCCCAGGTCTGCGCTTTCACGGTAAAACTAACGTTTTTTCATTCCTGAGCAACTGTGCTTGTTGTACATGACGTAAGTACGGTCTTGCGTGGAATATTGTTCGCACCCCAGAGGATGGCTCCGCCAAGTACTTTCTTGATGCTTTGGATAGGTTACAGCGGTGCGCGATCCGCATTATTGTCGATAAGGAGGTGACTAAACACCTCGAGCCTCATCAATTACGCCGTGATGTAGCGTTATTAAGCGCGTTTTATCGACTATACCTTGGCGCATGTTTTGAGGAGTTATTGTCTCTTAACCTACCTTCCCCTTTCCTACAGAGGTCTACACGCGCTGGCTTACGTTGCCACCGACTTACTGTGAACTACTATTCCCACTGTTCCAACGTAAACAAAGAAATTTGGTAACTCATTTCTTTGTCAGACTATCCGCAAATGGATTACTTTGCCCTCTTACGTGTGTGAAGTAGCAATTCTGCAGGCCCACAAAATGAGGATAGCTGGTGTGGCAAGTAATACTGCTGTACCAGCTATCTTCGCGTCTAGACTCCTCCGTCACCTAACCTCTGGTGGAGTCATTTCTTGAGCCTATTTATAAAAAAAAATCTATAGCAAAGATTTTTTTTTGATTTTTGCTACAAAGGTGTCATATCTGAGGAGTACCATGGATTATGCAGAACTTTGGCTACAGAAATAAGCCAATCTGATCGTTTGCCTTCAGAAACCATATTTGATGACTCAACATGTGCAAGCGAGTCAAGTCAAGTTTTTTATATAGAATACATTTTTAAACTAGAAATTTTAGATTGAAATACTACTGCATCCGAAATATCGAACCTACAGTTTCTCGGTAAACGTACATCACAAAACGAAATTATTTAATATACCTATATTGACTCAAAGATCTCTAAAACTTATGGATGTATCATATCGGTGATACTTTCATTCTCTGGACTCTTATCGGCATTACAGTCCACCGAATGAAATGAAAAATCTTTATTGGCCATGGTATAAGGAAAAGGAAAAAAAAAATATTAAAAAGAAACTTAACCTAAGAACAAAAATTAATCATTACATTTAAAATGGCCAATCAGGACCCTGCCTCAGCTTATGCTGATACAATGAGAAAATATTCTCTCACTGTATCAGCGCTGGTATTCTGGCAGGGCCTGTTTGAGGACGTGTTAGGCGCTATAGTAAACAAAATGACATAAATACTTGGTATCGATTCTGGCGTGACTCTCCGAACCCAAAACCAAATTCAACACCAGTCCCTCCCCTTCATTCTGTACAGAGAATGACAGGAATGCACCGCTGTCAAACCCAAGACTAGCCCTAGAGAATCACGCCATAATCGACATCATTATAAAAGAATACTTAATAATAAAAATAAAATAAGAACAAAAAAAAAAGAAGGACATTTCGACATTTACATTTTGAAAAATCATAAAATTACATCTTAGGCACACGTCAGACAATTGCACATTAACTGTATATACATACTCGTACATGCACGCACATCCACAGATACGCATATATATTCATACACAGCACGTACACATACATACATAATATTCATAAATAAAAATAAAATAAAAATACATTTACATATATAAAACTAGCTCAATTGTCCCCATATCACTGAAATGGTATGCTTACTATTTGGCGGGAATCCACAATGACGTTGTTGCGCGTGCGTGTGATCCACCTAAGGCGGCCTGGCTCGAAGGGAGCACTGACAAGCGGGATACAACAAAACAATGTTAACGAACCTATTTCACAAAAACTTACTGTCCATGGAAATGATAACTTTTTCCAGGACAAAAGTTGTGTGGTTGTTACATGTATAAGAAAGAAGGTAAACAAACAATAGTGGTTTTTGTTGATAGGCTATATTATATATTACTAGCTGACCCAGCGAACTTCGTACCGCCATAAAAAATAGGGGTTGGTGGTAGAAGGGTGAAAATTTAGGGTTGTATGTATTTTGGAATGATGAATGATAAAAAAATTAAAAAATATATCTAAAATTGAAAAAAAAAATTAGGGGTGGATTACCCTCAATATTAAGGGGGATGAAAAATAGATTTTGTCCGATTCTCAGACCTACCCTATATGCACACAAAATTTCATGAGAATCGGAAAAGCCGTTTCGGAGGAGTTTAACCACAAACACCGAGACACGAGAATTTATATATATTAGATTGATATAAAAGTTAATTTCAATCCAAAAAATAAAAGTAACTACTAGTAGTAATTTTACGAGAGGAATTGGGTTTAGAACAGGTCACCGTGATGATAAAATGCAACTTCGTATTTTTTTATTTTATGGATTTAGAGCCCATTACTCAATAATTATTTTTGCCAAGGTTGAGAAGTACCTACTTAATCAAGAAAAAATACAAAATCATAAATCAGCACATTGCACTGCCGCTCTGAGGAATACCGTGTATTTTTTTTTGCTCGGGGAGTTTACCCCTACATGCTTCATTAGGATTTAATTAATATGTTTCGGGTATTTATTTATTTATTATTTCCTTTTTTCATATAATAATCTTGACAAAAAAAAATATTATATGATCATCATCAACAGCCATCATTTTAAACTAAATACGCAGAATAGTTCACCCAGTAATGTTTATTAGTGATTAATTAAACAAAAGAATAACAGTGTTGCCCAGCGCGCGATTCAACAATGAATGAATAAAAGTGAGCAACTCACTCGCTAGCGCACGATCTGTGTACGGAAAAGACGGTTAAACATGGATAACTGGTTTTAGTTGAAGCATAAATTTTAAAGTAACGATTACTAACGCTAATAAATTACAGTGGAAGAAAAGAGTAAGCACTGATAATCGATTTTAGCTGAAGTAATTTATAAAGCGTCAAATAAAAGTAATTCAGTAAAAACAAATTAAAATTCGGATTCTTCTTTTACTTGCCTCAAATATAACGCAAATATTCTATATATATATTTTTTTGCAAAAAGCGACAGATTTGTTAGTTTTTACTTCATCTAGTAAAATTAAAATATCTGGTAAAATTCAAACAGCCAAGTCAAAGCCAATTACAGGATACTCACAGGATATTTTAAGTGTCTACATGAAAAATGAGTTTAAATCCGAAACTTGGTTTCAACAATTAATACGTTTACAAATTTAAGTGTTTTGAATGGGTTTATTAGGTTTTAAATCAAGAATTTTGGAAATAATTTGCAGTTATTTTGTTTATTCATTAGCTATTTCAGGAAGTATGCGTCGTAGAGCATAATGGGTTTTACCTGTAGATGCGGCTTAATGAGACGGGTCGATTGGTATTATAAAAGTTCAGTAGCGGAAAAGTGCAGATAATCGGTTTTGGCACTAAGGGGACGATTTACTAATAATAAACTTCTCGCTTTCTAAACGCGCTTTTATAATTAGTAATAATATTTAATAGGCGTAACAATTAATTAATTCTTCATTAATAATTCTTATTAAAAAATAATGAACAAAAATATTTAAAAAGAATAAAGACGTTTATTTAAATTCAAAATAGGGAACCCTTCTACTACAAAGGCGATGTTCTTGGCTGTATCATTTCGGTGGTAATTTTTTACCATTTCGGTAGACAATTTTCATTTCAGTGGACTGCCGAAAACTCATCCTTAAATATTTCAGTAATTGATGATGGTTGAATTTGCCCCGTAGGATCGTTTAAAAATGGAAAAAAAACCATAAACAATATTTTTTCTTTTTTTATTTTGCACCTTTAATTGCATTTTGTGTAAAAACTATGGGAGATACGCGAAAATAAGTTGATACCTTTTTTGTAGGAAATTAAATTTTCTACAACTTTGTGCTACAAACTTTTTCTATTTTTCCAGCCAGTCGCGAGATATTGACGAAAAACTCGTTTTTGCACCATTTCGCATTTTTTTTCACCCTTTGCCGTCAATGCAGCACCCTGCAATTTTAGTATATTAATCTACGAACCCTTGCGGAAATTTTCGCGTTGGTTGCAGGTGATCAACTCAAAATGGCAAAGTTAAGCCTTCATTGACTGGACTATATTATATTTCCTATGTATTTATTATTGTTCTAAATATGTCATGATTTAAATTTTAAACAGTTTCTTTAAAGAACCTTCTTCGTGTTACTGTTCAAGTACTGTTTTAGCGAATTCCTGATGTTAAATGTAAATGTAGTTCAATCCCGCGAATATATTGCTTTTTCTAATAAAAAGAATTTTGATAGGTTAATTACTATTCATCATTCATGTATTCGTTTGTCTTCTTGTTCTTATTCTTCTTCTATTACAGTATCTAGGTACACACTAAAAATTGAGTAGCATGCTTCAGAAGGCTCATTAAACTGTTGGATATGGCTGCATTTGCAGTCGTTAGCATCCACCATCCATAGTGGGACCACGTTGGCGCTTTAAAAATACGCGTTTAAAGATATCCGATCAAGGTCAACTGCAGAAATATACCTATCTATCATGGCTGCAGCGACAGATATATTGCTTAAACATTTTTACAGCCAAAGGACAGCTCAAGAAACAAAGGGATGGAATCTATTTCGAGAATTTCCTATCAAAAAGAAGACCGGGTCGATGGTGTCCAATGAGTGGGTTGACAAGAGTCTGAAGGTCCTGAAACTGTTAGCTTACGTCTTGGTATTCGCGGTAGTATTGGGCTCGGCTGTCATTGCTAAAGGAACGTTGCTCTTCATCACATCGCAGCTGAGGAAAGGCCGGCAAATCCCACACTGTAACAAAATGATAGGTAAATCATACATGAAATTATTTTTCCCCAAATATAAATAAATAAATAAATATTTCCAACACTCACACCAATTAGCCTAGCCCCAAAGTAAGCACTGTAAGGCTTGTGTTATGGGATACTAGGGGTAACGGATAGAATACAGATACAGTACATATATAAGTATATTTATATAGAAATACATATTAAACATCCATGATTGGAGTACAAATGCTCGTGTTCATCACACAAATATCTGCCCCCACCGGGATTCAATTCCGGGACCTCTCGAGTCGGCGACACCATGAAACCCGGCCCATATCCAACCCATATCCTTTCACTCATAATTTTTTTTCACAGATTTATTAATCTAAACGCGGTTAAAAAAAATAGTAAAATAGAATGCGGTTTGACTTTTTAATTGACTTACAGAACAACAAAAAAACTATGATCTTAAGCTTCTATAAACTGCTTTGAATATGGGCTTCTAGAAAATGACCCTTATATGTACGTACTTAGTTGTTTGCAGGTTCAATTCAGTTGGAATGACAATTATTATTATAGACATATGATGATGAAATTAACTGATTGCTTTGTCCACAGCGCCGGATGCTCAGTTCACCACAACTCACAGTCTGGAGGAGCGGATATCATGGTTATGGGCAGCGCTCATAGTATTTGGTTTTCCAGAGTTTGGCATATTCCTTAGGTCTTGTAGAATTTGCTTCTTCAAATTTGCAAATAAACCGGAACGCGCGGTCATATTTTATATAGTAAGTAAAATTTACCCACCTATTTAGTGTTTCACAATCACACTTACTGTGTCCCGTTTATTTCCTAGGGCTCGTAGGTCAGCAATAGAATATCTACTGAACTAAATGAGACCACAGGCGCTAATAAAAACATTCTTTAACGGTATTCCTTTCTTTATTTATACTTATCTTTCAGGCCTTCTTTATAGAAACGCTACAAGCGATCGGAGTTGCAATATTGGTACTTTTCATACTTCCCGAGCTCGATGTGGTCAAAGGAGCTATGTTAATGAACGGCATGTGCTTCACGCCTGCCATATTGAACGCTTTAACTAGAGACCGCACGGACTCCCGATACTGCATGATACTGATATTCGATATATTCGCGATTTCTGCACAAGCCACGGCTTTCGTTGTCTGGCCTCTACTGAACGGGAACAGCATCTTGTACCTGACTGTCCTCTCAAGTGTATTCATATCTCTCGGGTGGTGGGAAAACTTCGTAGGATCCACAGAGAAACAAACAAAAGGTTGGTTCTTATTGTTTATGGAAAAGAAAACATCTTTTGGTCCCCTTGGCGTCCCCTATAAGTTGGCTATTTTTATAGAATGAGCTGCTTTAACAGCAAATATAATAAAAGAACGCAAAAATTAAAATTTGAATAAGTAGGTAGATTTATTTGCATTACTATCGTTGTATTTATAATAATAGACAATAATAGATTTTAATGAAGCCTTTTAACTTCAAAATTACTTATTAATAAACTCATTTGCAAAAAAACGGACATTTTAATTTTTTTTTCTCTACAATGAATATTCAAAATATAGGTTTTATTAATTGGACAATGTATTGGCATGTCATTTGAAGCATCCTTGAATTGAAACGCTGTGCGGAAATGTGATTCGAAGAAATTACTCCTTATTGCGGTGACTCCGTTATGTTTTGGGCAGAAATTAATTCAACGGAGCGTACTGAGTAAGTTTTCAAAGAAAATAGAACAATAAATGCACATCGGTACATAACGGAACAACGGGGTGTAAGGGGTTCTAAATACACCTGCAAGAACTCAAGCCAACCTCACCTTCACGTGGTGCACCCTGTTGACCAACAGACGAGGCTCTGGCAAACCGACCGATGGCGGTCCAATTACGTAGGGGAGGAAAATGTCACTGGTGACGGGCAGCAGCGTCATCAGTAAATAAACCTACGCTCTGCGATCGCCAACCCGCCTGCCCAGCGTGGCGATTATGGGCAAAACCTTCATGCACAAGAAACTCAAGCCACGGCCCCCAGTTCCCGGCAGCCCCGCTATTCCTGGTCACGGTGGCGACCACGGTAACGGTGGGGCGGGGGGTGCCAAGAATCTCCGGGCTACGGGAGGCCACCACAAAAGACTGACCCTGGCGACGTACAACGGACGCACGCTACGGCTTGACTCGCATCTGGCGCAACTCGAGGTGGAACTTGGAAAGATTAGGTGACACATTTTAGGGTTAAGTGAAGTCCGAAGAGAGGGGGAGGACACCATAACCCTCGAATCGAGCCACCTAATGTACTTCCGCGGGGGAGACCAACAGTCCCAAGGTGGCGTTGGGTTTTTGGTAAATAAGTCCCTTGCCGATAACGCTGTGGAAATGTCCAGCGTGTCGAACAGGGTAGTGTACCTTATTATAAAGCTCACCGAGAGATATAGCCTCAAGGTGGTGCAAGTGTACGCACCGACCTCGACACACTAGGACGACGAAGTGGAGGATATGTTCGATGATATATCGAGGGCCCTCCACTCCACTACTAAGACCCACTACAACGTTGTTATGGGGGACTTCAACGCTAAAGTGGGAGTACAGAATTGCAGCGAATCGGTAGTAGGATCCCATGGATTTGGAAGCAGAAATCATAGGGGGCAAATGCTCGTCAACTTCCTCGAACAGCAGGGGCTCTTCTTGATGAACTCTTTTTTCAAGAAACAGCCCCAAAGGAAGTGGACATGGCAGAGCCCCGACACTATGACTAAAAATGAGATCGATTTCATCATGACGGACAAGAGGTACATATTCAGAGACGTCTCCGTGATCAACAGGTTCAATACCGGTAGTGATCACCGACTCGTCCGGGGCTCTCTGAATATCAACTTTAAGGCCGAGCGCGTCCGTTTAATGAAATCCAGGCTCCAACCTACTTTGCTCCAATCTATAACAGGATCTGAAACGTTCCAGTCAAATCTGGAGAACCGATTTGCTGCCGTGGAAACCACATCAGACGTAAACCAAAACCTCGAAAATGTGGTTCGGATTCTCAGGGAAGAGGGTACGAAACTATGTGCAACGCAGCGTAAGGGCAGGAAGTCAAAGCTTTCGGAAGAGACTTTAGGGCTAATGAAGGAACGACGTGAAAACCCACCGGTCACTTCGTCGGCAAAGCGGACTCAAAACCAAGAGATCAGTAAGCACGTACGACACGACCTCCGATGCTCCAATACTCTCTCGATCGAGAGAGCGATCGAGCAGAATCGAGGCTCCAAAGTGTTCGTACAATCTCTTGGAAGAAGCCATCTGACGAAGTTGACCACAGCAAGTGGGGAAGTTGTTGCTTCAAAGCCGGCAGTCCTTTCGGAAGTGGAAGACTTCTACAGCCAGTTATACGCATCATATGCATCTCGACCTGATCCCGGAAATGAGGATTCTAGAGCCACATTAACACGCCACTTCACCGAAGACCTGCCAGAAGTCAGTATTGGCGAAATCGAGATTGCTCTTGGACAGCTTAAAAATGGAAAAGCCCCTGGAGAGGATGGTGTTACAACAGAACTCTTGAAGGCTGGAGGTAAACCCGTACTGAGGGAGCTCCAAAAGCTTTTTAACACTGTCCGTTTCGAAGGGAGAACTCCGGAGGCGTGGAGTAGGAGTGTGGTCGTCTTGTTCTTTAAAAAGGGGGACAAGACCCTACTTAAGAACTATCGACCCATATCCCTTCTAAGCCACGTCTATAAGCTGTTCTCAAGAGTGATCGCGAACCGTCTTGCGCGAAGATTTGATGACTTCCAATCACCGGAACAGGCTGGGTTTCGGAGCGGATACGGCACCATAGACCACATCCACACAGTGCGGCAGATTATACAGAAGACTGAGGAGTACAATCAGCCCCTGTGCCTAGCATTTGTGAACTATGAGAAGGCCCTAGGAAAACATAAATGGCGAACGCATCTCTCACTTGCGATTTGCAGACGACATCGTCATCATGGCAGAAACCCTGCAGGACCTACAACAGATGCTGAATGACCTGGCTGACTCTTCTATACGCATCGGCCTACGGATGAACTTGGATAAAACCAAGGTCATGTTCAATGAACATGTTCTACCGGAACCGATTGCAATACACGGTGCCGTTCTCGAAGTTGTTCAAAAATATGTATACCTCGGGCAGATATTGCAGTTAGGTAGAAACAACTTTGAGGACGAGGTGAATAGAAGAGTTCAGCTAGGTTGGGCAGCGTTTGGGAAGCTACGTCAAGTCCTGACATCGTCGATCCCACAGTGCCTAAAGACAAAAGTCTTCAATCAGTGCGTCCTACCTGTGATGACATACGGTGCCGAGACGTGGACACTGACGGCACGGCTGATCCACAGGTTCAAAGTCGCTCTACGCGCTATGGAAAGGGCTATGCTCGGCGTTTCTCTGAAAGATCGCATCAGAAATGAGGTAATCCGACAGAGAACCAGAGTTATCGACATAGCCCACCGGATTAGCAAGTTGAAGTGGCAGTGGGCTGGCCATATTTGCCGAAGAACCGATAACCGTTGGGGTAGACGAGTTCTGGAGTGGAGACCGCGTCTAGGCAAACGTAGTGTAGGACGTCCTCAGGCACGATGGAGTGACGATTTGCGCAAGGTGGCTGGCAGGAGCTGGATGCGAGTAGCCCAAGATCGATCTGAGTGGCGTGCATTTGGAGAGGCCTATGTCCAGCAGTGGACTATTATAGGCTGTTGATGATGATGATGATGACATAACGGAAGTCCTAATTCCATATGCACAACCTGCATTGACTGCATTTGAGGAAGATTGTATTTTACGACAGTGCTCGTCTGCACCGTTCTGGCGACGTGAAAGCGTACATGCAAGAAGTTGGGAACCGTCGTTTAGATTGGCCAGCTCGAAGTCCTGACCTCAATCCAATTGAGCATGTTTGGGATGTTCAACAGTGATGGGTTAGATCAGTGCAACCTGCTCCACAGAACAGTGGGGAGCTAAAAAGAGTCATTTCAAAGAGCAGAAGTGTGGGAACGTGGAAAGTATGCCTAGAAGGAAGTTGTGATTTAGGCAAGAAGAGGTCACACTCGTTATTAGGATTTTATATTTGTAACTATATTTAATTAAAAAAAGTAAAAAACAAAATAACTTGCGTTTATTGCCGCCTACTTCTTATTTTTTAGCCGTGTATATCGGTTTTAAAGAATTCATCAAAAATTATTTTAAAAAATTGCCAGAATTCACTTTCCGCGTTTTAATTCACGCGATTATATGTATACAGAATACGTCAAGCAATTAAATTTCATTTAATTAACTGAAATCGACCTTAGAACGCTTAGATGCCCGTTTTTTTGCAAGAGTGTAGATAACTATTTCTGGGATAATTAATTTACGAATGTGGGTCATTGAGGTATATATGATGTGGGTAATGGAAAATTTTACTTAGTAATTATCCGTCCATCTTATCTAATGCACATAGGTAAGTACGTATTTTATCTAATTACCCTGACCTTCACTGCAGTGAATAATAAAATTGAGAAAAAACTGAAAAATCTGGGCAAGTGCGAGTCGTACTTTCAGACAGAGGAGGCTTTCGTACTTAATACTAAACAGGATTTAATTCAAAGTTAAATGAAAAATCGATAACTACATGAATTTGTATTAATTTTATTTTGTTTGATTTTTCTTTGTTAAAGTGGCCATGAACTAAAAGTTCAGTCTGTCTATTAGGGTAGGGCCCCGATCGAAATTTTTCGAGTTGAAAATAATCGCGTTTTTGTCTTCCAATAAAAATTACAACTCAAAGTTCAACTTTTGTATGAAACTGAATCATCTTATGCGACTCATTTTCAGCACCTCAGAACTCACAAAAATTAAGCTTGTTTTGTCGGTACATGATATACTAACCTACTAATGAACGGACGGATGGGCACGATTGTTGTTTTATCGGAATAGGATACCTATTTCTACCTATTTAACTGAATACTAATATTTAAAATCTGTACTTGTTAACTAATAACACGGCTTCTCCCGGTGGCAACTGTGGTTATAATAACTAATTATTTGCATTCCACAGGAGCCTATTTATGTTCCCCAGCAGTGGGAACATTAATAGGCTGATGATGATGATGATAATTCCACAGGATATTTATTATGGCTGGCTGAAATTCGCGACGAACTAAAGCTGACACGTTACTACATATCAAGGTTCATATCCATGTGGAAGATAGTCGTGTTCATGTTGTGCATACTGATCTCGTTGTATTACCAAGGAGATGACCCGTTCAGTTTCGTCAGTCTCGTTGCCAATGCTTTTGGTGATCGTTATTATACTGTCAACGAAGTGAGTTCTATTAGTTTAACATAGATTATTTCACCGTACATAAAAGGGAGCTGAGAAAGTATACTCCTTCCTATCGACGACTGCACCTAATTAGCAATATCCTTTAGTACCTTTTTTAACAGACCGTATGGTTTTACAGAGTTCCACGTGTGAGGGCATGTAGGTTAGGTAAACTCGAAAATGATATTTCTGTCTCCGTAGCATGACCACCACAATAAACATGGATTATATCACGTTTTTGTTGCCGCTAACAGTCAAACTCTGTAGTGATTTGAGCGCGATAACATGAGCGATAAGTCATATCGCGATGCTCATCCTTCGGGGGCTGATATTGCAATGATTTGTACCTAATAGGCACAGTTTATGTCCCCTTTAATCAGGCGGAACATAGCTTGTTTACCAGCCTTAACGCATAGGTACTTACAAAAGAAAATAAATAAACAGATACATACATGGTATGTTTTTGGGTATTTAAATAATTAAACACATTGTTTCAGGTGCAAGTTATAATCCAGGACGCATACGATGGCCTATTACAATACATTGTGACTGGCGAATCCGTTCAAATACCCGTATATTGGGCAACTCCGTTATGGGTGTCGCTCATACAAATAGTTTCGGCTTACATTTGCTTTGCGAGCGGCAAGTTGGCTTGCAAGATACTCATACAGAATTTCAGTTTCACGTTTGCGTTATGTCTCGTCGGACCGGTCACTATTAACTCTTTGATTGCTTTCTGCGGTGCTAGAAACGCTGACCCATGCGCGTTCCACAACGCTATACCAGATCATCTATTCTTCGATATACCTCCAGGTAAAGTATGCCTACCTTAAAATGCCTTCTTTTTTAGCACAACTAGTGGGTACCCGCGACTTCGTCTACGTGGAAAAATCGTTCTTCATACTAACCTTCACCCTCCTTTCCACCCCTTACGGATGATTTATTGGATAAAAACTATCCTATGTCCTTCCCTGGGCTGAAAATATATCAATACTAAATTTCATCTGAATCGGTTCAGGGGGTTTAGCGTGACGAGGCCACAGACAGACACACTTTATATGATATGTAAGTGTGGAAATTAGTATGTTTGTGAAGGGGATAACCATTTGTGGCATCATTTAACAGTGTTACAAAACAAAACAAGATTATTTCTTAACTAAACAAGTCAAATATATCAAACCAGTACATGGCTGCCTTTGTGGTGTCTGAGATCGGTTCGAATCTTCGATCAATAATGCCACAGATTGTTGCATTTCTTGTATAACTAAATTTAATCCACATTACAGTGTATTTGCTAAGAGATTACGTAGCTCGTGAAATGGCCTGGGTGTGGATCTTATGGCTAGTCTCGCAAGCGTGGATTTGCTTCCACACATGGAAGCCGGCTTGTGATCGTCTTACGTCTACGGACAAATTGTTCGCGAAGCCCTGGTATAGCGGCCCGCTGATCGACCAGTCTATGCTAATGAATCGAACCCAAGACGACGTTAAGGAGATTCTTGTAGAGGTAAGTTTAGTGAGAGACTAGATCTTCATCATCAGCCCATGAATGTCCCCGTTCACAGGGGCACAGGGTTTCCCTATGGATGGAATAGGGATATTGAGCATTGACCCACCACGCGGTGGACCCAGTGTGGGTTGGTGGGTGCCAAGGACTACAGACACAGCCGAGACCAACGGCTTACCGTGCTTCCCAAGCACGAAGGAGCTATAAATAGTGAAATTTTGGTCACCTAGCCGATGGCAAGACATTGCGGAAGTTGCTTAATTTCCACGATGCTAGTTACTTGCACCATCGAGCTTCTTAATGACTCTTATTACTGGAATTTTCTGCAAGTTTATCAGGTCTTTTTCATTTATTTTATCGTGACTACAAGGATTTTATCACGCTATCGTTATCTTTCTGAGAACATATTTAAGGAAATGTTTAAACTGATTAGTGACTGCTTTTTAAAATATTATTAATTGCTATTTTAAAAATATGAAGTCGATTAGTTTATATATTGTTGATTTTTTTTCTTTTTTAGAGTATTGAGGATGTGGACAATATATCCATCAACAGTCTCGATAAATCAAAGGATATTAAACCTTCGGATTATACATCTAGGTAACTATTATTTATTATACTTATTTCCACCAAGAAGATAAAGGTGATAATTCCTAGCTTATTAATATCATATTAAATACTGTATCCTTGTCTGTCATATTTGTGAGAAGTTGGTAAAATATTTTCTGGAAAATTATAAGCGTAATATATTTTTATTATGAAATCTACACGAAAGTTTGGAATTTGCTTATTTTATATTACGTTAATTGTGTTTCCTTGTGATACACAATTACTTTAAAATGTTGGATATTTATGTTCTTATCTAGAACCTTTGATTATTTACTCTCTATATAGAGCGACACCTTATAAACAATGCGATAAAAACAGACCGGTTTTATATAATTGTGTGCGTGACACGCAAAACAAAACACTGAAATCTTCTTGAAAATGTCATTAATTTGTCTCTGTGCGCATGCGTGAAATAGCAGGTTAGGCCACATTTCCCAAAAAAGTGGGGAAACTTAATCAAATCAAAATTAGTTATATCACACAATTAAAAATCATAGACGTTGAAACATCTTTAAAACGTATTATACTTCGATATTTGAAATAAAAAATATTTGTTACAAGTTTTTATTTAGTTCAACTAAAATAACAGCCATGGTATTATAGAAACAAACAACAAAATGGACCTCTTTTTCATATAATGATGATTTAGGCCTTGAATTTAGTAGTTTAATATTATTTATCTTTAAATTTGACATATTATGCAATACACAGTCCAGGTCATAAGTATTGTCACACAGTAAAAACTTTTCTTTTAGAATGCTGGCCACAAAAAAGTTTATTGAATTCGAATTTCGAATTGTTCATGAAACTAAAAATGTATACTTTTTAGAATTTTACTCATTTTTAAATATGGAGTGGACGCTTAAAGAAGACCGTGTTGCAGTTATTGCGTTGCATCGTTGCGGGTACGCGCCAATTAAAATTTTTGACATACTGAAAATTTTTAATATTACCAAAAGATTCGTTTATCGTACCATCAAACGATACAATGAAGACTCTCGTGTAGATGACAGGTCAAGAAGTGGTCGCCCTCGGTCTGTTAGGACTCCAGCAGTGATAAAGCTGTGAAGACGCGAACTCAAAGAAATCCCAAACGTAAGCAGAAACTGTTGGCTCTTCAGATGGGGTTAAGCAGAACCACGGTGAAAAGGGTGTTAAATGAAGACTTAGGGCTTCGGGCATATCGAAGTAAAACAGGACATCGTTTGAATGCTCGTCTTATGGACCTGAGACTGAAGAGATGCCGCGCTTTGTTGAAGCGGTACGCGGGAAAAATATCGGGAAATTCTTTTTTCGGGTGAAAAAATTTTTACCGTAGAAGAGAGCTACAACAAACAAAATGATAAGGTGTACGCACACAGTAGTGAAGAAGCGAGCAACCGTATTTCGCGTGTCCAACGAGGTCATTTTCCATCCTCGCTCATGGTATGGTTGCGAGTTTCTTATTGGGGCTTAACAAAGGTACATTATTGTGAGAAAGGTGTAAAAACGAATGCAGTTGTGTATCAAAATACAGTCCTGACGAACCTTGTGGAACCTTTTTCTCATACCATGTTCAATAACAGGCACCAACAAGATTCGGCGCCAGCTCATAGAGCGAAGAGCACACAAGACTGAGAAAATCTGAGAGAAATCGACTTCACCCGGCACGAAGACTGGCCCTCCTCCAGTCCAGATTAGAGTCCGTTAGATTACAAGATATGGCAACACTTGGAGGAAAAGGCGTGCTCAAAGCCTCATCCCAATTTGGGGTCACTCAAGACATCCTTGATTAAGGCAGCCGCCGATATTGACATGGACCTCGTTCGTGCTGCGATAGACGACTGGCCGCGCAGATTGAAGGCCTGTATTCAAAATCACGGAGGTCATTTTGAATAAAATTTATTGTCATAAGAATATATGCTTTGTTAAGTTCATTTGGGTATATAAATGGTTACATAATGAATAAACTTGTTTCAATTATTTTATATTAAACATGTGACAGAATTTACGACCTGACTAGGTATATACCTCTGTGACGCAAAACTTTTGTTTTACGATCTTGCTAACTTTATGACTTTGAAATATATTTTTAATGGTGTAATTTTTCGTACACTTAAAATATTAAATAAAACCAAGTTATTTGGTCAAAATTACTATACTTTTTATAAAACATTGATGACCTAGTAAATCACCTTGTACCGTAAACTAATTTTGACCTGTACCCTTAGTACGAGTTTTACAATTACGAAAACTATTTTAGTTTTCGTGAGCTCGCACTCGTGCCAAGGGTACTGATTTTATTGTTTTCGTTTCAATACCAATAAACAGTGTTTAAATTCTATCATTAAATAATTTGCGTCTTCTTAAATTTTAAGTATATTTGGTTACTTTTCACCAAAATGGACATCGAAACATGATTTACAATTACGAAAACTATGATAGTTTTCGTGACCTCAAACTCGTACTAAGGGTACTGGTTATATTTAAATTTTAAGCATTTAACTTTTAGATGTTTAAATCTAAAATTAAATATTATTTTTCTAGTACACCTTTCTTGTAGGATTCACCAACTGATTGGATTTTCTTTATTTGTAGTCACTCGACAGAGCTCAAATTTTTGTACGTAGTCTTACAAATTACTATTAAAATATTAGCAATTCATTCATCAAAATGATTTAAATTGGTCAGATTCAGTAATATGAAAATCGAGGCGTTTCTTCAGAGAGCTCACTTTTGGTGACTCGTAGCGTTCGACTTACAATAGCTACAAATTTACACATCTGGCTACAATTTTTTTAAGATCCTGCCAAATCTTTATGTATTAGAAACCTACCTATATCATAATCAGTAATATACACACTAGGATGTAACCGTAGTTTTTGATGGTTGCCAGAAATCTTCTGTACGATTTCTTCTTCAGTTAGACTAAAATAAATTCACATGTATTTTGAAATTATGTCCGTCCGTTTACAAAATCCTCTAAGTTGCTTTGAAGTTATAATTTCCAATTTCAGGGGTGAACACGCGATTTGTTTCTATTGTGTATAAGTTTAGTTCTTACAATTAATAAAAATATAACAAAACCGGGTACTATTAAAAATGACATTACTGAAAATTTACCTTTGTCTAAAATAATAATTGGTTTAATATTTGGTGTGGGTTATGAACCACTTTGAATAGTTCATTAAAATAATGAAATTAAACGATAGGTAGTTGTAGGTAAAAAAAATCATTATTGTCATGTTAGGTATGGATTGCTATGGATAGATAAAACAGGTGAGTTTTTGAACTCCACAACTTTCACAAAACAATGACATTATCAACATTACAGGCTGTTCGTCTTATTCGAAAAGAATTAAAGGTCTCTGATCTATATCTCACACTCATCCCGTTTCATCGGCAAGAGTACTCAGTCTTAGTTATTTAGTATGTCCATTGGTACGAGAATCTGAAATTCCTTTTGAGTTTTAAAAAAAAATCGATATTTTTCTTTGATATTCCGTTCAGTTTTAGAGACAATTAAATTTATATCGATAAAAGAAAACCTATCTCCATAGCACTGCTGCAATCGGTAAATATTTAGATTATGCCATACTTACTTTTTGGGGAATTTCGTAATGAGACTGACATCATTGTAAATGTCAAGAGTCGTATTTTTTTTAACTATTACGATGATAGTTTTATTTTTTTAAGGTGAATAATGATGTCGATTCTGGCATGATTCTCTAAACCTAAACTTAAATTTGACAACAGTGCATCCTTGTCCTTCTCTATACAGAATGAAAAGGTGAGACTGATCTTTAATTTAGTTTTAAGTTTAGAGATGCACGCCAGAATTGACACCAATGAGTTACTTAATGGTAAGTGACTTTGTTGGTAGTTTTTATGCGTCCTAGATAATTTCGGCAAACTAATATCGCGCATCTCGGCATTTCAAAGCAATAATTTCAACACGAAACTCGTAATTGACGTGCGTATCGCTCAGCGTTACATTGAACACTAAGTGACGGGAAACAACTTGGAGTCCAACGTTTGGCTGATATTTTTTTCAACGTCATCTGCGCTTCCACGCTCTATCTAGACAGTAAATAATCAAAGTCTAGAACATATTAAATCGGTACCTACTTGATTCTAAGAATGTCGCATAGTTATGATAAACTACCAACGTAAACACAAGATTAAGAATAAAAAAAAACAGCAAGAAGGTTAGTGAGCAATGTTCACACTGCAAACGTAATGAGCTCGTGCGTCGCTTCAGACGGATCCTTGGATTACCTGATTATTAAGTTCTTGCTTCTCGCTTGCGTTGTTTAAGCCCTTACTTTTAAATACAGAAATAAACTTTTAAGATTGTTTAAAGTTAATGCTATCACTATCTTTGCTATAAGAGAGTAAGTTTTAATTTATATCACGTCTCTCAGTACGGCTGTAAGTATTATAAGCTACGCGGTAGTGTCATTTTGAACAGGAAAATTTGTAGTTTCGGCATTATTATGGAGCTTAGCTTGTTTCTAGTTCTAGTGTGATAATTAATAATGTATAAATTAAAAATTGTGTGATCTTTTACAATTTACAACAGTTCCATATTCCTGATCAAATATTTTAAACAGGATATACGTGTGTGCTACTATGTGGCATGAAACGAAGGAAGAAATGATGGATTTCCTGAAGTCCATATTCCGTTTGGACGAAGATCAAAGCGCGCGACGTGTGGCGCAGAAATATTTGGGCATTGTCGATAAGGATTACTACGAGTTGGAAGGTGAGAGAGGAAAAACTACCGACAACTACAATAAAATATTAGATACACAGAGCGTGGGTCACACTGGCAATGAAGCGAACCAAACTTTGTGTCATTCATGACACGATTGTCGCTGCAAGTATCGTTTCCTCACTGAGAACGATTACTTCTGTCAGCCAGACGTAAGACGTGTTAGTTCGGCCGTTGTTAGCAGGACTAACAAACGAACTAATATACATTTATTAATTAAATATCAAATCAAAGTTTTTATTATGAATATAGTATATAGGAGTATATTTAATATCGTTAATTTATATTAGTACACCCCCTCTTTAATTAAATTTCGCCTCTCCATCCTATGGTTGTTTGGAACAAATAGCTATTTAGCGTTAAGACCGTCAATTGTTCTCAATTTAAATTATTATCCTAATGTGTAATATTTAATGTGGTATGCACACTCAATTGTTATCTATCTATAGTCTAAGACATACTAGAAGAAATTAGGTAGCATATAGGTTAGTGTATCCGCGATAGCCGAAAGCGCAGGTGCGAATTCAGCCTGAAATCTGGGCAAGTGTTTTTTTTCTCTGGTAAAATTTTCTTAAGAATACTGGCGATATATTATATTTTTCCAACGCAATGCAATATTTCGGGCTACTTCATTGTTATTTCCAGCACACATGTTCATGGACGACGCGTTCGAAGTTTCCGATCACAGCATGGAAGACTCCCAAGTGAATCGTTTCGTGAAATGCTTGGTAGAAAGTGTGAACGACGCGGCATCGGAGGTGCACTTAACAAACGTCAGATTGAGGGCGCCGAAGAAATATCCTACACCTTATGGTGGGAAGCTTGTATGGACCATGCCTGGGAAGAATAAACTGATCTGCCACCTGAAAGACAAGTCGAAAATCAGGCATAGGAAACGATGGTCACAGGTGAGAAGAATACCAAAGGGTCAAATATACCTTATATTTAGTAGATATCTTCTTCTCTTTCTTTCTTCCGTGCTTACCATTCTGTCTGAAGGCCAGTGCCCTGGGGTAGTGGATTATTAAAGTTTGATTATGGTGTTAAATAGATAACAAAGTGACAGTTCTTCAGCTTTAAATTAGTTTCCGAAACTACCTTCTCTGCTTTCAGACTATTTTCTGCTTTAGAGTTACCAGTCAGTTGGAGTATAAGCACCATTTTTTCTTTCACTCGCGTCGGGTATTAAAAACTAAAGGCATATAATCAAAACATAGCAAGAAAGCCAAAGTGTGTGTGTCTCTTTACTTATAATCATTTCAGGTAATGTACATGTACTACTTCCTGGGTCATCGTCTCATGGATTTGCCTCTGTCCGTTGACCGCAAGGAAGTGATCGCAGAGAACTCTTACTTATTGGCTTTAGACGGCGACATCGACTTCAAACCTTGCGCCGCCACTCTGCTGATTGATCTTATGAAGAAAAATAAAAAGTTAGGAGCGGCGTGCGGGCGCATTCATCCAGTGGGAGCTGGTAAGCCTCGGATTGACGGAAGCTGTCGGGAGATACTTTAACTTGGTCGCGAAACACAATAAATCTTTTTGGTCGCAGTGAATACAATTCTACTTGGACTGCATAGCCCCAAAAATATAAAATACAAACAAGCCTCGGATTGTAAGCAAACGGAATCTTTCATATATATGAGAAAATCTTAAAGGACATTGGGAACTTTACAGCGCATTTTGAGCGCATTTTTGTGCCCACGGAAATATTAAGATACAACGAGAATTATATCTTTGACCAGTTATTCAACAAAAAAGTGATGTAATTCCATGTGACCTCTGTTTTAGTGAAGAAATTATTGAGAAGTTTACATTTTTTGCGCCGCAACACAGATAGACCACACAACACATCCGCTAAGTCTTTCCATTTCGAAATTCAATAAAATGAGCACACTTAAATAATCCGTCAAACAAAGCAAAGTTACGGTAATGCAGGATAAAGTTTAAAAACACAGTGTGTGTAGTGAATGAGTGTGTATCCGATAGGTAGCGCTGCAGTCGAGTTTTAGGATTTTTTATATTTTATCAAATTTGCTTGTTTACGATATACTTTAATAGTTAGCTATTTGTTTCATTACTTAGTTTTAACACACTTTGTTTTTAACCTTAATTATAAGATAGGAATGAAAACAAATTATCGCGAGGTATGTCGTAACTGCTAATATAAATTCGTCTCTAAGTCCTTTGTGTGTTTGACTCGAAAGTGCAATATTAATATTATTTAATTTTCTCAGGTTTCATGGCGTGGTATCAGAAGTTCGAATACGCCATTGGACATTGGCTTCAAAAGGCGACTGAGCACATGATCGGCTGCGTACTCTGTAGTCCTGGCTGCTTCTCACTGTTCCGAGGCAAAGCTCTCATGGACGATAACGTCATGAGAAAATATACCCTCACTCCCAGCGAGGCTAGGCATTTCGTACAATACGACCAAGGTAAATCAAAAATTTCAATATATTGTTTTAAACTTTCATGGTCACTAACATTATAGTAATATAAGTTATTTACGGGATTGTTACCATGTACCTTGTTTTTAGCGAGTTTCCGATATTTCGGCACTGTTGCAAGCGCCATGATCACGGAGTAACTGAAGTAATTGCGGGTAGGCTGTTATTGGCAGACATATCGGTCTACCCTCCGACGAAGTCTTTTATTGCGACCCGTACCACTGTTCACATTCTCACTATTCACTCGAAACTGTTCTCGACACACAACACTTACAGTATCGGATCGCGACACGACACTTTTTTGATTATTTCCGGTTTTACACATACGAACCACAGGATTCCAGACACTCGACAATTTAAACCCGTCCTCACGATTGAAATTTTTATGTTTTGTTATTTCAATCGCTTCCCTGACCAATCTTGGTATGTAGTGGCGTTCTGTCGAGATAATCTGTGGGTTATGAAACTCAATCCAGTGGTTAGAACCAGAATCAATCAAATGTTCCGCGATGGCTGATTTCTGCGTATCGTTGTTCTTGATTGCTTTTATGTGTTCCCTCATTCGGCATGATACTGTTCGCTTTGTTTGGCCAATGTACGAACTGCCACAGCTGCAATCGATCTTATAGACACCAGGTTTCTCCAAGGGGAAGTTGTCTTTAGGAGACCGTAGGTATTGTGAAACCTTTCGCACATCAAAAATTTCATATAACTATATCACCTATCCCTTCCATATCACCCTTACCAACCTTTGTCCATGCAACTCCCAATCACCACAGGATCCTTCCACCTCCTTGTAGCTGAAAGAAAGAAAGAAAGAAAGAAAATATTTATTTGAGAAAACATGTGTAAGTAAGGTGTTATGATTTTAGGGGTGCATAACATGTCGTGCCGATATGGGCATACAAATTCATCAAGTTATTTAAATATCAAGTCAAAAATCTTAATATTCAATAATACAACCATGTCAAATTCAAATGATTCCAATTCAATAAAAAAATGTTAAAATTAATCAAACAAATAGTAATAATAATAATCAAAACATAATTACAATTCAAAATTTGTCAAAATATGTCAACAATAAAACATGTTAAATTCAAATGATTCCAATTCAATAATAAAATGACAAAATTAATCAAAAAAATCGAAATAATAATAATAAAACATGATTACAATTCAAAATTTGCCATTAGTAACATTTATCTAATAATATATTTTTAATTTTCTTCTTATATAAATTAAAATGTAATTCTTTTATATATGTCGGGAGTTTATTATACATTCGAGGGGCCATACAGAATATGTTTTTTCCCATAGGAGCTGTTCTCGAGTTTGGCATGCACAACTTTCTATTATCACGTCTATTGCGATCTATAACATCTGCCATTCTTACGAAAAGATGCATGTTATCTTTTACAAATAGTAAAACCTCAAAAATGTACATAGACGGAAGTGTCAGAATTTTATGTATTAAGAAATACATAATAATAATAATTTTTGCATTTTAAATGCTGTGTCTTTATCAGTAGAATTCCCCCAGAAGATAATACCGTATCTCAGAATTGACGCAGATAAACCATGATATGCGGTAAGCAGGGCATCTGTGTTAAATAAAGAAGATCTTTTTAATCGAAGGACATAACTATGTTTCTCCATGTCCACCCATTTAATTAATCCATTTTATATTCCTGATCTTATCCGACATAAATAACCCTTTAATCGCTAGTCTGTTTATTTAAACATATTTTCTCTAAGCCATAATTTTTCAATTTCGCTATCACATCTCCCAGAACCCTTTAATAACGAACTAAACGAAAATCTTACCTTTACTGTGTCAAGCTCATTATTAAAGTACATGACAATATAAATAAGTATCATGTTAACTCTTCTCATCATCTATAGAGAGAGGACTCTCTATAGAGTATGAGAGAAGATAAGGACATTAACAAGAAATATCTTATACCTCTCCTTATCTGTAATGTTAGGCGTTCAGAGAGAAGAAGAGATGTACGGGCTCTGTGAAAGATGATATGATTAGGAAAGGAGTAAATATTGAGATGAGGTCTGATTGCAAAGAATGGAAGAGGAAACACATTGCGCCGTCCGCAAATAAATTGGGAATAGAGCTGGTGCAAACGCCTACTCTGAATTTATTGCGGATGCAAAATAATACGATTCTTCTTAATACTTAGGAGAGGATCGTTGTTTATGCACTTTACTTCTCCAACGGGGCTTCAGACTCGTACACTCATTGCCCGGTACGGTTCGATAAGTTCTTTAACCAGCGCCGCCATTGGAGTAAATCTATTAATCGGCCAAAACTCGGATATAACCATTCGAAACTGGGGTCTGTAATGTTAGGCGTTCAGAGAGAAGAAGAGATGTATGGACTCTGTGAAAGATGATATGATTAGAAATGGAGTAAATGTTGAGATGACGTTTGATTGCAAAGAATGACAGAGGAAACATTGCGCCTACCGTAAATTAATTGGAATATAGCAGGCGCAATCGCCTGCTATGTTCTTAATTTATTGCAGATGCAAAATGATACGATTCTTTTCTAATACTTAGGTGAGGATCGTTGGTTATGCACTTTACTGCTTCAACGGGGCTATCGTGTAGAGTATTCTGCGGCTTCAGACTCGTACACTCATTGCCCGGAACGGTTCGATGAGTTCTTTAACCAGCGTCGACGTTGGGTGCCCTCCACTATGGCCAACATATTAGACTTGCTCTCTGATTCCAAGCGCACAATTGAAGTCAACGACAGCATCTCTACGCCTTACATCGCTTATCAGGTGAGCTTACTTTATTGTTAGACATTCAAAGTTCAGAATGCAACGTTTTGCAATTTATTATTTGTACAATAATTCATAAAATATGTTGTAAATATAACCGAACGCTATAAACGGACACGTCTTGGCGACAAAAGAGTAGAAACAAGAAGAAAATATAACAGTGTGCTATTATTACATTTCAATACTACAATTTCGCGGTTCTAATGACTTTTATCCTGGATATAAACTAACTAATCGCACTCAACAATTTGCTACCTTATTTTCACGTTATGAGATTGAAGCATTTTAAAAAAAAACCTTGTAGTAATAGGTTTTATTTATGAATGCTATTTTTTTAGATAGAAGCTTATACACAGTCAGGTCATAAGTATTGTCACACAGTAACAACTTTTTTTTAGAATGCTGGCCACAAAAAAGTTTATTGAATTCGAATTTCGAATTGTTCATGAAAATAAAAATGAATACTTTTTAGATTTTTACTCATTTTTAGGGTTCCGTACCTCAAAAGGAAAAACGGAACCCTTATAGGATCACTTTGTTGTCCGTCTGTCCGTCCGTCCGTCTGTCAAGACCCTTTTTCTCAGGAACGCGTGGAGGTATGAAGCTGAAATTTATATCAATTACTCAGGTCTACTGTCCCTTGAAGCTGTGAAAAAATCAAACTTCTAAGCCAACGCAATCAAAAGATACAGCCGTTTATGCCGCAAATTTTCGACACTTGCAAGGGAATCAAAACCTACAGGGTGCTTCCCGTGAACTCAGAATCTTGAAATTTGGTACCAAGCAACGTCTTATAGCATAGATAAAGGAAAAATTACGAAAACCATAAATTTTTAGTTACATCACATAATATATATTTTTTTAATAATTTTAACCTTACTACCCATTTCCTCATAAACGTATTATGGTATTATGGTAGGTATTAAATTGAAATTCATACCAAATACTCAGGTCTATAATACCTTTAAGCTATAACAAAATCAAACTTCTATGTCAACGCAATCAAAAGAAACAGCAATTTAAGCTGCATATTTTGAAACTCGCAAGTACTCGCAAGGGAATCAAAACCTAAAGGGTACTTCCAGTCGACCTAGAATCTTGAAATTTGGCATGAAGCAACGTTTTATAGCACACATAAAGGAAAAATTCCGAAAACCTTAAATTTTTAGTTACATTACAAAATATATATTTTTTAATAAATATAAACTTATTACTTTTTTCCTCATGAACGCGTAGAGCTATCAAGTTGAAATTCATATAAAATACTTAGATCTAATATAAGTGTTTCAGTTATATTATAGATAAATGATATGTGTTAATATAAAATAAAGGATTACTTAAACGATAAAGAGATCTTTGTCTTAAATTTATGCTCCTCCATCTTTCCCCATTGTAATGTTATGAATTTCATTTTGCAATAAAAATACCATAGTTATGACTCGATTGTCGTAATGAACGAACTTTGTAAACCTTGCAGGTTTGTACGGAACCCTCGGTGCGCGAGTCCGACTCGCACTTGGCCGGTTTTTAAATATGGAGTGGACGCTTAAAGAAGACCGTGTTGCAGTTATTGCGTTGCATCGTTGCGGTTACGCGCCAATTCAAATTTTTGACATACTGAAAATTTTGAATATAACCAAAAGATTCGTTTATCGTACCATCAAACGATACAATGAAGACTCTAGTGTACATGACAGGTCAAGAAGTGGTCGCCCTCGGTCTTTTAGGATAGCCAGCAGTGATAAAAACTGTGAAGGCGCGAATTCACAGAAATCCCAAACGTAAGCAGAAACTGTTGGCCCTTCAGATGGGGTTAAGCAGAACTACGGTGAAAAGGGTGTTAAATGAAGACTTAGGGCTTCGGGCATATCGAAGAAAAACAGGACATCGTTTGAATGCTCCTCTAATGGACCTGAGACTGAAGAGATGCCGCGCTTTGTAGAAGCGGTACGCGCGAAAAAAATATCGGGAAATTCTTTTTTCGGATGAAAAAATTTTTACCGTAGAACAGAGCTACAACAAAACAAAATGATAAAGTGTACGCAAACAGTAGTGAAGAAGCGAGCAACAGTATTCCGCGTGTCCAACGAGGCCATTTTCCATCCTGGCTCATGGTATGGTTGGGAGTTTCATATTGGGGCTTAACAGAGGTACATTTTTGTGAGAAAGGTGTAAAAACGAATGCAGTTGTGTATCAAAATACAGTCCTGACGAACCTTGTGGAACCTGTTTTTCATACCATGTTCAATAATAGGCACTGGGTATTCCAACAAGATTCGGCGCCAGCTCATAGAGCGAAGAGCCCACAAGACTGAGAAAATCTGAGAGAAATCGACTTCATCCGGCACGAAGACTGGCCCTCCTCCAGTGCAGATTTGAGTCCGTTAGATTACAAGATATGGCAACACTTGGAGGAAAAGGCGTGCTCAAAACCTCATCCCAATTTGGAGTCACTCAAGACATCCTTGATTAAGGCAGCCGCCGATATTGACATGGACCTCGTTCGTGCTGCGATAGATGACTGGCCGCGCAGATTAAAGGCCTGTATTCAAAATCACGGAGGTCATTTTGAATAAACTTTATTGCCATAAGAATCTATGTTTTGTTAAGTTCATTTTAGTATATAAATTGTTACATAATGAATAAACTTGTTTCAATTATTTTATATTAAACATGTGACAGAATGTATGACGTGACTAGGTATTTACTATGGATATTTTGAAAATTAAATGAATTTAAAACTGACAGACGAGATATTTGTTTACATTCAGGATGAATTCTATTTACACCTACTATTGCTAGTATTATTACTATAGGAAGTATTGAGAAGCTCGATGGCGCAAGTGTAAGTTAAACAACTTTCGCAATTTGACGGTCATTGGATGGGTGATCAAAACTTATTATCTCGAGCTCCTCCGTGCTTCGGAAGGCACGTTAAGCCGTTGGTCCCGGCTGCATCTGCAGTCGTTAGCACCCACCAATCCGCACTGTGCCGCGTGGTGGGTTATGGCCCAATCTCCCTATTCAACAGTGGGGACATTAATAGGCTGGTGGTGATAATGATAGGAAGTAATAATTACTTTCAGACGATGTTGATGTTCGGTACCGTTCTGGGCCCGGGCACTATTTTCCTCATGATGGTGGGCGCTATCAACGCTATAACCGGCATGAGCAACATAAACGCGCTGTTTCTTAATCTCGCACCCATTGCTGTTTTCATCGTTGTCTGCATGACCTGCAAGTCAAAAACGCAGGTAACGCAACAACTATTTATCTATGGAACGATTCAAAAAAGCTTTCTTATAAGTCAATTTTAAATAAAGTTTATTTTCATTCCATTCTTTTACGTCCACATAGCTAAACAAACACATTTGATTATCAACAGAACTACATGAGGCATTGTCAATCAAAATTGAGCATTTGATTCATCGAGAACAGTGAATTAAACAATCTTTTAGCCTTTTTATTTCTTATGTTTTCACACACACCACATATTAAATGACGACCTCCGTGGCCGAGTGGTTTATACGCCGGGTTTCATGGTGTCGCCTACTCGAGAGGTCCCGGGTTCGAATGCCGGTGGAGGCAGATCTTTGTGTGATGAACACGAGCATTTGTACTCCAGTCATGGATGTTTAATATGTATTACTATGTAAATATACTTATTTATGTAAAATATATGTATTGTATCCGTTACCCTAGTATCCTATAACACAAGCATTACAGTGCTTACTTTGGGGCTAGGATAATTGGTGTGTGTGTTGGAAATATTTCTTTATTATTTATTTACTTATAAATAAAAAAAAACTTTTTAACGGTTTTCGATGCGTTTTTTAAGTTATATTATAATGTATACAGATATTAAACACGCATCGCGAACCGTTGAAAAAGTATCCTTTAACCACTGAATGTTATAAAACATTTCAAATAATGAATGAATGTCCTTAAATTTCTTTTGACTTACTTAATTTCACCGTAACGAGCCCGGATATATTTATTTTACAGCTGTTTTTAGCCAGTGTGATAACTTGCGCGTACGCAATGGTAATGATGTTGGTTATAATCGGCATAGTGCTGCAGATATTAGAGGACGGTTGGCTCGCGCCGTCGAGCATATTCACGGTGCTAGTGTTCGGGTCGTTCTTCGTTACGGGTGCTTTGCATCCGCAAGAAATAGGATGCCTAATGTACCTGACCATCTACTATATTACCATTCCGAGCATGTACATGTTACTGATTATATATTCTCTGTGCAACTTGAACAACGTCTCGTGGGGTACCCGCGAAGTGGTGCAGAAAAAGACTTTAAAGGTAAATGAGAAGGTTCAATCGAGTAATATCATTTATTTCATAATGTGAATGATTACGACTCCTTCGAAAATTCAATTACAAAAAAGTCAGAGTTACTACATTTAGTCAAAATGTGCGATTCAATTTATGATCTTAATATCAATGAGTTAAAGTAATAATTCAATGACAGTTTAATATACCTTATGCCCTAGACTACAAGAAATTTAATATATTTGATACCACGTTATTGATGTTACAAAATCCATAAGTTTTGAGATATATTACAAATATTACAATCCATGTTTTAGGAAATGGAACAAGAAAAGAAGGAGGCCGAAGAGGCAAAAAAGAAGATGGAGACCCAAAGCGTATTACGTTGGCTCGGCAAATCCGACGAGACCGAAGGCTCGATGGAGTGCGGCGTCTCCGGCCTGTTCCGGTGTATGTGCTGCACAAACCCAAAGGATCACAAGGAGGATTTACATTTACTACAGATTGTCAACAGCATCGAGAAAATAGAGAAGAAATTGGAAGCTATGTAAGTAATTTGAAATAATTTCATCAATAAGAGCTTAAAACCCCGTTGTCTAGGAAGGCCTGCAACTACTGCAGTTTGATGACAGTATCGAGAAAATCGAGAAGTTGGAAGCTTTGTAAGTAATTTGAGTAAAAATTTGGGGCGAAGGTAATACGATAGAAGTTTCACTTTAATAAGAGCTTGAAACAGCATTGTCTAAGAGGACCTGCATCTACTGCAGATTGGCAAAACAGTAATAAAGAGACTTGCTTTGCTTCGGGAAATCCGACGAGACCAAAGGCTCGATGGAGTGCAGGGTCTCTGGCCTGATCTGGCCCAAAGGATCACAGGAAGGAATTACATTTACTGCAGATTGTCAATAGCATTAAAAAATAGAGAAGAAGTTTGAAGCTGTTTAAGTGCTCACTGTAGGGCCAATTTAATAGGTTACATTTGACACTTCATCAAAGTTTTACAACGTAACTGTACCGACAAGCATAATTTTAGAACTGCCCAAGTGAAAATTACTATTACATGTTTATTGTTCTAAGAACGTAATTTTACGATTTACTCTCAGTGAATGTGAAGACCATTCTAAACAGAGTAAACATTTTTTGTTCTAAAGAACGGAACGTCATTACAATGGCAGTCAGTGAACTCCTTCTTCTTTTTAAACAATAGTAGTACCCAAAAAAAATAATGAATACAATGATGATTACTAGTGAAGGAATATTTTACCATAAATGAATAACCACATTCTGATTATAATAAAACATTGTATTAAATTTACTTTAAAAATAATAAATAAAACAGAAGAATCATTGATCTAAAAAAAACCTATTCCGAAGTGGAGGCAGAATTATTTTTTTTCGGCATTAATTTAAAAAAAGCAGAAATTCCACGATTTAATATTATATGGGTCAGGCCGCCATTTTTTGCTGATATGGCGCAGAAGTATTGTGTTGGTGGCGTAGAAACTTCTATGCGTCGGTGACGTTGAGTAGCGTATAATAGTGACGTATAAATGTTAAGGTTGGCATACACATGCCAAAATATTAAGATTAAATTATGTTGTATAACGTTGCACCAATTATGGACACTTTAAGGATGAAAAGGTGGGTTTTTGCAGGATTATTCCTAATATATCAGGATTTTGTTTAAACATCAATGTTGAGCTTAATGTCCGTCTTTTTTCCTTTATGCTTATGCCGAAAAAGTTAGAAATGACCGCATAAAAATGAGAGATATCATTAAAATATAAACACGGTTTTTTAAGCTAGTAATGGACAAGGAAAATCATTTAATGGACATCCAGTGATGAACATGCACCAAATATGGACATCTAATAATGAACACAATTTAATAATGGACCAGCTCGTTGAATTTAGAATAAGAAGTAGTTCCCTATATCTAAGTAAATAAAAACATCAACAATTTTATAATCAACTAGACATTTATTATATTTTTATTTTTTAAAGCATTTATTTGCTAGATTTTAAATCTAAAGAAATTTTTTACTAAAAAAAACTCCACGCGGTCCAGGCAGCAGACGGGACTCGAAATTGCACCCTCCGCTATCCGGGCAGATGCACTGACCATTATGTTACCGTGATCTATGCCTTGCAGCCTAAGAAATACAAGCTGAAATTACACGAATGGGTTTAGTTAGTATACATACATACACTCTCGAAAAACATTACCCTCCTTTCTTCGGCAGTCAGGTAAAAAGTTAGTATAATAAAAACGAGTGGATACCTACCTTTATTTGGTGGCGTAGAGGAGGTGACGAATATCTACGCTACCGTTGGCGTTGAAGTACCAAAGTGGTGGCGTATTTCTACTTCTACGCTATCGTCGCGTTGGGAAAACCACTTATATCTCTGTAAATAAAGTATGATTTGAGTTGCATTATAGCTTCAAACATGGCTTTCACTTCTACTAACATGATGCACTATTTGTTTTTCGTGTAACAATCAAACTTACTTTTTTATGCACAAAAATCTTACCTTGAAAAAATTGTGTACACAAACTACACCAGACGTTCATATGTCAACTGTCAAAAATATAGCCGCTCGTCAAGCCGCTGTCCACACATTACAGAAACTCAGTAATGCCACTTCCCGATTTAACTTCACCGATTCCTAAAGTTTAATAGAACATGGAGAATAGGTGGCGTTGACAAAGTGGCGTATAAGTACAGTTTTTGACGAAAACTTATTTGAAATCATTTTCAAGGAAATTCTTAGGATAAACGTTGCTAAATTAAAAGCACGGATAGCTATTAATATAAGTATTCTAAAAGTATCAGCCATGTCTCAAAAACTGACATACTTTTTGCTACTACGATAGTTAAAGTGCACCTCTACCTCGGCGGATAGAAGTTTTTGTGTAATTTTACTACCTTTTTTCAGATTTCATTCGAAATATATTTTTTGTTTATTATCTGACCTGAAATAACATAATGTCCACTTGAGTCACTTTGTTGCTCAATCCAAAGCCGTCATCGAAAATCCGATATCTATAATACTTTTCAAAATACAGACCGCGGAGAAAACAGTTTTCAAAATCAGCAAAAAATGGCGGCCTGACCCATATATATTATTCTTAAAAATTGTGAAATTGTCGTGTTTTTTGAAGAAACATGGTTGAATGCGAACCAAACGGTTTCGCGTACATGGATCGATGATACAGCGACCTCCTCCTCCGACCTTAAAATTTCCATCGGCAAAAGGAGCCCGCCTTATTGTATATTTAGAGTAAGTAATAAGTAGGCACTTACATTGTTCACCGAGGGAAAAAACATTTAAACATGTATAACTACTTAATCAAAATATATTTGTCCATCCTCCTATGTCAACCTTAGCAAAAAGGAAAAATTTCGACCGCTCTATAGAAGCTTTATCTCCGTACGTTTCTTTACTCTTGTGCCCAAAGTAGGCACTCTGAAGCTTGAGTTTACAAGAAGTAATACAGAGAAAAGTGCATATGACATAACTTTCGAGAATACCTAACTCTTCAAATAGTCTGTTTTTTGTTTTATTAAGTTTCTGATTTTATCTTCCTTTTAGGGGTGCACCAAAGGAGACATATGAAAACCCGATTCGTCGTCGGTCGTCTATAGGCTTACGTGGCGACACACTCTCCATGCTGCCGGAATACGACGATAGTGAGATCTCTATGGACGTCCCCACGGTAATCAAGACATGGAAATCATTACATCGTGTTCCGCAACCTTAGCACGAACCAATATCGAATTCGATTCGATACGCGTCAAATGTCAAGAAGTTTTGTATGGAAATTTGAACAGCACCACAAACGGACGGAACGAGAGTCAAAAATCATCCATACAAAACTTGTTGACATTTGACGCATATCAAGATTGAATTCAAATGAAATAGTTGTTTGAATTCGATATTTGTACGTATTAAGTGTACCTATAAATTATTATTGAAAAAAAATATATAAAATGCATATCTAACATCGATCAACTTTTTATTTTAATGATTTGTTTGTAAATAGATACTTATGTTTTTAACCGACTTCAAAAAGGAGGTTTTTAATTCGACAGGTATGATTTTATATGTATGTACACCGATAACTCCGAGATTACTGATCCGATTTATTTTATTCTTTTTTTGTTTGATGCGAAATAGTTGCTATTTGATCCCATAAAAATTTAATCCAGTTTGACCTAGTAGTTTTTTATTTTATACTTCTTGTTACCTGGACGATGATGAAGAAAATATAACCTATATAGGTGATAAAATTACATATGCCAATATTATACACGTTTGTCCTTATTGTTTTAATTAGGAAGTTCGTGATCCACTCATCAATCCGTTTTGGATAGAAGATCCAAACCTCCAGAAGGGCGAAGTGGACTTTTTGACAACCGCCGAGACAGAGTTTTGGAAGGACTTGATCGACACCTACTTGCGGCCCATCGATGAAAACAAAGAGGAGCAGGTATATACCAGTAATTTAGGAAGATACAAAATAATTACGTACTCACAGTCTATATTCCGAGAAAAATATTTGAATGCAAAGGAAATTTCACACGATAGTCATGGGACCCAATCTCCCTAATCCAACTTTATAGAAAGCTTGTGCCTCAGCAACGGGGACATTAATAGGCTGATAATGATGAATCAACCAGTTACTCTAATCAGTACCCCAAGGACTCGTTAACAATCTAACTTTGGTCATAGCCGATCGTTGGTACATAAAAAAATATATCGAGCTCCCCTCTTACCCACAAAGCATGTTAAACCGTTGGTTCCGTCTGTATTCGCAGTCGTTAACACCCACCAATCTGAATAATGATCGTTTTCTCCATGTAATTTTGTCCGCCCTTTGTCCCATCACCAAGTCCTGACTTAGTGAAGGTGCATAACAAATTTCAAACAAAAAGTAATTTTGGAAATCGGTTCACAATTCAGAGAATACCTCCAAACATACACTAAAGAAAATATAAATACACATGAGTTCCGGTTATGAGCCTGCCTGAAATCCAAGATGCCACTGCTGCAATAATGCCTAACATGTAATTTTGACTAAAAAGCAGAGTGCCTAGAATGAAAGATGCGGCATCTTTCACTACTTCAATAATACCTAAAACGCTAATTGACTGAGAAGCAGATTGCCTAAAATGTATCGTGACTATAATGTTTGCTGTTAACCGTCAATTTGAAATCTGTGAATGTTCATCATCAGCCTATTAATGTCCCAACTGCTGGGGCACAGGCCTTCCCTATGGATGGAATAGGGAGATTGGGCCATGCGGGCCCAGTGCAGATTAGCGGGTACTAACGACTGCAGATGCAGCCGGGACCAACGGTTTAACTTGCCTTCCGAAGCACGGAGGAGCTTGAGATAGAAGATTTTGGTCACCCATCCAATAACCGACCACTGCGAAAGTTGCTTAACTTCACCGATCGCAGCCGAACGCGCTAACCACCCGCGCCATCGAGCCCTTCCTTGAATATTAAGCAATAATAAAAATCTGTGTTCTTAAAACAGAAAAAATCTTCTATTCATTAACCGATAAGTTCCAGCAGTGGAAATTAGATTTAGAACGTTGAGAAAAAAGTCAATAGTAAGTTGATATATATGTATATTTGAATTAGCGGCCAACGACTTCGTCTTCGTGGCTTAATTTGCTGCCATACAAGCTTCCCTTTTCACTCCCATAAAAGACGATTTCTGAAGACATATACTATCCTATGTCCTTTCTTGAGACTTACTATCTCTGTAACAAAATTGATCTAAATAGGTTTAGCGGCTTAAGAGTGACCGGGCAGCAGACATACATAAGACAACAGTACCCCTAGCACGAACCAATATCGAATTCGAATAGTTTGCGAGTCCGAAATGTCATTGTCAAATTTGTACTGATTTTTAGGTCTCGTTACATCCTTTGTGGCGCTGCTGTTCAAGTTTCCATACAAAATTTGACCATGACTTTCCGGACTCGCAAACTATTCGAATTCGATATTGGTTCGTGCTAAGGGTACTGAAGCCGGAGGCGGAGCGGTGGCGGTCGAGAACCGTTAGGCGTGGCGTTCGCGTTGCGGGTGTTTACACATTGCCAGGCGTGCATGAGTGTTGGCGGCGCGGAGGAGTTTCTCCTGTTTGTTGGCGTTGTCGCATGTTTCTACAGAGTTGTTTTTTTTGAGGAGTTTAATTCGACGCATTTTTTTTATTTAAGCTCAGTACCCCTAGCAACCTAACAAAATTTTGACAACGACATTCCGGACTCGCAAACTATTCGAATTCGACATTGGTTCGTGCTAAGAGTACTGAAGCCAGAGGCGGAGCGGTGGCGGTGTCGTCGTTGCGCGTTTTTACAGAGTTCGTTTTTTAAAGAGTTTTAAGGTACACCCTTTCGTCCGAAATTGGTCCCATATAAATTTGAAAAATAAATCGACGCTAAAGGTAGGAAAACAGGGGATTATTGATTGTTCACTCTCTTATACAGAGTAGTCCGATTTGATAATTCTTTAAGTGTGGAAAGTTTATAAAAATGTCTATATATCTTTTTTCAAAGCATGTTTTTAATCTTTTTCACGGCAATCATACAAATAAGGATGCAGTTGCACTAATGATAGGAACTTCTTGGTAAAATCCATTGTAACTATCACTATGATCAGTTTTGTGAAAAAAATACTAAATAACCGCTAGTAGCACGCCTTCGCACCGCAACGCGCCGCCTCACATACGTCTCTTTCCTTTACAGCAGGTGGACAAAAATCTACTTTTTATTGATCCGAATGTGGAGATTTGCTCCCCTATTTACTTGTCAAAAAGTGATCCATAATTATAATATTTTTTTTACTTGTAGAAATTGTTTGAAAGCTGCGTTGTTTCGTTACACTTCTTCGTTCCGTGCGTAAAATTTATTTATTAAATTATTTTATTTAAAAGTATCGTTCGTTAACAACAGAACTACCTACATAAAAATATTTTTGTCCACCTATTACGGACCGAATGTCATGTGTGAGCCGCCGCCCTGTGTGAAGTAACTTGATACATTGTGAGGAATAAAATGGTGACGAACCTTTGCCCCCACTTTGCACCGTCTCGCCTCGCCTCCGCGCCTGTTTGTGTTGCCGGTACTCACCTCGCCACTGCGCCGCCTATCCACCGCCCCGGTTTGTGTGTGCAGGCTTTCATACTAATTTGAACTATACAAAAAACCGTCATCGCCTCCGCTCCGTCTTCTGTGTATTATGGCCGTTTGAGAGTCGTGCCACAATCCAGAGAGCCTATTATGATTCTCTTACCTTCCTATAGGAACGCATCAAAACCGACTTGAAAAACTTGCGCGACAAGATGGTGTTCGCGTTCGTAATGCTGAACGCGCTGTTCGTGCTAGTGATATTCCTACTGCAGCTCAACCAAGACCAGTTGCATATCAAGTGGCCGCTAGGACAGAAGTACTCTCTAGTTTACGATGACGAAACTAACATTGTGAGTAACAATCTATGCCGCTACTAAATACCCTATATCATAATACTTCAAAGTATAGTCAATTAATTATTTTTTATAGTCCAGTAATTGTTCAGTTAATTATTTTGTATACCTTTTACATTCGCACAGCTTTAAATGAATCTACTTGCAGATGATTGCTACATGATTTTATTATTTTTCTAAGATTTATGTGGTAAAATTTCATTTGAAATGAAATTATATTTTATTAAAGGAGATTGCTCAGCTTCCATACATGTTTGGCCTAAAGACAAATAATCATGAAAAATTGTTTCCTAGATTCGAAATTATATATAAATTACTGTAGAAACGAATATTATTGACGGACACCCCTGAGAACTTCTATAAACCATATGCACTGAACATATTAAAATAATAAAAAACAAATAAGTTATATTGTAAACTAGGGAAATCAAGCCAAGTACCAAAATTATGGATTAGATTCAGGTATATAGAGCATGTAGATTAACAGATATTTGCCTGTTTTTAAAGTTAATGCAGAAGAGTAACTTTTAAAATCAGGTGTCATTTCCGGTTATAATAAGGTACTCTGTGACAGAAACTGTGTGATGATTGTGAATGAGCCACAGATTAGAGAGAATTTTTAAACTCTTGTTAACCAAAGAAAGCTAAGAGATTTAGGTTCTATAGCCATATATTCAGTAGCTTCATTATTTTAGTTATGTTTTTAAGATCACCATATTTTAGATTTTTAGTGTATCACACCAGATTATAATGTGTTTATGGAGGTGTTTGGCGAAAAATGTATGGCAATAGACTTTATGATGTCGCCTACCATCTGTAATAATTGTCTGAGCACATTTGCATCTAGTAAAAATGATAATATAGTTGTGGTTATTAATACCACAGTGTAATAAAAAAAATGATTTATTTTATCGATCTTTACAAAATAGATTTGTTTTTATGTTATATAAACAACTTCGATCAGTCTTTGGCTGAATGTTACTACAACCATAGCCATTAAAAATGATTCATATGTTTTCCAAACCGGTAAAATTTAAAGTCCTTTTTAAAGTAAATATATTATACAAAGGTGTCCGTTGAAATCTAATTACTGTAAATTAAATTATAAATTACGCCAAGAATTACCGTGTATGTCAATATTTTTGTGCATTTGGGCTAATTTGAGCAATCTCCTTTACCTATTTATTGGAAGTTGTTTTGAATCGTCCAATATTTTTGCCTACCACCCATTCAGAACATCTTTTAGCTAATGAGAAGAATAAACAATATAACAAAGCAATAAACTCATCAGCATTTAAAAAAAGAACAACATATAAATAAAATCATGTCGCTACTAATACAACGTCCACTCAGATTTTGATTGCTGTCTCATACAGTATAAATATAAATAGTGAATTTGTAGGTGCACATACACAGTGACTATTTAATGCTGGAGCCGATCGGGTCGGTGTTCCTGTTATTCTTCGGGTCGGTGATGGTGATCCAGTTCACGGCGATGCTGGCTCATCGGATGGGTACACTGAAACATTTGTTGTCAACCACCAAGCTCGATTGGTACTTCGCTAAAACGGTAAGATTTTATCAAGTTTATAAACAAGGAATTATTTGTTGCTTGACCAAGTATTACTTTGTTGCAAAATAACTTAATCATTACTTGAAACTAGAATTCTTGAATAGATTTTTGAAGTTATACTTCTTTAGGCGCGTTATGAAAAAATGATGAGAGTGAAATTTTAAGATGCGCGCGCATCACTGTAACACAAAAAATTAAAGTTGGTCGCTTTAGCGACCAACTTCATGCTGTTACTTTTGTGTTTACCGCAAATTAAGAAAATCTACCAACAAAATAGAAATAGAATCTCTATTTTGTGAGTGCTAACGACTGCATTGTGAAGGCCTATCAAAAGTATTTATTAATCTGGAACAACGGAACCAAAGCGCGATTCAGGAGACTACAGCGCCATCTCTTGACCATTGGTGTAGTAGAACCAAAAACCACATCTTTATTTTTTGTAATAAAGTAACAAAAAGTATTTATTAATCTGGAACAACGGAACCAAAGCGCGATTCAGGGGACTACAGCGCCATCTCTTGACCATTGGTGTAGTAGAACCAAAAACCACATCTTTATTTTTTGTAATAAAGTAACAGTTATAGGTATTCATATTTATAATATTTATCCACATGTTTCTAGTTTGTATATTCGGAATACGTGTTTGAGTTTCATACAAGTGCAAATCACATAATATGTTCTAATAAATTATATTCAGTAGCGATTTTAATTGAATATTTTGATTATTTATTTATTTTTTCAAATTAAAACTGAACTTTATTGACTGTGTCCTTTTCCAGACTTTTTATTAATTTATTGTAATTAATTATTGGCATGCAATTAAAAACTAATTTTAAACGATGCCAAAGAAGGATAACTTCTCACGCGCCTACATAAGTACACGCACCCATTTTTTTTATTTTATAAACGAGTAATATATATCACTAACATTAGCAAATTCTTAAGTAGAAAATCTGACTAATTACTTTACTTGACTAAGAATTCTTAATTTTGACAGTTCATACTTTGTTATATTAGGTCCATATGAAATTGGCGATTTGTACGGGTAACAAAGTCATTTTTTTTATTAAAATATATTTGATTATACAAAGTATGCACCGTTGATATCTATGCACTTTTGCCATCTCATAGGTAGCTCATTGATCCCTTTACTAAAAAAAAACATGTGGGCGAGAATGAATAAACTTTTGAAGGCGGTTTGGACTGCCGCATCGGAGTTGAATTTTATTCCTTGTAAATAGTTGTCCAAATTCCGGAAAAAAATGATAATCTATTGGAGCAAGGTCAGGGGAGTACGGTGGATGTCGCAGAACTAACTTAGTGGTTGTTTGTTGTGCAGTGTGTGGTCTTGCGTTGTAGTGAAGCAGCGGTGGCCTAGAGCGATTGACCAATCTCGGTTTTTTAGCAGCTGCTATACAACCGAGATTGGTCAATCAATCAAAAGTGAGCAACTTCTTCTTCCTTCATTGCATTTGCTGACAATATCTGCCGTAATCGTTTGGCCAGATTTTAGAAAGCTGTAGTGAACGACATCGGCGCTAGTCCACCAAACACAAATAACTTTATCTGAGTAAATTTTCGTTTAGGGCAGAGTTTCGCTGGGTCTCCAGGGTTCAGCTATTGCGACGAGCGCTACCGATTATGGTACAGTATCCACTATTCATCACAAGTATTGATTCGATTTAAAATTTCTTCATTATTGTGTCGGTCGCAAGGTCGATTCACTCAATTCATGAGGTACTGAGGAGCTCTAGCCAGAATGCATAGAACCTGGGGACGTGGCGATTAATTAAAACAACTTGACGATGGTTATTATTTTATATTAGATTTCAGGCGAGTATAATTATTTTTATCTAACTACGAGAGGTTTGCTTGGTGCCTGAAGATCTACACTTGAATGGAACCTTCTATCAAGAGACAGACGATTCCTTATTTCAAATCTTAAAATCATGACATTAACTTTTTAATATAACTGCCAACCGTAGGCATCGCAAGAGCAAAGAGTTTACCTAAAGAAGGAGGCAGTAACGTAACGGACGTTACAGTACCCATCGTCCAAGGTTTTTTACTTTCCCGATTTGCTTCAAGTGGAATAATACAGTTTTGTCACTTACCCTTTAGCCTGCAGTTATCTCTAAAGTGCTTTGTGATGGATCCGCTTCCATAATAGCCTTTTAATTCTTAATTTTACACTTGGGTCTCCGGCTGCTCATGGTTGTAATTGTTGTAACTTCCAGAACGAAAACATTAAAATCAAAAACGTACCGTGCTTTATTTTGCGACACCGGCGCCATACACATCATTAATCATTCGAGCTGTTTCTGCAGCACTGGTGCCATGGTAGAAGTCGTACTCGTAAATATACCGATACTTCATGTTTTCCATTGTGCTGTAAAAAGCGACGCCAAAGAAAAAATAATAAGGGAAAATAACAAATGAATGACTGTTTTCAAAATTCAAATGCACCAGCTAAATGAATTTATAAAGGACATTGGGCAAAAATGTTTGGACGCTGCACCCACGTCCGCCACGGCTGAGACTACATTTGTTTGCAAGGTATTATAGTCATGATCATCTGTGCCAAAGCGCATCAAATTCCATCCCGGGGGGTCTTCAGTTATTTTAAGTTAAATAGGTACAAGTACTATAACGAACGAACATTTATGAAACAAGGGAATTAATTTAGTTAGTTAGTTCGACCCTACATAGGGGGCTCAGGTATTATGGGAGTACTTCACAAGGTGCAAGGGTGCCCCCTTATGTTATTCTGCCGCGCTAGAGTAAATCCAAAAATCCCCACATGAGTTGGGGTATTTTCAAACATTCTGTTCGTTATAGTAAATTGTCTTCTATGTAAAACGGAGCGACCACATATAACACAAACTTGTCCACGCTTCGAAGAAAACATGATTCCAGTTCAAAGTAATTGACAAAACCGCTAATCGTGTTCGAATGTCCAACACGCTTTGGATTTAAAATAAAAATCAATCAAGTGACAGGGAGCGCACAATCACAATGAAGTAAGACGAGTCGACTATTTGCAACTGCAAGTCCTTTTATCCCCGTAAACTGTTTTGAGGTGTCTCAGTATGTGCAAGCGTAGGATGGTCGGCAGGTCGGCAGGTCGGCAGGCTTTGTCGTATGTCTGGTTGTATAGTATATGGCATATTATTATGGTTACTAATAAAATAAAATGAAGGTACTATAAAAGGAATTTATTTAGCTACTTAAATATGCCCATGTGTCATATATTTTGACTACTAGTGTATTTTTTACGGTGTCATATCTTTTGACTACCAGTATATTTTTTACGGTGTCATATCTTTTGACTACCAGGATATTTTACGGTGTCATAATAAAAAAAGGCTAGTTTTTCATAGATCTATCGATTCATACTAATTACATTGTTGGCGGAGCTGGGTGTGTTTTGCCCATTGTCCTTTGAATTTGGAATTCTTAACCAAAGATAGGAGGAGTAAGGAGATATTTCAGATCAAAGTGGTCAGTACGACAAAACGCTAATTTCATATGTAAGGACCTAATACTTCTTAACTATGAAATAAAGAATGCTGCTCAAGCAATTACATAAGCGAAGTAATATCTAATTCTTGTTTATAAATACGACGGTAAAAGCATTTGTCAACATTATATAAAACTAGCGGGTTTCCGCGACTTCGTCTGTGTATAAAGATCAGTTTTGACTTTTACCCCTATTTTCACCCCCTTAACGGATATTTTGTGGAATAACTATCCAATGTCCTTTTCCGGGACTTAAACTATCGCTCTACCAAATTATCTTAATTCAGACGTTTAAGCGTGAAGAGATAACAGACAGAAAGACAGACAAACATAGTTTCTTATTTATTATTGATTAGTATTGATGCTCTGCCACTAAGCTAATAAGCTAAAATATATGTATCGTGGAAATCAGAATAAAGGTACTACTTAACTAATGGCAATGTAGAAATCTTAGAGTCGGTGAGAACGCCAATAATAAAACAGAATTTACTAAGCTAAATTCGGAAAAAGTATATATTTTTGCCAATCAATTTATTATTAGATATACCGAAATCGGCAACGTTTAATTTTGTTTGTTCAATACTTTATTTGTAGGTAGATTTTCAAATTCTGACTTGAAATTTTTTCTACCATTTTGTGCATCGTAATTTTAAGTTAAACTTAAAAACAATGAAAACCTGTTTGAAAGTGTTAGTTAATAGCAATGTTTTTTTTATAAATCACCTTATATTGTAACAACAGACCGATGACACGACCCAACATGCGCACATAGAAAACAACGCCATTGCTATAGCGAAGGAGTTACAGAAGTTGAACGTAGAAAGTGTGAACAAAACGGGCGGCGCCCGAGAGGCCAAAGTAGCACACAGGAAGACTATACACAACCTGGAGCGTTCCAAGGAGAGCAAATTCAATATCGTCAATCTGGACGCCGTCTTTAATGAACGCTTACAGAACCTGGAACCAGGTAAAGTTAATGTTTGCAATTGTATTTTATTCAGAATAATGCAGAGTTCAGTTATCATAAACTAACTTCAGTTTGTTGCTTCGTTTTTAATTGTTATAAACGGAGCAGGATTAGAAATCGTTACGTTTCAAATTGGCAATTCCGTTATTATTGTTCATTTTGTTTTTTTTTACACAGGTTCAAATTCCGTGAGATTCTTAAGCGTCAGCTCAAACCGAAACATGACACGACGCGACGCTTTGCGCACATTTTAATAGAGCGACTGAAAACATAACTTTGTTTAGTCGAAAAGATACACATTTGATTGTTTCAATTCAGAATACTTTGCACCACGGGTATTCTGAATTTTAACAATGATATGGTATCTTTTCAAGTACTAAATAAAGTTATGTTTTGTAGTCGGTCTATTAAATTGTGCGCGCAGCGTCGCGTCGCGTTTCGGCGCGTAAGCTGATGCTTAAAATAAAATTGCCATATCAATATCATTAGTGATTAATACCATAAAGTCCAAGTTGTCATTCGGAAACAATAAAATTCATAGTCAACCTGTCTTGTTTAGAAAAGTTATTCAATGAATGATAAAAAAATATGTACGATATGTTTTTGACTTCACGGCTATTTTCCTCGTGTATCCCTATAAAAGTTTTCTAGCCGCCCTTAGAGACGTCAAATAAACCATTCAAAGTCTCGTATTGTCTTATTCATTGACGTATAAAAACAAGTAGACTCCCAATTTCCTAAAATAAAGATTCAGTTCCGAGACGGACGGTAGACTGCAGGCGCAAGCGAAACTGCAGCTACCGACTGCGGTCGACCGCAGTGTTGTGCAGTTGTTTGCTTTTCCAAACACATCAACATACACGTGACGCACGGGTACATAATGGTAGAGATATTTTATTCTACCTATTAAAATGTAATTCATTAGCTATACGATACGATAGAAAACACCAAGATAGATGCGTAATTTTTCTAATTACTAATAAAATTTTATAAACTAATTTCGAATACGACTCTCACGTTTTTTATGTGTAGAAATAGTATCATTTGCATAGTTTTTAACCGAATTCTTTGTCATTGTTTGATGTTGTAATCAAAGCGCGGTTGAAACTCGACTATTTGAAAATTACATATAATAGACCCATGTGTCTAATTTGATTTCCACATTTTTAAAGTGCGATTGAAAGTAATTGTTTTTATTTACTACTTATACTTGTTTTTATACGTCAATGGCCTTATCCTATTGTTATCGTAAAGAGAGTGACAGCACTATTACCAAACTTAATGACTAAATAATGACTTGAGTGCGGTCCTTTATGTTTTAAACGAAAATAGAAATAACTTCATTTTTAAATTTTCTTTGATTTTCAACATAGATATAATAGCTCGAATGCCATCGCTGGGCGCCAACATGGCTACTCGCAAGGCAACGTTGGCCGCATTACAAACACGGCGTGACTCTGTGGTGGCGGAGCGGCGACGATCGCAGATGATACGTCGCGACTCCACCGCGGACTACTTGTACGAAGCGCCTGACAACCCGGTAATATTTAGAATATAGATATATCAACTATTGGCATCGTTGGGCGCCAATATTCCACTAGCAAGACCCTGGCCACAGATGATACGTCGCGACTCCACCGCGACTACTTGTACGAAGCGCCCGACAACCTTGTATTATACATAGATATAAAAATCATTAATTGTCATCGTTGGGCGCCAAAATGGAACATTTGCAAGGCAAAGTTGGCGCTACAAGCACATCGTGACACTGTGGTGGCGGAGCGGCGACAATTGCAGATGATACGTCGCGACTCCACCGCGGACTACTTGTACAAGGCGCCTGGCAACCCGGTAATATTTAGAATATAGATATATCAACTATTGGCATCGTTGGGCGCCAATATTCCACTAACAAGACCCTGGCCACAGATGATACGTCGCGACTCCACCGCCACTACTTGTACGAAGCGCCTGACAACCTTGTATTATACATAGCTATAAAAACCATTAATTGTCATCGTTGGGCGCCAAAATGGAACATTTGCAAGGCAAAGTTGGCGCTACAAGCACATCGTGGTACTGTGATGGCGGAGCGGCGACGATCGCAGATGATACGTCGCGACTCCATCACTGGCTACTTATCCCTTATTACCAATAACAGCACTGCAACGACATGGCATTGATTCAATCAATTTCATACATTTTTCTAGGGGGATTGAATTCTATGCTTCTACAAATGCTTCATACAGTTCGTTTTGCCTGGTGTTACGTTTGTTAGAGACTTTCTTTTTACCCGACTGCGCAATGCAAGAGTGTTTAACTGTCTATATATGTATGTTTGTTCCTTTGTGGCACACTAGAGACCAAACACATCAACGCCTGGACCGATTTTGATGATTCATACATCAATCGATATAGGCGCCATATTGTGACGAAGTAAAAAAAAAAAAAGTTGACAAAATATGTCGAGTGGGGTATCACTGTCTAGATAATCGAAAATCATGATTAGGTTCCTCACACTATTTTTCATTTCATATGATTGTTTAGGATCTACAACGCTTTAAAGTTGTATATTTACCACTTGCGCTTTTAATTTCAATCTTACGTTTGTATGGATCTTTGTTACTCTTTCATCTAAAAAAATACTGGGGCCCCTCGCGGCATAGATATTATATCACCTTCGATCTATATCGAATGATCTGGCTTTTATCGAAGGAAAACCTTTTTGCCCTATTCTCACCATGTCGTAATAGATATTTATCTACGGATAATCAGTAGACATACATCGACTGGTAAAGAGCCTTCGATATATAAATATCTATGGATCTTGGCATGTCAATCTTGTTATTTCCACTTTTTTTACCTATTATTTATTGTGTTGTCGTGTGTCATTGCCAATTATTGTTACCTCAAGTGTTGTTAACTGCCTTCATAAATAATTAGTAAATAAAGAAGTAGGTAAACAATGGTGTCGATTCTGGCGTGATTCTCTAAACTTAAAACTAAATTTAACATCAGTCTCTCTTTTTCATTCTGTATAGAGAATTACAAGGAAACACTGTTGTCAAGTTTAAGTTTAGATTTAGAGAATCGTGCCTGAATCGACACCAGTTTATATTAACGATGGATGAGTTGATTCATGTTTTCTTCAATGATTTAATAAATGACGTGATTGCTGCTGCTGTGCTAAGGCGCCGCCGTTGTGAGAGCAAGAGGGCCCATTTGAAACGAGGGACGCCGACTTCATAAAAAAATGCGTTTAAACAAAAATTTGGTTAGAAATCTATTAAGTTATGAATATCATTGGTATCGATTCTGACACGATTCTCTAAACTTAAAACTAAATTTAACATTAGTCTCTCCTTTTCATTCTGTATGGAGAATGACAAGGATACACTGTTGTCAAATTTACGTTTAGGTTTAGAGAATCATGCCAGAATCGACACCATTTTCTTATTGACGATACGAAGTTTTTGGTGGGATTTCTGCGAGTGCGGTTGGCGTCTTATTTTAATTATTCTAAAATTCGTTCATAGTGGATATTGTGAAATAAAATTGGTGTGATTTGGTGTTACAACCGTCTGCGCAACTGAAGAATTAGTGGAATCTTTAAAATATACGCTATTGCGGTCAAGTGGACGCGAAAACTTTATTGTAGTGTTGACTACCTCACAGAAGCTTAGAGAAAAAGCCAACTCCATAAATTTCGTGCCAAACACTCCAAGAAACATTAGAATGCGTCACACCGACATTGTAATGTAAAAAAAAGAAGATTAATATAACTAAAGACTAGGCTGTATGGGCATTGTTCCCTTTGCCTTCCCAGAAAAGTGAGAATTTTAAATAATATTGACGTTTCATTATACATAACGTTGAAATTATATACGCATACAATTTAGGTAAAGTTGAGATTTCTTATACTCAAAAAATGTATACTCATATTTAATATGAATGGAATTCATAAAATATAAAATATCATTTTGTTGCTTGTAAACTTCTGCTCTAATTTTTTTTTTTTTTTAAAGACTATGATGTTAACTTAATCGAGAAAAACGGAACGCATTCGTCAGTGAAAGAATATCTACGATAGATATAATATCATTGGAATATCGAAAAACCACGACAATAGCATTTTTTACCATCAGTAGATATTTTCAATAGATATCCCTACTTTCGATATTATCTCGAAGCCGATATAATATCTACGCCGCGAGAATTGGGCCCCTGAATAGATTTTCATGAAACTTAACAGTAATAAAGCTCATATATGATAATAACATATATATAATAATTTATGTAGTTATTGAGTGAATTGAGAATAACAATAAGTGTCACTTAAGACGGAAAAAAATCTTCCATGTGCGAGCCATTTTGGCCTGCACTGCAAAAACAATAAAAGTTACATGAATGTAATGTAGACTGAAAATGTATCTCTTAAATAGTTCTAAAAAAAAGTCCGTGACACCATATATCTATTTTTAATGTGTGCCATTACCGCTAAAATAGTGAATCAAAACCAAAATATTATTTAATATCTATTTCCAAAATGCACATTTTGTATTAACAAATTATTTTTTATCAAAACAAATACTTTTATCGGTTTTAATATTTAAAGACGATAGACTTTGCCTTTTACACTATGTTATTTCGACAAATATTTAAAAAGTTATAACGATGACTAAGTGATAGCGCGGTGTACTATGTAGGTCTACTCCTGCGGGAATATTAAGAGAAAAAAAATAATTTAGGGGTTTATAAACGTGGATAAAACCTAGGCGAAAAAGAAAAAATGGGCTACTCGCAGTATCTGATCCTATACGAAGTACTTACAATAAAACTGTGATACAGTTCCTTATTAAATGATGAAAAATATATTATCATAATAGGTATTTTTGATTATTGAATTTTAATGAAAAACTCAGAACTAAGTATACTGTTTTTTTTAACGATATTACTTAATACATACTTATTGGAATCCCTGTATTTATTAATCCGCTCGCGATAAAATGGGTATTGTAATTATAAACGATAATTCTGCAAAATTGAAAGTAAATAATATAGATTTTTGTAGGTAAAATCACCCCTTTCATCACCCTACGGCTATAGGTATTGCGATGTTGTAGCTAAGAACCAAGTTCCCATCTACTTCTATAGGGGAATTCATTATAATCGATTTAGCTATTAGGGCACGGAAGCGCAACAAACAAACTCACTTTCGCATCTTTAATATTATATTATACTTCTTAGTGATCCACCCGGGCATTGTACGGGTGAAATTTATTTTATCGGGATAAAATATAGCCTATGTCACTCGGATAAAATGTATTTAAATAAAGAAAAATGTAATCTATAGGTACTTATAATAAATCTGTAGAGAGGTCAATTCTGTACATGAAATATATTTTCAAAATAACTATTAGTGATCGATACTGATGCCAAAAATGCAATCAGTAAAATTTTTGTTTGTCTGTCTGTCTGTCTGTCTGTCTGTATGTTCCTTATAGAAACAAAAACTATTCGACGGATTTTAACGAAACTTGGTACAATTATTCTTCATACTCCTGGGCAGGTTATAGTATACTTTTCATCACGCTACAATCAATAGGAGCAGAGTAGTGAAGGGAAATGTTGGGAAAACGGGAGAAGTTACTCCATTTTTTAAGCTTCCGTCGCGTGTGCAGCCTTAATGGTTAAAGTTACATAGAAATCATGTATGTCGGAAATATTTTAAATAAAATTGTCTAAAAAATATCCTGCAACAGCATATGTCTATCTTTTATGGTTGACGTACAATAACACGTGTAACTCCTGATAGCTTAGCAGTTCGGAGCATTCTGATTATATTTGTTTACTCTTACGTTTATAATACTCTCACTCATCCCTAATTTAAAAAAGTTAACATTATTACCTATTCAATAAAAAAAGAATCATAGAAATCAGTATATAAACACCAAACTTATACATGAAATAAGACATCGCGCCGTCGCACGTGAATACTGAATCATGCTATAAGGATTATTTTTGTGTAACGGTTGCCGCGCTCGACACGGGTCGCGGCACTGCGGCGCGTAGGATATAAAAAGGCGGGAGGTCCGAGTTCAATATTTGGCTGTTGATGCGTTCAGAGCGTTCGACCTTATTGACAGACAATAATTGATATTGAGAAACCGTGCTTATCAGCGCGACTTTTAGTCTTTAAATAGTTTATTTGAATTTCTTTTGTTGTTATTTTGTAAAATAGGTGTTAGGTTGTAAATAGGAGAGGTTCTGGGAATGCAAAACAACTGAGCGAGGTGATGTCAATAGAAGTTTGGAAAAGGCAAATATACCATTTTCAGTTTTTTTATAATTACTTATATGAAGAGATTTAAATCTACACTACAGCTCTACACCGAAGCGAAGCGAGGGCGGGCCATTAGTAATAAATAATGTAGATACCTTGTGATGAATTAATAATTGAAACCGGTTCACAGACCGGTTTGACAGATTATTTGTTACAAACATACAAATCTTGCCTCTTTATAATATTAGTATAGACAATTAGGATAATAGTATTTAATTGATGAAAAAGATTTAAAAATAAAGTAAGTAATAGGTTTATTTGATTATATTTGTAAAAGTTATTTAGCATTTATGCTTAATAGTGATACGTTATTCGGTATTTTTTTATACAAAAAAAAATATTTGGAAAAAAATTGCCATGATTGCACTATTTGCAATAGCTACTTGGCTGGTAGCAGCACGCTTGATAGGTGAAAGTACTCTTCATTCGAGCTTTACACTACCAATAAAAAAGGGTCGATCACAAAGTCTTTCACTTGTTATATATTAACGCTTTAAAAGAAAACTACAAAGAGAACTATAAATTGATAATAAATGAGATTGCTATGGTGCTCTACCTAACGTTATGAAAAAAATATTATGCGCCTTTAGTTTAATCAAATATTATAAACTTTGCTTTGGTGATTGCATAATTATTTAATTTAGCGATCTAAGGCAGTTGCCACCATTGTCCAAAAGAACAGACGGGAATTACTGCTTTCTTCAACCTGCGACATAAACGTTATTGATTGGTATTGTATATAGGGTGATTAACAACATTTGAAGTTAACTTCTGGCATCTACATATTGGGTTTCTGTGAATTATGTAGGTATATCAAATTATGAGACTAGGATATGACACTGCATTTATGTATATCACAATCTTAGAGCCGGACGTTGACATGACAATGCAGCCACGGCCAATTTTAAATAGTCGACGAATAAAAGTAAATAAATTTTATATTTACTGCTAAACTACTAAAAAGAACATAAACAAAAGATGACTTTTTGAATAAGTGCTAGTTTAGTATAAAATTTACATACATTAGATATTTATGTAACGACTTGATTTAACTTCACACTTTTTTGCGAAAATTGAGGCCCATCTGTAGCCTTGACCCCGCTGGTAAAGTCTGTATATGTCTTAATAAATCAATCTTTTAGATCACCGCAAGGTACTTAATAATTCCCGCGATATTAATTATCTTACTGAAGTAACAAGTTTACGGTTTATACCGTCTTAAAATACTATCTAACTAAAAAGTGTGAAATAAAAAAGGTAAATTTAAAAAATCAAAAAACCCGACTGCTGAATTATACTTCAAATAAAAACTGAAAAGAAAAAAACAAGTCTATAATTCTGTTAATAAGGAACAAAGCTACTTTAACAGTCGGGACCCATTAGATATTCAAGAATACATTATATTTTTCAATAATGGGTCCCGACTGTTAAAGTAGCTTTGTTCCTTATTAACAGAATTATAGACTTGTTTTTTTCTTTTCAGTTTTTTTTAACAATATACCAGAGATTTTCTATCAGGTTTAAATCCGGACTATTTGCTGGCCAGTCTAAAACGGATATACGCTGTTCGCTAAGGAAACATTTGACGCTATTAATCGTGTGTGTAGGATCATTGTCATGCTGAAAAATCCAGGTTACAGGCAAATGATCGACCGAGTAGGGAAATTAGGGAATCATTGTGTGCTCTAAGATAGTTTTGTATTGGCATTGATCCATTGTACATTCAATCTTCCAAACGGGTCCAAGTCCACACCCGCAAAACCCACCCAAACTTTAGTGTTACCGCCACCGCGCTTGACTATTCTCCTTGTGTATTTATAATTAAAAGCAATGTTTACAGGACGTCTCACATAGACGACCCCAAAGTAAGCACTGTAGGCTTGTGTTATGGGATGCTAGGGTAACGGATAGAATACATATACTGTACATATATAAGTATATTTATATAGAAATAAGTATTTTACATCCATGACTGGAGTACAAATGCTCGTATTCATCACACAAACATTATATTTTATGCATGTTGCATTGTTTTATATTTTATGTATTTAATGAGCTTTTTATTTGAGTGGCTATATTATTGCATGATTTTTATTATTGAATGTGTATATAATATAATATATATATGCTTTTTACGAACATTTGTACCTTAAGGGTATTCTTTTTTTATTCATAAGAAGTTCTAATTATATTCACAAGGCATCACGACTCCACATCAGACTACTTGTACCTACTGTATGACGTGCCTCACAACCTGGTACTTAACTGACAACACATACATTCATACATACATTGATAAGTGGATTATAAGTTCAATGGCGGTACCTTCATATAAGCCGAAAAGCCTGGCTTGCCTTAATTGAAACTCATTTGCAATTTTATTAATAAACTAGTGGCCCGCCCGCGCTTCGCTTCGGTGTAGAGCTGTAGTGTAGACTATAGTTTTTGTTCTCAGGCTTGTATTATACACAATGACATTCTTCTAATACCTAATAACAATAGGCACGCGCCACCAGGCGCCCCGCCCGGTAGCGTCGGAACCGCTATGTCCCTGCATTTTAAATCTGTAATATCTTCGAAAATATTCATTTAAATTACATGCGTTAAATAGCCAAAAATGCACAATGTATTTAAGGTACTTAATTGGATAAGGAAGAATGTTATATTGCTAAAAATCGCTTCGTAAATAATCTATTATTTCTCGTAAAAAGTATAGGATATAAAATGGTTATTGTGGGTTATCCCTAAGAGATAGACAGATACCATGGCGGACTTTTTTGTAGACATTTTTAAGGTATACAATACTGTAGTACATTATTTTGATCGATCTCGTAGGGTTCAGCCAGCGTTTGCAATGTAAGCGGAAAAACCTGTGTTTATTTACGACCTTACATTAAAAACCTCTAAAATTATCAGTGTTTCCAACCGTTACACAAAAATAATTCTTATAGCATGATTCACGTGCGACGGCGCGATGGCTTATTTCATGTATAAGTTTGGTGTTTATATACCGATTTCTATGATTCTTTTTTTATTGAATAGGTAATAATGTTAACTTTTTTAAATTAGGGATGGGTGAGAGAGTATTATAAACGTAAGAGTAAATAAATATAATCAGAATGCTCCGAACTGCTAAGCTATCAGGAGTTACACGTGTTATTGTGAGTCAACCATAAAAGATAGACATATGCTGTTGCGGGATATTTTTTAGACAATTTTATGTAAAATATTTCCGTCATACATGATTTCTATGTAACTTTAACCATTAAGGCTGCACACGCGACGGAAGCTTAAAAAATGGAGTAACTTCTCCCGTTTTCCCAGCATTTCCCTTCACTACTCTGCTCCTATTGATTGTAGCGTGATGAAAAGTATACTATAACCTGCCCAGGAGTATGAAGAATAATTGTACCAAGTTTCGTTAAAATCCTTTGAGTAGTTTTTGTTTCTATAAGGAACAAACACACAGACAGACAGACAGACAGACAAAAATTTTACTGATTGCATTTTTGGCATCAGTATCGATCACTAATCACCCCCTGATAGTTATTTTAAAAATATATTTCATGTACAGAATTGACCTCTCTACAGATTTATTATAAGTATAGACAAGGAGTAAGTTTAGAATAGTTATGCCGTGTTTTGTTCATATCATTCAAGTGCCATTTGTAATTCAATGAATAGAGACAAAATATAGAGTTACTAATCCAAGCTTATTCTTCGTTTATTAGTGTGGGGTTAAAAGTTTTGCAGAATATGTATGATTTCGGTGTACGTTTGGTTCATCATCGATCAATCTATATGACTTAGGTCCAATAGAATGCATAACGTGACATTTAGAGTCGCTCTTCGATTAGAGTTACGTTTTAGTTTTGTTGTACAAATAATACCTATATACATATACTATATTTAAATTGTATGTCTTATTCACTATAGATTGGGGAGCCATCCCGGCGTCGTCCGACCGGCGCTTACGTGAACAGAAGCTATGAACCAGCTTTTGACAGTGACGATGAGGACATAGTGCGCCCGTGCCGAAGCACCGTACGATATCGGCAGTAATAGTGAAAATACATTGTTTGGTTACGTTTTCCCATAAAAAAGGCAAAGGGCTCAATCCTCGTGCAGCCTGGTCTTTAAAATTATAAACAATAAATATAACAAAAAAAAATATTTGCCAAAGTAACAGAACAACAAATTATGTTTTTTTCAAGCAACCCAATTCTTTGCTTTAACCGTAATTTAAACAATCGTTTCAAAGGTAAGTCTAAGTTATTAAAAAGGTACCTAAGCAGATTCCATTGAAGTGAATCTTAGGTTCATCGTTAATTATTCCAAAAAGTTATTGCGTCATCCATCACGCAGGAGCTATGATATTATGACAGCCCTTAAATTACCTAAAACCTGGATGCATTTCTCCGTAATATACATTGTTTTGTCTGTTTATTAATATCTGCTAAGCCTCGGGGAGATATTAATAAATAGATATAATACTTTCCTGCCCGATGACGTCATCTTTAGCATTAGTAGGATATGGTCGTACTCTTAGATTAAAACAAAAAGGGAATTACCCGCGGCTCAAAAGTGATCCGCTAAATTGTGGTGCATGACCATAATTCGCTTTAGTCACAATAGGACATTGAAACACGCTGCATGTGCACTCAATATAAACAATATTGCGTATATTATGTGTTATGAAGATAAAGCAATGCTTTCGATGCTTTTATAAAGAACACAAATAGTTCAAAGTCAAATAACAAATGCCTCAGCAACACTTTTCATTCGTAAACCTGTAAAAACATTTTTTTTCTCAAAAATCACGGTTTGTCTTGAATGTTTTCTACGTATTCGCCTATTTGTTATCAAGAAAAGGACAACAATACAGCTCAGCCGTACGGACTCGGAAGCGGACTCGCTGTTTCGCTTGCGCTGCGTGGAAGCATACAGTTCTGTCTCGCTCGCTCGATTGAATGTTTATATACAGACGTGTGCTTGTATGAGAGTTGCTTATGTAGTTGAGTTGGATCATATTTTATTTGATGCTAGTATGTGCGTACCGTGTCTTCCCTTTTTGTTTTAATCAAAGGTCTTACTTGAACGAAAACAGTTGCGAAAGGTTTTGAATCTACAACAGCACCCTTAGCACGAATCAATATCGAATTCAAATAGTTTTGTGCAAAATGTATTGAAAATGTGTACTGATTTTTAGTTCTCGTTATGTACCGTTATGGCGTTGCTGTTCAAGATTCCATTCAAAATTTATCTCTAAAATAATAATAATAACATAATAACATTTTATTCACCATCAGAAAATACAAACAGTTGTTGAACAGTGTTAGAATATTTACATCAAGTTTACATTAAGGTATGCGTAACAACATCAAAGACTGACAGCTACCCTCCGCTTTAGTAACAAAACTGTATTGCGGCAGAGTAGGATCATCGTCGAGTAAACAAAATAGGGTAGATTCATGTCATTTTACAACTTACGACAGGTCGTGATAAAACTGCGAAAATCGGAACTACTTGTTGATGGCTTTAACTATTCGGTGAGTTAGTAGCGAATGCATTTTAGGATTTTATTATACCGAGTTCATCAAGGGCGTAGTCTCCCTTTACGTAGAAATATGGAAAACTGAAAAATATTACTCACCTTATATATGCAAGTGTTTTTGCAGGTTATCGTTTTAGGTGTATTCACGATACATAATTTCTTATGCTAAACCTTTTTTTATCAATGAAACTTAACATTCGAAAGTTGAATGGGAATAGTTCAACACTCTAGAAACTATACTAGCAACTATAGTTCGCAGAGTGAACAGCTAAATTTAGTATCCTTTCCAGACTGTAACTCGAATATAGTATGTTATCTGCATTCAAGATATTACAGAGTATAGGAAAACCTGCCAAATCCGTAAGCAGTCATTCGGCTTAGTCAGCACGAGATTGAAAGTGAGGGGTCGTAGAGCTCACGAGCGTGCGCGGGCGCAGGCAGTGAGCGCGCGGCGACCCGACCGACCGCACCGCACCGCACCATGCGCACAAACGCGGCCTCGCGAGTGACCAATACACGCAAATACTTAGTGAAGTGACTTACCAACCAGGATTATACTAACCCAACAAAACAAACATCACAAACGGTAAGCCTTAACACAAGAAATTCTTAACCTACACCATCTGACCTTTCCTGGTCCGAGGCGACACACAATCAGCTGCGAAAGTATGTAAGCTCTGTAATAGGTGTACAATTGCATAACCTGTAAGTATCAGGATTTAAATTTCTTTGATAGTTAAATTAGACCCTGCAATAATATCTCTTACTTAGGGCTAACAAGAAAGGCTCTATAGAGTGCGAAATGCACCGTTTCTCTTTCGAAAGTTTCGAAATTGGTTTCAGCGTAACGTACATATCCATTTATACAGAAAAACTTTTCTAATCGTTCAGTTTCTAATGCCTAGTTTAGTTGATTTGAAGATTTTGCATTTAATTAAAATAGCTAATTTCATTCCTGGATCTGTTTCGCTTGTGTGTTTGTAATCGTAAACAAAAGTGAATGTAGGCGGGTTCGCTATGAGAGAATGAAGAATGGGAAAACAAAGAATAGTTTCATTGGTATCACAATATCACTTGACCTCTAAATTTAATTGGTGCGTAAGGTACCTGCGTGTGATTAGATAAAACGATAGCTCAGAATGTAATAAACAGTTTGTAAGAGGTTTTTTTCGAACAAATAAACTCGTTATGAATACACCTATCATTAAAAACTAATCACGTAAACCGTCTTTAGATGGTTATTTCAATTTTTACGTTAATTTACTTAACTTTCTATAGTGTCATTGAGTATGACCAAGATTTTATTTTTTTTGTTAGGGTGTAAAAAATGTTAAGAGATATGCAAGGTTGTGGATAACTTTGATTGTTGACTGTTGTAAATTTTCATATTTTTTTTTAAGTTGCATTGTATATTATACTTAGAATAATGAATTGCCATAGATTACCCACATTCAAGTAAAAAAAGAACGTAGCGTTGTAACCCTAAGGCCACGTATATATCCGGTTCCGTAGGATGGCCGTTCTCACTCTAAACATCAAAACGTATTATGACAGACACAATTAATACAGTATTAGTTGGCTAATTACTGGTTACGCAGTTTAGACCTGTTTGTTCGTGCAATACTTAAACTCAATTAGATTCAAGAATTTTATAATTATAAGTAGGTATTACATGCACTTATGACATCGAATATTTGGAAAATCTTAATTTGTAGGTAGGTATTCGAATCTATAATTAGACAGAAAATTTGAGTTAAGAATTCATGTTTAAAGCGAAATACTAAAACGCCACTTAGAAACTCCAGCACCGTTTATGGTTTCACCTTAGTAGAAATCTCTGATGTTTTAACCATACATAGAGTTTAAATAAATAAATAGTTATTAAATAATGTTTTAACTAACTCCAATCAAAGCCCTTTTAGACGGGTTCTATACTAATAATAAAATAAAATGGTACTTATCTTTATTTTATTTTAAGTATACATGGACTTTCTACTATGTGATATGACTGGGTTCTCTTACGCCAGCTAAACAGAGTGGATTACGAGGCACATAAAGGTGCGAAAATAAGGCAAGAGACCCATTGCAAAACATAAAACAGTAGTTCTGTCAAACTTCGATCTCGCTCTGCATTGAATCGTCCTTCGTGTTCAATCATACAGGTGGCGTTAGTGATAATTTGCATTAAGTATTAAATGAGTTTTATGTCTACCAATAAAAAAAACAGCAAATTGAGACAAACTTTACGTCTACGCAAAACAAGATTATAAACTTATAATTTTTATTTATGTATTTTGATTCTTCTGATGAATTTTAGCAATAACAGTTGCTGTGTTGAAATAAGTATACAACAATAAATTTTATAGAAGAAATAAATATTTATTTAGTTTGGCAATTTAACTTTTAGTTTTCGTTACAGACTGTTTACTAAACTAAGCGCTAATTTGTGAGAGAGTTGAGAAATCGCAAATAGGCATATGCATTCAGAAAGAAACAGTTCTATGTCCTAATGTCATAGACATAGAGGTGGAAATCGAAATAATGTAAATCACTCATGTTGCAAGTTCATACAAACGTAGGCCGCACTCTAATTAGATATTGCTAGGCCTTGAGTTGCTTTGACCGGAAGAAAGTGGATTGTGATTAACAATATTAAATATGTTTAGTACTTCATTCATGTTATTATTAATCTTTGATTAAATTTGAACTTAATTTCCTGTACAATAAAATTGTTTTAGTTTTAAGTTTTATTGAGCTTAATCTCTATGAAATATTTGACGATATGTCGAAATTATGATAAGACCCATGAAACAATGAAGTAATTTAAAAATACATTTAAGTGTCGTAAGCTGCGCGAGCGCAATTGCTCTACAAAAGACATCAACGCACGCTCATTTTGCGTTGCGTTTGCAAGCGTACGATGAATTAAAAACTTTTAGAATAGTAAGTATTACTATTTGAGTTGAGTTTTCATTGCAATATAGTGATGCTAACAATTTTACATATTTTTTCTGTGAATGCATAATTTATTATTATAATGTTAGTTTATAATTATATTAACCCTTAAATGCTATTGATTACAGTAAAAACTAGGAAATGTAGTATAATAATAATATGACATTGCAGTTTCTTCCAAATTCTGCAGGTATTGTTTAAGTTTAATTTGTCCACTTAGTGCCTATTTATAAGAGAACATTTATAAGAATAATAGCTACTTAAATTATTTATGTCATAGGCACATCGCGTACATAAGTATTGGGTTAATTCGCAATTTATATAACTGGTTGGTAGAATAGCTCGTCAATGAAATAGGCTAATAAGAGTCTGGTAGTATTAAATAGTTGTGAGCAACAAGTTCACTGCTCACTTGATGGTTGTAAGCAGTCTTCAATGGCGCAGGCCTACTTTCTCTTTTTTGTGAATATTTTAGCTTATGGTGTCGATGTTTAAGACAAAAGATATTTTAGAGAAACAATTTGGCATTAGTTGCGTCAGAAAACGTTATGGTCCATAGATATAATCACCTTTTCGTTAATATTACATTAACACGGATAAGTCGACCTATTCTATACCATTTCTAAGTGAAGCAATGTTGCATAAAGTTTTTTCAACCAAGACAATATTACGAAATATTAAAATCATAACAAGTCTCCAATATCATTGTCAAAAACATTGTGAAAATATTAGTGAAAGTAGTAGTAGTAAATAAAAAAAAACATAGACGGAAAGCTCAACTGTTCTGAACAATAATAATAATAATAATTTATTGGAACCACTTTACATTTTAGTACATGATAATGAGGACATGTCCTCTGGAAAAGGTTACCCTGAGGACCAGAAGACAGTGCTCTCCCCACTATTGTTACTACAATACTAGCTACAATAATTTAAAACTACCAAATAAAAATTATACAAAAATAACTAGGTATAGCATTAACCGGTGTGTGTGTGTTGTGTGTGTGTTGTGTGTGTGTGTGTGTGTGTGTGTGTGTGTGTGTGTGTGTGTTAGTGTGTATGTATATGTACCTGCGTTCGTGTTGTGTAGCGTATGTGCATTTGTTTTATCGCTTTTTTCTGTCAATGTTATATATTTAGAAGTTGTTCTACTTCATTGTATTCTAGTCTATTTATCCAATCTAGGATTATATTCTTTATAGAGTAATTATTGACGTGCTTTATATTTCTGTTAGTCTTCAAAAGCTTATTGTATACTCGAGGAGCAATATTATAAAATTGTTTTCTTGCAAAAGCACTTTTCACTGTTGGAACTGGTACTGTACACACTCTCTTGTTTTTAGTATCTGTCAGGAACGGGACTATATGTTTGTGATATCTTCGCAGGCACAGATACAGGAACAGTTTACGAACACTGAGCACCTCGGACCTATGGTAGGTATCAGAAGTGGCGTGTCTGAATGGTAGAAACATCGATACTTTCAGGACAGCCCTTTGTGAGCGTTCCAGACCTAGTAACTTTGTTTTGGATGCTCCTCCCCAGACACAGATGTTGTAGCTAATGAGAGACTCACATAAGGCTCTGTATGTGCGGATTACCAGTTCCCGAGGCGCTACAGTTCTCAACGATTTAAAGATATAGATGAATTTTCTAACTCTAGCTGCAACCTGATCGATGTGTATGTCCCATTTTAGATTCTCATCTATATATACACCGAGGTATTTTATATGCTGGACGCGTGTTAGTTCCGTACACATACATACAGAGTCAACTTTGGTCATCACACGATTGCATGGATATGTATGAATAATGATGTTAATTGTTGCTGACGAGATTTTTGTCTTGCTGAAGCAGATATATTTAGTTTTTTCTATGTTGAGTGTCATGGTGTTATCCTCAAGCCATGACATCACTTTGGCAAGACCTTCCTCAGATGCCTTTTTAACGTGAGACCAGGTGGTGTCATGAAAAAGTAAGACTGTGTCATCGGCGAACATGATTAAATCAGCATTCCGGAGTTTTATGTTGCAGAGTGAGTTCACATAGAGCAAAAATAGGGTAGGTCCGATCGTACTACCTTGTGGTACTCCATAGATTGGGCTTGCTGATGTGCTTGTATGGTTTGCAACTCTAACATACTGCTCTCTTACCGATAGGTAATCCTCAAACCATTCCAATGGAGTGCCACGTATGCCCACATTTTGCAATCTGTTAATAAGTATGGGTATGGAAACGGTATCAAACGCCTTTTGCAAATCGAGGAAAATCCCAATGCATTTATTACCTTTATCTGTATGTGTCGTGATTAGTGAGGTAAGTTTTAAAACCGCGTCCTCCGTGGAAGTACATTGTCGAAAACCGTATTGTTTGTGAGATAAGAGTTTATTAGACTCTAGATACTTTACCAGTCTTTTATTGACCAGTTTCTCTAATATTTTAGAGAGAGATGAAAGTAAAGAAATAGGTCTGTAGTTGCTTGGTACCTTTTTGCTACCGGATTTATGAATTGGTACTATAATAGCCTTCTTGAATGGTACTGGAACTACGCCGGTTTCAAAGCTCTTGTTGCACAGGTATGCAATTGGTTCTGCTAAGATATATTTAAAATTTTTCAGCATGTCCGTAGTAAT